GAAAAAAGATACAAAGGGGGGAAAACTTGTCAAAAAACATACAGCTATTTAAGAAATACAAACCATCATCGATGATATTCTAAACACATATTTTCAGTAAGAGATCCTTTTCTCTTGACCTTATCTTTTTTTCCCCTCGCACCTCTCACTTTCTTATCTGTACCTAATCTCTGGTTTTATTCCCTGATTTATTTAATGACTTCCTTCTACTTCTATGCAGTTCCTAATTTCTCATATCTTAAAGTCTCTGCATCCATTTTTAGCTCTGCGAAACACCATTCTGTTATCTCTGTGGAATTTAATCTATGCTCAACCCAGTATAATCATTGGAACCATATTTCATCCTGTAAGTTTTAAAAGCATCCCATTCTTTTCTGATCTTATCTCCTGAGTGGTTTCTTATTGATTCTGTTAATTTCGTCAATTCCAGTTCCTTTCTTCTTTTGTCAGTAGAACATTCCTTTTCCAGTACTTTGCTATCAGAATCCTGGGAGCCGTAGTAGCAGAAAGAAAAACTCTTTTATTGACCTTTGGGATGTTTGTTGTCAAAATACCTAATAAAAACAATTCTGTTTTTTTAGGAAATGTATATTTTAACATTTTCTTCCATTCTTCATATCTTCGCCTTTGGCGATCCCTTGTATCTGAGTAAGACTGCCGTCCATAAACATAGTTTTAACAATGAGTCCATAAGTCACTGTGGCGGCCAATTCTGGATCCACACATCCTTCCACAGTGGGGACATTGGTTTCCGGGAGGGAGTTGATCATGGTGTGGATTTGCCAAGCATGCCTTCCTCTTAGCGCGTTTCTCCCTTTCGTCCTGAGTTCGAGTGTCTTCAAAACCCAAGACACCTTTGGTAAAGGCTGTTCTCCAACTGGAGCGCTCGCAGGCCAGTGTTTCCCAGTTGTCAGTGTTTATATTACATTTTTTAAGATTTGCCTTGAAAGAGTCTTTGAACCTCTTTTGTTGACCACCAGCATTACGCTTTCCATTTTAAAGTTCGGAATAGAGTAGGTGCTTTGGAAGATGATCATCAGGCATCCACACAACATGACCAGTCCAACCAAGTTGATGTTGAAGAATCATTGCTTCAACACTGGTGATCTTTGCTTCTTCCAGTCCACTGATATTAGTTCGCCTGTCTTCCCAAGTGATGTGTAAATTTTTTCGGAGACACCGTTGATGGAATCTTTCAATGAATTCTTCATTTATCATGTCCCAAAATAATTTAATTTGAAGACCACTTTGTGGAAACCAGGGGAGAGCTCTTGTGCTTGAATCCTGTTGGCAGGCTCCCCTTGGGGCAGGATGTGGGACTAGATGGGCCTGATCCAGGAGCCTCTTCTGAGGTTCCCTGGAGGTCTCTGCCCGCCTCTCCTTCCTCATTAACACCTCCTCAGGCTCAGCTCCATTAGCTCCTCCAGAGCTCTGCTGCTTAAGGGCTGCTAATGGCCTGAGACTGTGGGGTGGAGGAAGATGCCCTCCTTGGGTGAGCTGCCCATAAAGATGGGCTCTGAGGACACACCAGGGCTGGTAGGATGCCTTCTGCAGGGTGTGTGTGAGAGAGTTCTTAAACATTTGCAGTAGGCAGTCTAAGTTTGCTCTTAGTACAGTCATACCTCTTGCTACGTTTGCTTCAAGTTAAATCTTTTCATGTTGTGTCCTGTGGCGACCCAGAAGTAATGGAAAGGGTTACTTCCGGGTTTCACAGCTCGTGCATGCACAGGCGCTCAAAATGACGTCACGCACATGCGCAGAAGCAGCGAATTGCGACCTGCGCACATGCGCAGACGCGGTTTGTGTTCTGCTCATGTTGCCAACGGGGCTCTGGAAGGGATCCTGTTCGCAACCAGAGGTACCACTGTATAAGCTTTCGTGTGCATGCACACTTCTTCGGATGCACACGAAAGCTCATACCCAGAACAAGCTTAGTTGGTCTCTAAGGTGCTACTGGACAATTTTTTAAATTTTTTATATATTTTGACTGCGTCAGACCAACACGGCTACCTACCTGAATCTTGCAGCTAGCAGAGAGCCATCAAGGGACTAGGCTGGCATGTGAGGCTGCTGTCATTCCGCTGTCTTGTGCAAATGTATTGGATACCCACCCACCCTGAGATTGTAGAGGAACCAAATAAGGATGAGAGGAGATAGTACAATCATAAGAGTTGGAAGGGACACCAAGGGTCACCTAGTCCAGCCCCCTGCAATGCAGGAATCTCAACTAAGGCATCCATGACAGATGGCGACCATCCAACCTCTGCTCAAAAACCTGCACTTGTGGGAGACCCTTCCATTGCCAAACAGCCCTTACCTTCAGAAAATTCTTCCTAATGTTTAGTCGGAATCTCCTTTCTTGACACTTGAAGCCACGGGTTCGAATCTTACCCTCCAGAGCAGGAGAAAGCAAGCTTGCCCCATCTTCCATGTGACAGCACTTCAGATATTTGAAGATGACTATCTTATCTCCTCTCAAGATCCTCTTTAACTACAGTGGACGCTCAGGTTGCGAACATGATCGGTGAGGGAGGCACGTTCACAACCTGCAGCATTCGCAACCCACAGCGCCGCATCTGCGCATGCGCGGGTTGCGATTCAGCACTTCTGCACATTCGCAATGCATGATTTAGTGCTTTTGCGCATGCGCAAGCGCCAAAACCCAGAAGTAACCTGTTCTGGTACTTCCGGGTTTTGGCGTGTCCGTAACCCAAAAATGTGCAACCTGAAGTGTCTGTAACCCGAGGGATGACTGTATTTAGTTGTGCTTTCACCTTGTATTTTTATCTTATGATGAAGGACGGTATAGAAATCTAATAAATAGAATTGATAAATGAATAATATTGCAGTAGTGGAAACGAGAAGTGATTGTACCACATTAGAAAACCGCATCTTTGAATCGGACCTCAGTAATGTCACCCAAAGCCCCTGGAGGTAAAGCCAGGACCCAGTGGGGTCTTTGGGGGTCTATATCTCCCCAAACCAAAAGTCACTCCTGCAAGCTCTGCCCCATCGCCTCCTTTGGCAAGACCTTCTCATGGCATCCTCCACATCAGGGGTTCAATCATCTGCTCATCTGCCAAGAATGACCGTCTGCATTCTAAAGAGAGCGCACTCTTTAGGCAAAATAAGAAATGACACAAATCTTATGTGCGAAATGCCTATGGCCATAAAAAGAGGATATTCTGACACCTGCGGCCTTTCTGGAAACAAAGGCTATTTAAATGGAGATGGCCATGTGAAACTGCCAAATAGCAATTCCATCAAGAAGTTCAATCCTATCACTTGTGGGTTTTTATCACACTTATCCCATGTGTTAATCGGCTTATCAGTTATCAGCACAACCTTTGTGCAGCCTGAGTGGCTCCTTGGGACTCTGGAGAGCTTCAGGCTACGAAGCAAACTTGGAGGAAGACCAGAGAGCAGTTGGCGCAAATCTCCTTCCGGCGTCAGATGGATGCCAACTAGCCTGTACTGAAGGTATTGGAGTTTGCTTTTATGATGGAAACCACCTTATATTACTTTAGTATGAAAGTGTGCTTTAGAAATATTGAAATAAAATCAATTTCATGGTCTAGGCTCTTCTGCATTTTCTTTCTGATCCTGCTGTCTCCACCCCATGCCCCCAAATCCAAGTGTGTGCGCATACACACAAATTCACATACACTCACTTGCAGCTCAGGGTGACATTTTGTGCATCTGACGCAGTGGCCTGCGATGCACAAAAACTTGTGGCACCCTGATGTCGTGGTCCTGAAGGTGCGGCAAGAGACTAAGGTGCCCCACCCCCAGAAATTCCTATATCCCTTAATTTATTCCCTCACAGTGTTACTCATGGAAATCTGCAGATCTGCTAGATGTACAGGGACACCCTGGCTCTTAAACCGCTGCCCTGATCCCACCCACCCACCTTTCCGCAGAGAAAGGGGCGAGGCCCCGGGCCCCGCAGTTCCCTTCGAAGGCAGTGTCACCTTCTGCCCAGTGTCTTCTCTGCCACAGTCTTATTTGCCAAATTTTAAATAATTTCAACATTTCAAAACTCGACTTCCTTCCCCCCCTTTCTGCGGTTCCTTAAACTTATTTTTAATATTTTCTGCATATCCCAATTAACTTAATTTGCTCATTTATTCATCTGCTTCAAATCTATACTCTTATAAAACTGCAGCTTATTACAATGATCCTGTCAATGTCCTTCTCTGTTGACAGTTTATCCAGAACTTCCATCTCTCGGTGGTGGTGGGGGGGCCAAAGTGGTTGGATGCCTCTGGAGGCCTCACCCTCTTCCTTCCCTTCCTTTCCAGTGGGGGGGGGGTTGTCTCTCTGGCTCCCCGCAGAGCTTCCCCTGGGGCTCAGAGGAGCCCCAGAGCTCCTGGCTCCTTGCCTGCCCCAGTTGGAGAGATTGGGCCTTTTGTGTCCTGTGGAACTCCCTGCCACTGGAGATTTGGCAGGGGACGCCTGCCGGGCAGACAGCTTTCTTTTTATTCCAGGCCATCAAGAATTCATCTTTCCACAGAGGCAGATGGACCTCGGATTTCAACCTGTTTGGTAGGGATTTTATTGCAAGGCTTTATTGCTACAGGAAGGAATAATGTGCATTTTTATGACACAGAGGCATAAAAGATAACAACAACAATAATAATAATAAAAACACAGAGAGACAGAGAGAGAGAGATATATAATTATGAATATACTTCCTGTAGCAATAAAGCCTTGCAGTAAAATCCCTACCATATATATATATATATATATATATATGCCACACAAAAGCAATTAAATTCACATGAATATGATTACGGTAAACGTCAGCAGACCACTATATATATTTATACTATACTATATATTTCAACCTGTTTGGTAGGGATTTTACTGCAAGGCTTTATTGCTATATATATTTATATATATATAAAATGACTGGGGCGGGGGAGGCTCCTGTCTCAGGCTGGGCACGAGGCGCACAGGTGTGCGCATGCGCGGGATGTCCGGCTTCCAAGGCAGGTGGGGATTCCGGAACCGGAACCTTGGCGCCGCTCTGCCCGCGCTCCCTCGATGGTGGCGCCCTCCTTCCGGGCCGCGGAGCATTGTGGGGCGGCAAGATGGCGGCGCTCAGCGGTGTCCGGGCGGTTGCCAGGGTGAGTGAAGGGGAGCGGACGGGGCGGGGGGGGGGGGCGCCGAGGGCGACGGCGGCCCCGCGGGGAGGCGCCCTTTGGCAGGAGGGGCTGAGCCCCCCGCCCCCTGGAATTGCCCCCCTGCTCCTCCTCTGTCAGCCTCAGCCCCCCCGCCCCCCCCGCAGGGCGAGGGGCGACCCTGTGGGCCCCCCTGGCGGGGCTGCTCGCTGCCTCGGGGGCATTTCCACCCCCCCTTCGGCCTCTCTCCTCCCCCGACTCCCTGGGGCCAATTAATTGAAACACACAATTAATGGAACAATCTATGTAGTTATTATTGTACAAAACTCACATACAGCGGTACCTCGGGTTACAGACGCTTCAGGTTACAGACTCTGCTAACCCAGAAATCGTGCTTCAGGTTAAGAACTTTGCTTCAGGATGAGAACAGAAATCGTGCTCCGTCAGCGTGGCAGCAGCAGGAGGCCCCGTTAGCTAAAGTGGTGCTTCAGGTTAAGAACAGTTTCAGGTTAAGTACAGACCTCCAGAACGAATTAAGTGCAGTGGTACCTCGGGATCCGTTCCGCGGCGCTGTTCGCATCCTGAACACAACGTAAGCCACGACAGCGCACCTGCGCAGGTCATGTTTTGCCACTTCCACGCATGCACGGGACGTCATTTTGAGCGCATGCGCGAGCAGCAAAACCCGGAAGTAACGCACTCCATTACTTCGGGGTTGCCACGGAGCGCAACTCGAACGCGCTCAACCCGAAGCACATTCAACCCGATATATGATTGTACTTAACCCAAGGTACCACTGTATACGTACGTACATTAGTCACGGATACGATCTGCGCTATTCTTAAGCAGCATTTGAAAACAGTTTGTTATGGAGTCTAACTAGTTTTGAACAACAACAAAAATCCTTCCAGTAGCACCTTACAGACCAACTAAGTTAGTTATCAGTATGAGCTTTCGTGTGCATGTGCATTTCTTCACATACCCAGGTATTCTGCAGATACCTGTGTATCTGAAGAAGTGTGCATGCACACGAAAGCTCATACCGATAACAAACTTAGTTGGTCTCTAAGGTGCTACTGGAAGGAATCCGCCCCCCCCAACTATGGCAGACCAACACGGCTACCTACCTGTAACTAGTTTTGAATGGTTCCTGTTCATTTTCGGATCCCTCCATAGTCGTACAGTCTACAGCATGGAGGTGACTTTTGCATATAGCCCACAAATTCTCTTTTTTATTTTTTTTTATTAATTTTAATTTTATTTACAACATAAATCCATCACAACTCAAATAGCCCACAAATTCTCAATGGGATTGACATCCAGGGAATTCCCTGGCCAATCAAGTACCTGTATTTGCTGCTTTGTCCCGAATTTCTTCCCCACTTTCAGTGTGTGACAGCGGACTGGGTCCTGCTGCAATATCCCAGTACCATCAGGATACCTCTTTTCCAGCTCTGGAATAACTCTCTTTCGTAGAACCTCAATATATTGTGGCGAGCGCATCATTCCTTCTATTGGCTGCAGGCTTCCGACACCATAATGAATTTTCATGTTTGTTTTGAGTACAGTGGTACCTCTGGATGCAAACGGGATCTATTCCGGAGCCCCGTTCGCAACCTGAAGCAAACGCAACCTGCATCTGTGCGGTTCGTGGTATGCTGCGCCTGTGCATGCATGTGACGTCATTTTGAATGTCTGCGCATGCGTGAGCGGCGAAACCCGGAAGTAACGCGTTCCATTACTTCTGGGTCGCCACGGAGCACAACCTGAAAATGCCCAACCTGAAGCAACTTTAACCCGAGGTATGACTGTACGGGATTACGAGTAAGATAGAAAACATGCTTAGTTTCAGTTAATTTGCACAAGGGTGTACAATGCCCACCACAACAGCCCTGCCAGATAGGGTCAGGCTGAGAGGTGGCGATGGGCCCCCAAGGTCACACCCAGTGGGCTTTGTGGACATGCAGGGGCAGGATTTGAACCCTGGTCTCCCCAGGTGCTGGAAGCCATTCAATGCCCACAACTGCCCTGCCAGGGAGGGCCAGGCTGAGAGGCAGCGACAAGCCCCCAATGTCACCCCTTGGCTTAATGGCCAAGGGATTTGAACCCTGGTCTCCCCCAGGTCCTAGTCTGACATGGGTCCCCGGCTGTTGTTGGACTACAAGAAGAAGAAGAAGAGTTTGGATTTGATATCCCGCCTTTCACTCCCTTTAAGGAGTTTCAAAGCGGCTAACATTCTCCTTTCCCTTCCTCCCCCACAACAAACACTCTGTGAGGTGAGTGGGGCTGAGAGACTTCAGAGAAGTGTGACTGGCCCAAGGTCACCCAGCAGCTGCAGGTGGAGGAGCGGAGACGCGAACCCGGTTCCCCAGATTACGAGACTACCGCTCTCAACCACTACACCACACTGGCTCTCAACTCCCATCATCCCTCCCCACTGGTCCTGCAACCGCTGGATGATGGGAGTTGTAGTCCAACAGCAGCCAGGGCCCCCAAGAGAGACCCCCGCCTCAAGGAGTTTGCCTTCCGAGTCTTCCTGGGCAGGGAGCCCCAGGGATGGCTGGCACATGAGGAGGTGCCTGGGCCCCAGCGCTGCGTACCCCCAAATAACTTGTGAAAACGGCAGCCTTTCAGGAAGAAGCTTGTCTCTAGAATTATTTATTTCATAAAATGTATACGTGGCTTCATTGTAAGAAAAACACCTCAAAGATGTTTGTGAAAAGATGAAACAAGAAAATCATCATCAAGAAAAAATTACAGTAGCTTAAAACGCACAAGACGTTAAAATACTGAGATGTGTTAAAATTCGCATCCACTTTCTAAGCATCTGAGTAGCCTTGTCTAAACAAGAATGTTTTTAGCAGTGAAGGTGTCTGCTTGGTGTCAACAGGCAGGGAGTTCCGAAGTGCAGGTGCTGCCACACTAGATGAATAAGTTCCACAAGTGCAGAACGGGTATTATGTGACTCTTGCAGTAGTGCTAATTCCAGCGACTGAAGCAGTTGCGGGAAGGTGATCTTCTAGGTCAGCTAGTTCCCAGTTCTTAAGAGCTTTAAATACTAACAATAACACCTTGAACTTGGCCCAGTTGCAAATCTGCAATCAGTGCAAATCTAAAATAAGGCTTCCTGCCAGGAATTGAAAGATAGTTAACATAATGACTGGGGCTGGTGGGAGTTGGGGGGTCCAGCAACATCTGGAGGGCCAAAGGTTCCCCATTCTGACCTGTGGAATTCACTGTCACAAGATTATTTTTATTATATTTTTATTATATTTTCAACAAAAAAAAGCAAACAACAAACACAGCAACAACCACAAACAAAGAAACTTATACACAACAACAATATCAAATCCATAAAATGGGATTCTCTGAATCCCATGATTCCCCCCTTCCTTAAATTCCCATTTCAACTGCATGAGATCCAAGTGTGGTATAGTGGTTAAGAGCGGTAGACTCGTAATCTGGTGATCCGGGTTCAGTTCTCCGCTCCTCCACATGCAGCTGCTGGGTGACCTTGCGCCAAGGTCTCTGAAGTCTCTCAGCCCCACTCACCTCACAGAGTGTTTTTTGTGGGGGAGGAAGGGAAAGGAGAATGTGAGCCGCTTTGAGACTCCTTCGGGTAGTGATAAAGCGGGGTATCAAATCCAAACTATACTCCAAATTATTTTTTCTACCTCAAATTTCCTGTATTAATTCTAAAATTACAAGTGTTCTTAAAATCCTGTCAGTGTATTAACCTGTTTACAATACTTTTGCAAATACAGTCATACCTCGGGTTACAGACGTTCCAGGTTGCGCGATTTCGGGTTGCGCACCGCACCGAACCCAGAAGTACTGAAAAGGTTACTTCCGGGTTTTGGTTCTTGCGCATGTGCAGAAGCGCTAAATCGCGCTTTGCACAGAAGTGCCAAATCGCAACCCTTGCGTGTGCAGACGCAGCGCTGTGGGTTGTGAACGCTGAGGGTTGCGAATGTGCTTCCCGCACAGATCACGTTCGCAACCTGAGCGTCCACTGTACATAATAAACATTTCCCATTCTTTTAAAAATTTCTTACCATCTTGATTTCTTTTCCTTTTTTTATTAAAGATTTTCTTGATTTACAAATCATCTTGATTTCTGAGCTTTCCAGTTAGTTTTGTCATTTCAGCATAGTCCACTAACTCACTGTCACAAGATGTACTGGTGGCCACTGGCTTGGATGGTTTCGAATGTGCTTGTTGTTGTTGTTTAGTCGTGTCCGACTCTTCGTGACCCCATGGACCAGAGCACGCCAGGCATCTGTTTAATTCAATGTTATTTCTGCCTTAGTAAAGCCTAAGGAGTAAAGCTAGAGGTTGAGCCTTGCTTATATGGGATCAGCTCCTTATATCAGAAGCTAGAGCCTGTTTAAAGCCCTAAACGGCCTCGGCCCAGTATACCTGAAGGAGCGTCTCTACTCCCATTGTTCAGCCTGGACACTGAGGTCCAGCTCCGAGGGCCTTCTGGTGGTCCCTCCCTGCGAGAAGTGAGGTTACAGGGAACCAGGCAGAGGGCCTTCTCGGTGGTGTCAAGGAAATAAACAACTATCTGACTTTTAGAAGACATCTGAAGGCAGCCCTGTTTAGGGAAGTTTTTAATGACTGATGTTTTAGTGTATTTTTAATCTTTTGTTGGAAGCTTCCGAGAGTGGCTGGGGAAACCCAGCCAGATGGGCAGGGAAGAAATTAATAATAATAATAATAATAATTCCTTTTCAATTGCAGAGTCTTCTGCTGTCGCAGAGCTGTGGGGCATGGAGGAGCCTCAGCACCTCAGCTGCAGTTCTGCAGAAGCCAGCCAAGGTAAGGCCCCTTCTCTCTCTTGGAGATGCTCTCCCTTCTTCCAGCTCCAGGCTTCCTCTGTTTATTGATGGCATTTCTATGTCACAGTTGTAACCAACATCTGAAGCAGTGTACTAAATGTTAAGAGAGCTGTAATTCATCTGCAAAAGGAGGCTAAAAATACTGGCATACCTTACAGGGTTGTTGTAAGGGCCACCAATGTATGTGCAGTGCTTTTTTCCTAAAGTTCTTTTTTAAAATTCAGACGGGGGACTGGGAGCGGCCGCTGGGACCACATAACACTGGTCCTGAGAGATCTGTATTGGCTGCCAGTATGTTTCCGAGCACAATTCAAAGTGTTGGTGCTGACCTTTCAAGCCCTAAATGGCCTTTCAAGCCCAGTATACCTGAAGGAGCGTCTCCACCTCCATCATTCTGCCTGGACACTGAGGTCCAGCTCCAAGGGCATTCCGGCAGTTCCCTCATTGCAAGAAGTGAGGTTACAGGGAACCAGACAGAGGGCCTTCTCGGTAGTGGCACCCACCCTGTGGAACGTCCTCCCATCATGTGGTGGTCAGGTTGGATTGCTATGATCCCACGTGACCACCACACATGAGATGTCAAGGAAATAAGCAACTATCCTATTTTTAAAAGGCATCTGAAGGCAGCCCTGTTTAGGGAAGTTTTTAATGTTTAATGCTGTATTGTTTTTAATACTCGATTGGGAGCTGCCCAGAGTGGCTGGGGAAACTCAGCCAGATGGGCGGGGTATAAATAAATTATTATTATTATTATTATTATTATTATTATTATTATTATATTACATTGTGGGGGGCTGGACCAGATGACCCTTGGTGTGACAGTTCTATGACTAAGTTTTCATTAAAAAGAGATAAATCAGTTCAGCTCCTGCCAGGGTGCTCATTTAGCTGTATATCTGATTTGCATAATATCCCCCAGTTTAGATGGTTGGTTTTTTTTAACCTCTTCTAAAGGATGGGGAGTAAAAATCAGATCTGCTCCTCTTGCTATGAGGATCAGGATGGGTGTGACTCTGTGCTCTCTTCTAGGCGGAGAGCTTCAGCTCGGAGGGGGTGTTCCCCGTCACCATGATCCCAGGGGATGGGGTGGGCCCTGAGCTCATGCACTCCGTCAAGGAAGTCTTCAAGGTAAGAGCGCTTGCTTCGCTTGGCGATTTCTCAAGAGCTTGGCTTTGGGGATATCCTGCGTGGGCTGGGAGGAGGCAAAGGGCTGGCTGGCTGAGACGCTCCAGTCTCTTGCGCTGCATGAAGCCGTGGCGCCTGTGCTGTCAAGCCCCAAGGTCTGGTCCTCAGGTCAAGACAGTGGGGCTCAGATCAGAATCCCAAGCCCAGCTGCATCCCAGGGTTGCTGGGGAAAATCTCTCCTGGCCTGGCTCATCCTTGGGGGTGCCTGTGACAGCCAGTATGGGTGTTGCACAGTGCCCCCGCACCTCGACAGGATTCCCTTTCCGCATGTGACATTCCTTGCAAGAGGCGGAGAGGGGTGCACTGCTTTCTTCTGCATGGGACGACCACGTGGAAGTCAGAGATCTCCAGGGGCAGAAGGGGCCCACCCTGGCCATGTGACCCAGCAGGAGGACACCCCACTTTCTCCCCTCCTGTGTGTTTCTGCAGGCGGCTGGTGTCCCTGTGCAGTTTGATGAGCACCACCTGAGTGAGGTGCAGAACATGGCTTCAGAGGAGATCCTGGATCAAGTCCTTGGCTCCATGGACAAGAGCAAAGTGGCCCTCATTGGTACGGCGTGAGGGGAAGTTGGTGGGCAAGGCTTCCTTCATACGCCTTAGAGGCCCATGGCGTGCATCTGGGCCAGGCATAGGCAAACTCAGCCTTCCAGGTGTTTGGGACTACAATTCCCATCATCCCAGACCACTGGTCCTGTTAGCTAGGGATGATGGGAATTGTAGTCCCAAACATCTGGAGGGCCGGAGTTTGCCTATGCCTGATCTGGGCCATGGGGAAGTGGCTTACATCTTGCAAGGAAACGGCTTTCTCTGGGCTGCCAATAACACCTTCACGGGGGCTCCCATCCCCTTATCACCCTGTGGCTCTCCTCTGCAGAGAGCTGGGGTCTTTTCTCACTGTCTCTCGCCATTGCAGGAAAGATCCACACCCCCATGGAATACAAAGGGGAACTGGCCTCCTACGACATGAGGCTCAGGTAAGTTTCGGCAGCCTTGCACCGGGTAGACTAGATAAACTTCAAATGCTGCCACCATCCAGCTAAAGGCATCCAATTTGCTGTCGTCTGAAAGGATGGAAAGGTTGTGTTTCCCTATATGCTGCTTTTCCACAATGAGCTGTACCCAAAGCAGCAAACATCCAAAATATCAAAATGAGAAGCATGTCAGTATATTAAAAAATGACAAAAATCAACAATTTAGCAAACAGAATAATACTACACACTGCAAAAAAACAACAACCCACCAATCCGTCTAGCCTTAAATACCTAAATACAAAGCGAAATGAGAGTTAATTACCAGTGAAGTTTCTGGTACCAATCTTGCTGCACTCCAAGGAGCGTGGCTTAAATGCGTTTCAGAGGGGCGAGGTAGATCACGTACGGGGCAGACAGGCGAGGGGAAAGCCATGGCTCAGGTGCCTTTGCCTTATTCAAGGCAGCCCTGGATAGGGAAGGTTTTAATGTGTGATGGTTTTAGATTTTGTTGGTAGTCGCCCAGAGTGGCTGGGGCAACGCCGTCAGATGGGCGGCATATTTTTATTATTATTTTTATTATTTTTATTTATTATTATCATCCTCATCATCCTCATCATTATAATTATTTATTGCTGGGCCAGCCCATCACGGTGACTGAACAGACAGAACTGAATGAGCAGCCATGGGGGCAGATTGAGTTGGAGGATGGGGGGCCGGCTGGTGTTGAGACAGCACTTTAAAATGGTGGTAGGTTGTCTCCGTAACTCTGGCTTCCCTCTTCCAGGCGCAAGCTGGACCTCTTTGCCAACGTGGTCCGTGTGAACAGCCTGCCCGGCTACAAAACGAGGCACAACAACCTGGACCTGGTGATCATCCGTGAGCAGACGGAGGGCGAGTACAGCTCCCTGGAGCACGAGGTGAGTGCTGCCAATACAGTAATGAAAATAAATATATAATTTACATGCCACCTATCTTGCTGGGTGACCCCAAGCACTCTGGGCAGCTCCTGACAAAAGAGAGTCAAAACACTATACAGCATCACTTCCCTGAACAGGGCTGCCTTCAGGTGTCTTTTGAAAAGCACATAGCTCATAGACCACATGACGCCGGTCTTGAAAGGTCTACATTGGCTCCCAGGACATTTCCAAGCACAAGTCAAAGTGTTGGTGCTGACCTTGAAAGCCCTAAATGGCCTCGGTCCAGTATACCTGAAGGAGCGTCTCCACCCCCATCGTTCTGCCTGGACTCTGAGGTCCAGCTCTGAAGGCCTTCTGGCGGTTCCCTCACTGCGAGAAGTGAAACTACAGGGAACCAGGCAGAGGGCCTTCTTGGTAGTGGCACCTGTCCTGTGGAACGCCCTCCCACCAGATGTCAAAGAGAAAAGCAACTACCAGACTTTTAGAAGACATCTGAAGGCAGCCCTGTTTAGGAAAGCTTTTAATGTTTAACAGACCACTGTATTTTAGTACGTTGTTGTAAGCCACCCAGAGTGGCTGGGTATAAATAATAAATTATTATCATAAATTATTGTATCTGTTTGGCATCTGCTGGGAGGGCTTCTGTTCCTGGCTGTGCTGATCCTGCAGTTTGCCTAAAGTTACGCAATTGAGCGAGATGCAGGGAGTGTGAGAGCCGCTGTGTGAATGGGAAGGACATTTCTAACGTAACGTTTGATGATGGGGTCGGGGGGCGAAAGGCTGTGTACACTGACAGCCCCCACAGTAAAATGGGAAGGAGACAAAGCTTGTGTGAACCTTTGGGGTGGGGGTCGGAAGGGGAGCTTGCAAAGTAGTTTTCTAGTGGGATAGGAGCCAGTCTGCTTAACTGTCCACCCCTCTGGTGTGGGGCTTCTCCCCTTGGCTCTGGAGAAGGCAGACTCTGCTTGCTTCAGATTCATTCATTCATGCTAAGCAGGTTCATTTAGCTCTAAGGGCAACTTGCCTAAGAACGTTGATGTACAAGACAACCTCTGCTTGCAGGCTTACATTCTAAAAAACACAGCACAAAAGGAAATGGGTTGGGATGAGATGAGTAAAACAAGCAAACCCGGGCACCAGTTCTTAAAGTTATAAAGTTTGAAAGGAAACAGTTCTTGGGCAGGAGGGGGCGGATGAGGAGGAAGAGCCAGGTGGAGGCAGTCTCTGAGCAGAGCCCAGGAGGCCTGATGCGTGAAAGGGGCGGGGGCCCTGGTGGGGGCAAAGCCTTCCTTCATGTGGTTTGTGCTGCTTGTGCCCCCTCTGTGCTCAGAGTGCCAAGGGTGTCATCGAGTGCATGAAGATCATCACTCGGGCCAAGTCGCAGCGCATTGCCAAGTTTGCCTTTGACTTTGCCACCAAGAAAGGGCGCTCCAAGGTCACGGCCGTCCACAAAGCCAACATCATGTGAGTGGGGAGCAGCGGGAGGGCGGAGGCCGGCTGGCTGGGGGCTCCTTTTCCTGTTGCTGACCCCCAGTCCCCATCTCAACACCCAGGGGGTTCCCAAGTGTTTGTGCTGCCACATAAGGGGTCAAGTTCTTACAGATGCTGAACGGCTGTTCTGTGGCCTTTGGTGACAGTTCCATGGAACGAAGTGGCCGACCTGTTGAGATGGATGGCCTAACTTGGACATGCTCCTTACTTTCATCATCATCATCATTTTTAATTTGTATATCGCCTTTCTATCTTACAATACTCAAGGCGGTTTACAAGTTGAAGAAACAACAAATGTACATCTTATAACAATCTAACGCAATACAAAAATGTGATAATAAAACAGAACTTTAAAATAGGCAGCCTACATCAAAAAAGTAACATTCCACAATCAATTAGAATAGTATAAAATAATAATATCAACATATAAAAGTTAAACAGAAATCCACCCAACAGTTACAATAATATCTAAACTATAATCAGTAAAACAGCGGCATATAAAACAATACAATACAAATTGAGAAGCAGAGGGTGGGGCAAGGCAGGTGGAAGGAGGCCTTCCCCAGTGGAGTCTCTCCCCTCACAGTTCTTCCTCCAGGAGCAGCTCCCTTATGTGGACTCCTAGGGCCGGAGGGTGGGGCAAGGCAGTGGGTCAGCCTTAGTTGAATACCGCCCCAAGTCTGTCTCCTGTTTCCCCCTTACCCACTTACCTTGGGGCAGCGTCCAGAATTTCAGACTGCCTTCTCTCTCTCTCAGGAAACTGGGCGATGGGCTTTTCCTGCGCTGCTGTAAAGAGGTGTCCGAGTTGTATCCCAAGATTAAATTTGACACCATGATCATAGACAACTGCTGCATGCAGGTAGGCCAGGCCCCTCCGCCCCTCCCTCCCCGCTGCCTCCTTCAGCAGATACCTTCCCTTGGGGACCCTTGCCCCTCTGCCCAGGCTTGTGGGTTGCCAGAGGAGTCCCCCAGCGTTGGCGGTGTGTCCCTGCAAGTCTCGGTTGCTGGGCGGCCTCACCCCCTCCTGGCATGTGGCCTGCAGAGGAGCTTGGGCACAAAACCGTGAGCTGCCCATGAGACTGGCATGACGGGAGGGTGCTTCCTGCCGCGATTCCACGTGCGATGGTGTGCCGTGTCTTCCTTCCAGCTGGTGCAAAACCCTTACCAGTTCGACGTCTTGGTCATGCCCAACTTGTACGGCAACATCATCGACAACCTGGCGGCCGGCCTGGTGGGTGGGGCCGGCGTGGTTCCTGGAGAGAGCTACAGTGCTGAATACGCCGTCTTTGAGATGGTGAGGAACTGATCGGGGCTGGGTTCGCCCTCCCTCCGTCCCGGGGGCTTCAGGGGAAGCTGGGCGGCACGACGTGTCTGAGAGCGTTTTCCCCTTTCTCTCCTTCCTTCCAGGGCGCCCGTCACCCCTTTGCTCAGGCTGTGGGGAGAAACATCGCCAACCCCACAGCCATGCTGCTCTCCTCGGCCAACATGTTGAGGCATCTCAAGTGAGTTCCCTGGGCTGAGTGGCAAGAGGGCGGGGAGCCTTCCAGCAGAATAATAATACCACCTTCATTGTCATTGTACAACCTGTGTACAATGAAATTAAATGAGCCTCCCTTCCCCCCCCAACACTCAGTCTCGCTGCACTCTGTGTGCTTTTCGAACAACACACCACCTCACAAATCAATTTCACTGTGTTATTTTCCGTTCAACAGCCTAACAGCCCCCAGACAAAAGCTGTTTTTTAGCCTGTTGGTACGGCTGATTATACTTCTATATCTCCTGCCCAAGGGTAGAAGATTAAAGAGGTGCATAGCTCTCAACATTCCCCTTTTTTAAAGGGAAATTCCTTATTCCGAATAGGATTCCCTGCAAGAAAAGGGAAAGGTTGATAGCTATGAAGAGGTGATGGCCGGGGTGGCCTACCTCACAGGGTTATTACTCCTCGTGACAGCCGCCTCTTTCCTCCTCCCCTGTCTAGCTTGGAATACCATTCCACCATGATCTCGGACGCCGTGAGGAAGGTGATCAAAGTTGGCAAAGTGAGTATTGAGCTGTCTGATTTCTGTCCTTTCCTTTCTGCTGTGTGCTGAACCTGTCTCTGCTTCTCTTCTCTCCGTGTTGTGCCCAGTTCTGGCTGGCAGGTTCTGTTGGGGCAGTTGGGGGGGGGGGAGTTCAGGCCAAGGAGAGAAGGGGGGGGCAGAATTTGCCAGGGCAGCTGACTCACTCCCCCAGGAGGAGGAGGCTATTGGGGCTTGTTTGTACTTAGAGCTCACCCTTCATCAAATGGTGCCCGGGTGGATTACAAAAATATCCTACTTAAAATTATTTTCAAATTATTATTATTATATTTATTTATACCCCTCCTTTTCCTCAGCGCAGGACTTAAGGCAGCTTACACAAATTAAAGCAGCACAAATAAAATACAAAAAGCAAAAAACATACACAGTGGTACCTGGGGTTACATACGCTTCAGGTTACAGACTCCGCTAACCCAGAAATAGTACCTCGGGTTAAGAACTTTGCTTCAGGATGAGAACAGAAATCGTGCTCCGGCGGCGTGGCAGCAGCAGGAGGCCCCATTAGCTAAAGTGGTGCTTCAGGTTAAGAACAGTTTCAGGTTAAGAATGGACCTCTGGAAAGAATTAAGTACTTAACCCGAGGTACCACTGTAAAAGTTAAAAAGTGATCAAACTATAATAGAATTAAAACAGCGTAAAATTAAATCCTTTAAAATACAGATAGCAAAAACAGCACAGCACAATTAAAAGCCCTTGCTTAAAAAACAGTTCCCAAAGGACTGTTGGAACAAAACAGGCTTCATCTGCCAGCAGAAGGACAGCAAGGAGGGAGGCAGCCCAGCTCCCCAGAAGGCCCTCTCCTGCGTCCCCACCAAAAACTCCTAAAATAAAACTCCAAAAATGACCAAAGTAACAAAACAGCATCACAGAGCGGCAGCAGGAGGGAAGTCTCCTGCTCAGCCAAAGGCCTCCTGGGTAAATTGGCCAGTGGTGGCCAGGCATACATCCCTCTGAGTGGAGGTCAGTCCACCCCCCTGGGAGCCACATCAGCCAGGCCTCCCCCGCTGAGCTCAACACCTGGGCACCCAAGTCGCTCCCACTCCTCATTTACCAGCGCAACTGCAGCTCAGTGGACGCGGCTCTCAGAGAGACGCCAGTTTCTCCGTGTGGAACTGGGAATAGAGATCAGATTCCCTTGGCAGGGAAGGGACTGTTGACTACAGTGCCTGCCCCCAACCCATCTCAGACTTCTCCCATGCTGGGGCCTGGCCACAAACAGGGCCGCCTCTCTCTCACGCAGAACCTGATTGGGAATCGTGTGTGTGTGGTTGTTCCATCCCTGTGACTCCCCTAAGGAAGACCCCTTTGGGGTGACCTCGCCGCTTGTGGCACGGCTGGTTCTTGGTGCCATTCACAGGACGAGACTCTTCCCAGCACAGCCTCTCTCCTCTTCGCAGCTGCAAACAGCCAGCCATGTGTACTTGCTAGCATCCAGCGGGAAATGGGGCTGGGGTCCTGCGTCTTCTGCCCCCTTCTCCCAGCTGTTCCCCTTGTCCTGTCGTCTCCCCTCTTCAGAGCCTTCTGTGGACCGTCTTGTGGTCCACAGATGTGCCGTCTTGTGGTCTGTGGCCTTGGTGGGGTGAGAGTGTCTCTGTGTCTCCCTTTGCCTCTCACTTTCTCTGGGTGCAGCTTGGGTCCGTCCCCTTCCCTGTTTTTTTTGGGGGGGTTCGTGTTTCCCCCCTCCCACATCTCACAGCCACATGTCTGTCTCCCTCCCCCCTCCTTCCCTGTGTTGGATTGTAGGTGCGGACGCAGGACATGGGCGGTTACTCGACCACCTCTGACTTCGTCAAGTCTGTGATTGACCACTTGCACCCCCACTACGGGGCCTAGGGCTGGCCTGGCCCTCGGCTGCTCCCCGCCCGGCCCCCCCAGCACATGGGCGCCACAGACACCTCCTCCCTCGGGGCTGCCTGTCTCAGAAGAGATCTGGGTGTGCTCTCCCTTGCGTCTCAGATCTGAAGCTGGCCGGTCCCTACTGGGGAGCGAATGTTTTCTTGCCCCCCCCCTCAAATCTCTTAACCCTGGGTATGGGTCCCATAGATGAATTGAGGACACTCCTCGGTGCTGTGAGCTTTTGGGAACTGCTCCAGGCCTGGGGTCCCCAGGCAGGCCTCCTCCTGCAGCCCCCACAAAGACTTGCCCATAGTTTTGAAAGCAGGCACTCTTGAGAGGCTGGGGTCCTTCAGGCTGCTCTGCCCCCTCCCATTCCCCTCTTTTTCTGGGTGGAAATACCCCCCCCTCCCACTGAAGCCCAGGCTGGAACTGGCCTTGGTCCCTCTTTCAAGGGAAAGAGGTTTTTCCTGCCCATAGTCCCTTTTCAGCAAAGCTGAGCTCTGCAGGCGATGCTGTGACCTTTGTGGGGAAGGGTCCAGTCCCCCCACCCTGCTGAGGAGGGTACCTTTTGTGGCTAGACCCGTGGTTCCTGCAGTTCTGACACAGGAGGAGGAGTGCTCTGTGTGTGTGTGAGAGAGAGGGGTGGGGAGGGTAAAAAGGAGATTTTGTTACAGCTGTGGTCACTTGCAGAATCATGACAGCCTGGCACCAGTCTCTGCAAATGGACCTTTAGGCCCACGGAAATCCAGGTCATGGGGATTTGTCGGAATCTGCCTGTGGTGCGTGTGTCAGGTGGTGGTTTGACCCCCATGGGGGTTGTCTCATTTTGAGGCCAGCTGGCTGTGTTGGTGTGAATGTGTGGGCAGAGAATCCCACGTGTGCTCAGCTGTCATCATACTCCATATTAATTGTGAATAAAACCGTTGCGGATTTTCTGCACCAAGTGGCTCTGCTCCCTCCTTGGGGCTGTGTGTGTCTGATTCCTGGCAACATCTCTGCTGTGGACCCAGAGGGAGAGCACAGGGCCTCTGGACTCCAGACCAGGCCCCTGGAGAAGTTCCAGCCGTGGGGAACCTCTGCATGGTTAAGGGTTTGCCCAGCCCCAACTGGTCTTGCAGCCCTGGAGTGGGCAGGAGCCAGAGGCTTCACCTGGGTCTGCCTCCCTCCCTCCCTGCTCTTGGCCCCCCAACGGAGCCCCACGGATGCTCCCCTCTCCCTTTCCGGCTCGAGCGTTTGTTCCATGTCCGTGTGAAGCAACAGACATCCTCTTCCCGCCCTACTAGAGCTTCCTCTCCCTGCCTCCATATTCATTTGCACACTGTCCATCCTGCGCCTTCAGCATCATTGCATGACCATACATACCATGACTTGCAAAGCAGTAATCACTAAAATAAAAAGTGAACATCACGCTTACCATCAGCAATTCATCAAGGTAGTTTAGATTTTCCTGCATGTTAGAACTATACAGGTGAGAGGTTCAAAAAAGAAACAGCCATAGTGGGGGGTGCCTGGCAGGCCTCCCTGGAGAGGGCATTTCAGTGGCAAAAGAGGGGGTGCACCTTCTGTGAAAAGTCTCCCCCACTGCAATGAGGCAGGTGCTGGCAGCGGTATCATTTAAGCTCCAAGGATGTTGCTGGCTGGCCTGCTTGTAGGGATGCCTGTTCATTTAGCCTCTTCCCTGATGGGCCAATTGAACTTCTAAGGTGTGCTTTGTGAAGCGCCTTAGGATTTATGGAAGGTGACGTAGAAATATTTTTAAATAAACGGGGATTCAGGAAACTCTGTGTCAGCTTAACCCCCTCTGTTCCTGACAAATGCTGGAAAGTGGTACTGAAGTTGCCCTTCTAAGCACCTCGGTGAGCAGGAGGGGCAGCCTGGCTTCTACAAGGATTGGGAAGATGCAACAGACCAGGTTTTCCTAGCAGCATTTACCCAGTCGCTGGCCAAAAGCTCCTGAGCGAACAGCTGCTTAAGGAACAGGAAGCACAGAGGGGCAAATGGAGAGAAGTGAAAAGTGGGGTGCCCAAAGGATGGAGCGGGGCCTGGGGTCTTCGTTGCAAGTGAAACTCATGGAAAACGAGGTAGCGCTGAGCTCCAAAGGGCTCTCCCAGGCAGGCAAGAGGCCACGAAATGGCAAATAAGTACGGTGGTACCTTGGTTCTCAAACTTAATCTGTTCCAGAAGTCCGTTCCAAAACCAAGGCGCGCTTTCCCATAGAAAGTAATGCAAAATGGATTAATCCGTTCCAGACTTTAAAAAACAACCCCTAAAACAGCAATTTAACATGAATTTTACTATCCAACAAGACCACTGATCCCTAAAACAATGTACTGCAGTCACACAATCAATCAGAAGCTGAACTGGGTTCCACACAGTCACAAAACAAAAGAAAAAAGCCGCAAAAACAAAAATGCAAACTAAATAGCAAAAACAGACCCCAGCGTAACACTCAAAACGGATCATGTTCGGCTTCCGAAAAAAGTTTTCAAATGGCAACACATACTTCCAGGTTCGCAGTGTTTGGGTTCCAGGTTGTTTGAGTCCCAAGGCCTTTGAGAACCAAGGAGCCCTTGTACAGTGTGAACAGTTCGCTGAAAGTAAGTATATGTGCTGTGCCTGGGGTGGGCGGCAACGGTCCTCCCTTCACATCTGTGCTTACGGGGTCTGAGCTGGTGGGGAAGGGGTTGTAGACAGCAGGTGGGAAATGCTGGCTCCCTGTGTGGCAGCAGTGAGAAAGGCAAAAGGAGCTGTGGGGTGGCGAAGGACCTTTGCGGTCTTTTAGCGCACCCTGCTGCCTGCACATGGCAGGATCCCTGACACAGTGGCTGTCAGCCCCTACTGCAACGCCTCCAGCGAAGGAGAGCCCAACGCCCCCCAAGGAAGAGGGTCTCACTTTGGTGCAGCTCCTGTCTCTTAGGAAGCTGTTCGTCCTCCTGTCCTTCAGCCAAGATCCCCTGCTTTGTCCTTCCCAGCCACTGCTTCTCTGCAGCGACAGCAAAGGGCTCCGCTCTGGCGTCTGCAGGACCAGCCCTTCAGATCCTTGCAGATTGCGCTCCTGTCTTTGCTCCTCTCCCACACCCTGCCTGACCTCAACTTTTTTTTTCTTTTCCAAAAATTTTATTGCTTTCCAACATTTATCACAAAAATAACATAACAAAATACACAACAAAGAAAAAAAGCACACCACACTACAATAAACTAAACACACAAGAAAAAAAAGATTATCTCTTCAAATATCCAACTTTCATCACATTGATGACTGACTTCCTTGAATCGCCTCTAACTGAATTTCCTTATATCACCTTTATAACCGTTCTCCAAGTTCATATTTCTAATAATATTAACTGCTTTCATTTACTAACCTCTTCTCCTTTATTAATATTGTTGTTTAGTCGTGTCCGCCTCTTCATGACCCCCCTGGACCAGAGCACGCCAGGCATTTCTGTCTTCCACTGCCTCCCGCAGTTTGGTCAGACTCATGCTGGTAGCTTCGAGAACACTGTCTCGCTATCTTGTCCTCTGTCGTCCCCTTCTCCTTGTGCCCTCCATCTTTCCCAACACCTTTATTAATATTCTAATCCTTAATATTTACTACCACATATTCTTATTCTACCCCTCAGCCTATTTGTTACTTCCAAGGATTTTCTATTTATCTTATATCCTGCTTGACCTCAACTTAAACTTCCCCCAGTACAACTAACAGTCCTGTAGAAATTGCAGAAGAAATCCACAGTTCCAGGCAGGGCTTTATTGCGCCCGAGGCTTCTGCTCCATTGCCCATCAGTTGAGAGGAAGCCGTTTTCCCCTCGCACAATTGAAGATTCACCTGCACTTGCTGTTTAAGTGGTAGTTGCCAAAGGAACCTACAAGGATTACCTGATCTCAGACAAACCCGCCACAGAAAAGAAAAATCCTGATTTGGGGGGGGGGCAAAAATGGAGACTCCAAAGACTACTCAGAAAGGACAGAAACTCTTTAGGACCTCAGGGATTCCTACTTCGTGGTGTCCAAACAACTTTCTCATCATTCATAGCTCTGACCACACATGGGTTAAATACGCTGTCAGGTGAGAACCAAAAGATTATTTCACAGACATGCTTAAAAAGGGTCCTTGCATGTTTTGCTCCATGGCTTTGTAGGCAGGCTAGACTTGCACACAAACATTGAGGGCAGCACGGCAACAGCTCCTGCACTTGACAGCATGGTGAGAATAAAGGTAGTTTTTCACATAATGCCAGAAATGTCACCCTATCGAATGGATTACTAATAAATTAATGACCGGCCACAAAAATGATTTCCGCAACTCCAGACAGTTTAGAGAAGTCTTCTGAAGTCACTGAAAAACAACCATATCTTTGCTAGAGTGTTGTGGGGGGAGGGGTGGAATACCAAATTTTGGTAGAAATGGAGAATATGCAATAGTTTGTTAGTGCACGTCAAAAGTCACTTTGTTCCTTTAGGAATATAAAACGTGTTATGTGTAACTTGGTTTGCCATTAAATTATGTTTGGTATATTAAAAGTTCAGTTTGTGTTCAAACAATAATTACAAATTTACTGTGCATTTTGAAATGTTTACAGTCTTTGTTACAAGATCGTAAACTGCAAGTTGCTGAACTGTAAGGAACCTCTTTGACCAGATCAGTTTATGAGCAGGCAAAAGCAATCAAATGGGAGGACTCAGCCGCATTATAGTTTTAAAAAGAGGAAATTACCATTCAAAACTCCCACTGTTCCAGGTGCATTTTGCGACAGGAAATTTCATTAGTGCAAGCCGTTTCTGAGCTCTCGGTGCAGTACTGCACCTAAGATTTCAGATTAAACCTGCAGAGTGGAAGGAAAAGAGGGCCTTTTTCTGCCTCCCCACTTCCAGCCACTCTGGGGAAGAGACCTTCTTTAAAATATTAGGGAAGGTGGGCAGGGGAAGGACTAGACCATGTGAAGAATGAACATATTTTAGCTGCAGTTGGTTCATTTTCCTGTTATAAAAAAGCACGCCTAGACATGCCATTGTTGCGCCCATAACCTCAGTATAAGGTGCCATTTAGCTCCTTGCCTCCATATCTCAGTTTCTAACAATGTCCACCATTGTGATGCAGTCACTTATTTCCATAAAAAGAGCTGAGCAAAGCAGGATGGGAGAGAACCAAGGCAAAATAAACACCAGATGAAATGTCACCCGTCTATTTCTATTTGTCTCTGTTGCTTCTGATCATTCATATTTATCTTCAACTTCTAAAAACTGAAGTTTTTGCCTAGATTGGAAAGCGTCTAACACCCCTTTGCACCATAGGCCAAAATAATTGGGGGCGAAAGCAAGAGTTTGGAAAACAAAAAGGGAGGGTGGCTAGATGGCTTGAAAGGCTGGCCAGGCATCCATGAGAAAGCCAGCAGTGGCCCCAAGAGGAAGAAGGAGACCTCCATGCTTTGCTTTTTCCTGCAGCAGCAAGGCTGCAGATTTGTTGCAATTAGTGATTAGTGGGCCCAGCTCTTGCTTTGGCTCCCTGTCGGCACAGCATTCCAAATATATATATATATATATTTTAAGACTATATACTAGTAGTATGACAGTATATAATCATGGATCTATAGTAATGAGTTCACATCTGTGTGGCTTCAGGTCCTTTCTTAATACCCCCCTCTGTTGCATGATCTTTTTAATTTGAAACTCCAGCAGATGGCAGTCCTGAACAAGTCATTCCCCATCGTCTTTTGGAAGATTTTTGCAGTAGCTCTTTTCCTCTTTTGGTTGGGATCCAGGGAAAACAAGCCATTTTTTGCTAGGATTCTAATGTGATAAAGCAATTTTATAATCTTCAAAGTTCTTTGCAATTATGTATTATGTGCAACCCACTGTTTTGGTAGTTAGCAATTGCATAATTAACATTGGCACCTGGTACTGTTTGGCATTTCCTTTCCCTCAGAATTTGCTTTTTACAATTCCACCCCACCCTGGGATAACTGCCACCCATACAAGTTCATACCATAATACAATTGTTCCCAGTTGGTGGCCACCCAGGAGGTTCGTGGCACCAGTCACCTAACAAAAACCACCATGAAGATCACAGTTTTCCATAGTTGGGAGTCCATGGTTTGGTGTTTTAAAAAAAGGGGTCCACAGTACTTAGCTGATTGGAACCACTGCCATAATAAATATGGAAGTTTTAAAATTCCTAGGCACCAACACATATTGTTCCCTCCATAAATATATATTGTTCCCTTTGTTTTGGAAGCTGTGTATTATTAATATTCTTGCACAAAGGACTCTTCTGGAGGAAGAAATGGCCTTTTTGCTAACCTCCCCATCTCTCTTCACAGGTGCGGACACCAGACATGGGCGGCTACTCCACATCCCACGACTTCACACGTGCCGTTATCACAGCTCTGAGCGAGTAGGGCTTGCTGAGAAACACATGGGGGAGGAATTCAGAAATTAATTATGACGCTGCTTTCTGCTTCTGCCAAATAATTTATTGTGAGCTTAGCTCCTTGTTGCACAAATAAAGTGAATGTGGCCACTCCCATGAGTTGTATGCATGAAATACTCCTAGACCTTGGAGGACTCTTCGGGGAAAGTGGGAAGAAGCAGTTGGCTGCGGAGTTCAGCTACCTCTGTCAAGTGAAAAGCAGCTATAAGCAAAGAACTGAAGTCTGCAAATCTTGCAGTCAGCTAGCAGAGCACCAGGGATGCTGTTTGCTACCTCAGAGTCTTGAATGTGGAGAGAAGCTGGCAGTAAAACCCACCAGCTGCCCAGAACCATACACCTCCCTCATCAAACGTCTTTAAACCTTTATGCACAACAGACATGGAATAAACAGACTGTGCCATGCTACTTGGAAGGGCAAACCTCGTTTTGTTGTGCTACACCCCCTTCCTGGGTCTCATCTAACAGAATACCCAGAGGCAAAGCTGCTATAAAAAGACAGTAATTTTATTGTTAGCTGGTTAAGTACATGAAATGTCCAGGTGGAACTTGCTGAATGGACGTCTCCTGAGGCCTCAGCTGCAAGCCACAGAACACCCTCCCCCCAGCCTGGCTCACTCTCTTTCCTTGTGTCGCCAAGAAAGGGACAGGAAACGGATCCTGGGCTGCCATTCTGCCCATGGGAGGTCCAACCGTGGCTACATTCAGTTGTCACAAAAGTACTGGGCAGAGAGCGAAGAGCCCAGAAGCCAGTTTTTAAAGAAACCCTCAGTGGACCTTAAGTCTCAGGCTGGCCATGTTGGACGGGATTTTGCCACTTGTCCTGCCCACTAGTCCTCCTCCTCCTCGTCTTCCTCCATTCTGGCCTTTTTCTTCTTTGTCTTTTTCCCCTTTGGGTGGGGCGTCTCCACAAGGCCCAGCTTCTTCTTCTTTTTGGGGGAGACCTCTTCCTCCTCCAGGCCATTCTCAGACGGCTCCACGTCCTCCTCTTCCTGGTGCTTTCGTTTTTTCTTTTTCTTGGGCGTGACATCATTTTCCTGAGATTAATTTATAGGGGAGGGGGAGAGAGAAGAGAATGGAGAATGCACACAGCCCTGTCTATCGCAGACACTCGGCTCCTGCTATGCCCAACCCTACAACCAACCACTGGCTCCCCAAAGGGGCTTCTCACCTCTGCCGTCGTCTCGAGCGCAGAGTTCTCCATTTCCTCTGCGGCCTCCAGGGCTTCCAGCCGCTTCTTCTCTCGCTTCTTTTTCTTCTTCGCTTTCTTCTCCAGCTTCTTCTTCATTTCAGCAGCCACCTCTGTGGCCTGTGAATGTAGAGAGTTCACAGTACCGTCAGTACCAGCCCACGCACCCCCAGTTGTTTGCAGCAGCAGCAACAGGCTGAATCAGACTCATTAAATCAGCTTTTGCCTCCACCAGTGGATAGGTCAGGCTCAGGTCATTTCATCACATCCAGCGACTGCTATGGGGCAGCCCCTCTGCCCTCCCACCCCGGCTCCACAGCCCATTGCCCACCTCCTTCATGACGTCAAGGTTCTTGCGTGGAGGCTCCCCCGTCTCATAGAAGGCCAGGCGCTCCTCCACCTGCTCTCGAAGCTTGTCTCCAAAGACGCAGGTCGGGGTCTCTGCAAAAAAACACAGACAGGAATGCGTGAGTCGGAGGGCACCTGCTCTACATGGCCAGAACCCAGGGAAGGGCGGCAGCATATTGTCCACTCTCCCCTCCACCCCACGGCCACACCCAGCAAGCTTTGCTCAGCCTTGATGCGTCACCATTCACTGGGTGAAATGCTGTTGACGAAAAATGTAACCATCATAGCAAAGCTGCTCGGCCGCTTGTCCAGCTTCATACAGAGACAGGCCAGGCCCCGATTCCTCACCTGAGAAGCAGTCGATGCGGGATGCAATCGTGCACTTGTTGGCCAGGTAGCGGGAGATCCGGCCCTTGTTCTTGGCAGCTGCTCGGCCAATGAAAGTGGAGTGGAAGATCAAGCCATATTTGGGAGTGTTTCCCCGAGTCTTCAAGGCTCTGCGGGAAAGAGGGGGCAAGGTTCACCAAGACAATGCTTTCTGGCAGAGGAAGAGAATCACGCATAGAGACCCACAAATTAAGCCCCCAACCACGGCTTGTCTCCCTCCTCCCAGGCCAAGCCTTAAATAGCTAACCTACCGGATGGAGGGGAAAGGGAATGGCCCAGGTGACCGCTCAGAGGCTGGGGGCCAGCCCATCACACATGCGGCCAAGGGGACTTGACCAGCACATCAAGCCCAGCACCCCAGGAGTCTGCCATCACTGCGGCCGCCCTGCAGCTGTACCTGAAGAGAGCCTTCTCTGCCCCCAGGATCTGCACTGTGGAAGCGGGATACTTTGCCAGGTTGGTCAGGCTGCCGGCGTGGGAGATGAGGCGGGCGCCCACCTGCGGGGAAAGGAGACAGGCAAGGCAATCACGTGACGCAGCCGCCTCAGAGCAGCAGCCAGACCCACAATTGTGCCCAGGAGACAAGTTGCTTCCCAGGCTGTGCAAGGGGCTCAGGGTTTGCTAAGCCCCAAACAGGAAGGTAGAAAACTCCGAAGCATCAACTTGCACCAGCGGCCCAATCCATGAGAGCGGCCCTTGGCCTTGCTCAGCAGCCGGCTAACATTGCACACACAAAACGTTACAATGCTTAAAACTCCTCTCTACAGACGGCCTCTGCCCCCTCCCTTTCCTCTGGCACAGATCAGCAGTGAGAGGGTGTCAGCACAAGGGCTCAGTGGATTGACAGATTCACATTGTACATCATATCTGTAGCCAGTGAGAATGGGGGGGGGGCAGGGGGTTCCTCTCTACACACACGGCAGCCACTTACCACTTCTCCAATCAGGGCTGAGAGGCTGGGAGCCACCTGGCTCATCTTGGAGCGGAGATACTCCTGCAGGCCTTTGCGATACTCGGAGAGAGAGATGACGCGGCTGGAGAAGCTCTCAATGTTGATGAGGTCAATGGGAGAGATATCCATCCCTGCAGGGAGAAGGGAGGCACATCAGAACAGAGGAGGCAAAAAGGAGAACCGGGCCACGCTCCTAACCTCCCTCCGCAGTGCAGCTTCTCTTAAAAACTGGCCCTTGTTAACAGAAGACTAAAAAGGATGAAGTTATTACAAATTGTTGCATGTGTCAAATTTAAAACAACGGAACTGAAAACAGACATTAGCACCAGAAAGACTCAACGCCAAGTAGATGAGCTGCTTGAAATCAAAAAACTGTGCAAGAGCCACGGTTCAGCACCTGTGTTCACCTGGCATACCTAAGGCCCCACCCCTTCCCCACATGACTACTGACCCATGGATGAGCGAGAGGCCTCCAGGATAGCCTGGGCCTTGGCACTGTCCATGACGATTTCTTCCAAGGCCTCCAGGCTCTCCTCACTCAGCTCCTTCCGGTTCCCAATGAGCTTGGTGAGGCGGCAGTAGGTGTAGTTGTCACTCACGATCTTGATCAGCTCAGGGAAGTGATATCCGTACCACTCTCTGCCAGGGGGGAGAGGAGGCAGAGTCAGGACAGAGCACCCACAGCCTCTCCAGGCAAAGTTTAGAAAAGGCTCCAGGATTTTGGGTGTGTGGCTTTTTTGTGCCCGTACTAACAATACAGCTCAGGGGAAAGTCGGCCTGGCTGTGGTGTATACGCAGGGCTATCAATTCTCTGTCTCCCGTTTCTATACAGTCAGCAGGTGTGGTGAAGCTGCCTGTGGTAAGCATAGGGAGACCGGAAGGAAGAATCAACTTTGGCCAGAACGTCTCTCCAAAGCACCAGAGACCCCCTCACCTGACCCGCATGGAGAAGGTGTTAATGTCCTTGTCTAGCTGGTCCAAGAGGCTGATGGACTGGATGATCATGTTATCCACCCTGTTGACGTTGAACTTCACTTTGGCCCGAGAGTAGCTGTGCCCCAGTCCCAGTTGAGCCTTGGAGGCGGACTGTGCTGTCAGACCTTTGATCAGACTGTGGAAATGCAACCGGATACCTGGGCGGAGGGAGAAGACAGGAGAAAGGGGGTTCAGCCCTGCCAAGCGCTGGCAGAAAAACACTCTCCAAACACCTCATCCAGTAAACAATTCTTCCCATTCCTGTTGCCCTTTTCACAGACTCACCTCGGGTGATCTCAGCCACGACGCCTCCAGCCTGGCACTGGAAGCCCAGCTCTTCCTGGATGGCAGCCCCGATTTTAGCATCGCTGACCCCCACAACGACCTTCTTCTTTTTGGCCGGCAAGTTCGTCTCGAGGAGAAGACGGAGGTCCTCATGGAGGATCCCTGGACCGGGCAAGAGAAAGAGAAGACTCAGTGGGGCGCCGGGGCGCTGCCCTTACGGAAAAGAGCAGAATCTGAGCAAAGAGGAAGGAATCTGGGCGCTGCTCACCTTCGGAGATAGCATTGATGTTTTCCAAGGCACTCTGGGCAGACTTGAAGGGCGAAAAGGCGACGAGTTTGACCACGGTGAGGAATTTGCCGAGGTTCAGGACGCTCTCCTCCACCTGCAGAAGCGCCAGCAGCACATGTCCCGGTTTTGCCCTGCGCTGAATCAACCCACAATGCCTCCTCCCCCAAAGACCAAGATGGCGGGAGCAACCCCACGCTTCGTGATGGCGGAATTTTGTTGCGGGGGCGAGACAGCTCTGATCTATGCAAATCAATGCCCAAACCTCCCGAATATTCCTCTTTACTGGCGCGACGAACAAAAAGGGGCCGGGCAGGCAGATCCCATCTAAGAAAGCCACATCGAGGGGGAAAACCTATTGAACCCCACCGCCGCGCCGCCCTCCCCGTGATCCCGCCGGGCCTACTCGCGAGTTGCTCTCCCTTGGCCGCAAAGGCCTCCCCGCCGGGCCAGGCGCACGTGTCTCTCCCCCGGGCATCCCCACGTGGCATCATCCGAGTCAGAGGAGGGTCGCCCGAGGGGGGAGGGGTGGGATGCGGCCCCCGAAAGTCCTTCTCCGGCCCCCCGCGCTCACCTGGGGCAGCAGCAGAGCCACCTCCTCCACCTGCCGGAGGGCGAAGAGCGCGTAGCCGGCCGCGTGCTCGAAGAGGACGTGAAGGAGGACCTGCGCGGGGGGGGAGGAAGGAGAGCCGCCATTAGTCCGTCCCGAGGGAGCCCCGCGCCCGCCCCCCTCGCCCCCCCCCCCGGCTCCGGCTCCCGCTCCTCACCATGGCGCCGCCGCCGCCGCTCCTCGCTCCTCTCGCCCGACTGGGCCGCGCAGGCCTCGCGCTCAGGAAGGACCTCGAGGGCCCACCGGAAGCGCTCCCCTCGCCTCACGCCGCTCAGCCAACGGCGGGGCAGGGTTCCGGACCCGCCCCTTCCGCTTGCCCGCCCCTCCGCCAGGCCCGCCAATGGGAAGGCGAAGAGGCGGCCGCGGTCGCGCGCTCGGCCAATGGGAGCAGGCGGCGGCGGCGGCAGCTCCCGCCTCTTCCTCTCAAGGGCGGCCTCCTCGACGTCCATCATTCCACGAGGTTCGGACTCGGCGCAGGCGCGGCAGGAGGCTCCGCCCGCAGGGCTGTCCGGGGCGGGGCTGGGAGGGAGCCCCAAAGGTCATCTAGACCAACCCCCTCCAAGGCGGGGGGGGCGCAACCAGCGCCAGGAGGGCGCCCCGAAGGAGCCCCCCATCCAGGGAAGCCCCCCAACTGGCAGGCTGACCCGCCCCCCGCGCACCCGAAGCCGAGGCGGGTTCAGCGAAGCCTTGTATCTCCAGTCCATTGGGCTGCATCGTATTCTCCAGGAGGGGCCTGATCCCTTTCTTTCTTTTTTTTAAATAATTTTTATTAAGTTTTGAACAACAAAGAAAGAAAAGAAAAACATAAACAATACATATCTCAAAAAGAAGATAACAAAAACACAAAAAAACCAAAATTCAACAATAAAGAACAAAAAACATAAGAATGAAAAAAAACAATATCTCTTTTCCATTTCCGTTTTTTAGTTACTTATTTTCTGGACTTCCTCATACCTCCCTCTTTTGTATTCCAATCCAAATTGTTTGTTCAGCAATTTCTTTTCCACTTTTTTAATCCCAATCTTTAGCTTTAATAAGATATTGAAATATATAACTTCAACTTCTTTAAGCCTGATCTTTGGTCTTAGTATCATATAACGTTAAAATTTTTCCTCTTAATATCAAATTTCCATTTCTTTAAACAACTTTAATCCTATCTTTAATCTTAGTCTATCATTAACTTTAACCAGTACATCTGGAAACCGCTTATTTTCAATCCAACATCACTCTAACATTCTTTAATTTTGCAATGTTTCTGAAGATAATCTTTAAATTTATTCCAGTCTTCCTCCATCGACTCTTCTCCCTGGTCACGGATTCTACCAGTCATTTCCGCCAATTCCATATAGTCCATCAATTTCATCTGCCATTCCTGCAGGGTGGGAGTTCTTGTGTCTTCAAATACTTTGCGATGAGTATTCTTGCTGCTGTTGTTGCATACATAAAGAAAGTTCTATCCTTTTTAACACCATTTGGCCGACTATGCCCAGGAGAAAGGCCTCTGGTTTCTTAGGGAAGGTATATTTGAATACCTTTTTAATTCATTATATATCATTTCCCAGAAAACCTTAATCTTTGGGCACGTCCACCAAAGGTGAAAAAATGTACCTTCAGTTTCTTTACATTTCCAACATTTATTATCGGGCAAGTGATAGATTTTTGCAAGCTTGACTGGGGTTATGTACCACCTATATATCATTTTCATAATATTCTCTCTTAGGCATTCCATGCCGTAAATTTCATACCTGTGGTCCACAACTGTTCCCAGTCAGCAAACATAATGTTATGACCAACGTCCTGTGCCCATTTAATCATAGCCGATTTTACCGTTTCATCTTGAGTATTCCATTTCAGCAGCAAGTTATACATTCTTGACAAATTCTTAGTTTTGGGTTCTAACAATTCTGTTTCTAATTTGGATCTTTCCACCTGGAAGCCAATTTTCCTGTCCAATTTAAATGCCTCCATTATCTGATAATAATGAAGCCAGTCTCACACTTTGTTTTTTAGTTTTTCAAAACTCTGCAATTTCAGTCTATCTCCGTCTTGTTCCAAAATTTCCCAATATTTCGGCCATTTGACCTCCATATTGGCCTTTTTCAAGGCTTTCGCTTCCATTGGTGACAGCCACCTTGGGGTTTTATTTTCTAGCAAATCCTTATATCTTATCCAAACATTAAATAGCGCTTTCCTGACAATGTGGTTTCTAAATGCTTTATGTGCTTTGACCTTATCATACCATAGATATGCATGCCATCCAAATACATTATTAAAACCTTCCAAGTCCAAAATGTCAGTGTTTTCAAGAAGTAGCCATTCTTTCAACCAGCAAAAGCTGCTGATTCATAGTAAAGTTTGAGGTCTGGCAGGGCAAATCCACCTCTTTCCTTTGCATCTGTTAATATTTTAAATTTTATTCTGGGCTTCTTGCCCTGCCAGACAAATTTAGAAATATCTTTCTGCCACCTCTTGAAACAATCCATTTTGTCCACAATCTGCAAAGTTTGGAACTAAAGCTACATTCTAGGCAATACATTCATTTTTATCGCAGCAATACGGCCCAGCAGTGAAAGCTTCAAATTTGACCAAATTTCTAAATCTTTTTTCACTTCAGACCAGCATTTTTCATAATTGTCTTTAAATAAGTTCCCATTTTTTGCTGTCATGTTAATCCCCAAGTATTTAACTTTCTTAACCACTGTTAAACCTGTCTCATTCTGAAACCTCTCTCTCTCAATCGGTGTTAAATTTTTCTCTAAAACCTTGGTTTTTGACTTATTCAATTTAAATCCTGCCACTTGACCAAATTCTTGAATCAGTTCTAAAACACTTTTAGTACTAGATTCTGGCTCCTGTAATGTCAATACTAAGTCATCTGCAAATGCTCTCCTGATCCCTTTCGTCCTCCGAGGGGCTGAATGCCCTGGGAGGCAGGAGGCGTGCTTGGCCAGAGGCGCATCAGGCTTTGTGCCCGCAGTTAGTTGCCACTCGCCGCCACCCTTTTCCATTGGCAAAGTCCTTGTACTTTGCAGGGGCTCAGGCACTTTGCAACAACATTCCAGTCGCAGGAGGTTAATGGCCGGTGTAATAAAAAAATTAAGGTCTTGTTGTTTAGTCGTTTAGTCATGTCCGCCTCTTCGTGCCCCCCTGGACCAGAGTACGCCAGGCACTCCTGACTTCCACTGCCTCCCGCAGTTTGGTCAGACTCATGCTGGTAGCTTCAAGGACACTGTCCCACCATCTCGTCCTCCGTCGTCCCCTTCTCCTTGTGCCCTCCATCTTTCCCAACATCAGGGTCTTTCCCAGGGAGTCTTCTATATATAATAAATGTTCATAAATGTACCAACCAGGCAGGTACATAGATATGTGGACCACATGTCTGGAGCAGCACGGGAAGACCTTCCTGAAACCATTTTGACTCCCAAACTGACCAAATGTTTTCTCTGCAAGGAGGGAGGGGGTGAGGGAGCCTTCCCATTGTCTCAGCAATTGGGAAATCGCCATCTCAAAGGAATGGCCAGACTACCAGGAAAGGCAATCAGATAAGGCATTATCAGATAACCTGGCAGACAGGAAAAACAACATTCAAATTTCTGTTGTAGACCACCTTTTCTGTGATGTAGGTTTGATGTATCTGGGGGGTGGTCTTGGGCTACACCCCTTCTGTGATGTATGTATGATGTGTCTGGGGGTGGTCTTGGACTCCAGGGCAGGCAATTTAAAATGTGTATATAAGGGCAGGCACACCTGGGTTCTGGGTCCTCCTGCATGTGAGGGGAGCCCCCTGTTGCAACAGGTCAATAAATATCAGGCTTACTAGCTGCTTTGCTTCTCAATATTCTCTGGTTGGCCTCTGTTCTTTTCTCCTACCGATGGAGAACCTACAAAGGACTCTCTAAAGGGTTCTTGTGTCCCCCATAAGGGAAGAAGGGCAGATTTTGTTTACAACACTGGGCAAGCAAAGGGAGCTTTGTGAGCCCTCATGGTGGCTGAGAGACGTCTGCTTTGAGCCTCTCACTGCCTTGGCTGCACCTGAAGCCATTTCATGTGGATACCTCTTTGGGCATCTGGGAGATTTTTATCAAGTTACATGTTCAATGTAATATTTGTGCACCAATGGCCACTGGGTGGTTTACTGTTATTTGGTACTATTTGTACATTATTATTACTCTACTTTCCCGCTTTAATTTCATTTCATTTCCCCGTTTTTCCTTGTTAAATTTGGAAATACAAGGAGTTATTTTCAAAGGCCCCTCTAACTCATATGAGTAACGATGTCACACAGTGCAAACTTGGTTTAAGAGTTCAGTTTATTTATCTCAAGAGCTCCAAGGAGTCAACGTGCAAGAAGGTTTCTGCCTCAAAGTGCTTGTGGATCTCCAGGCTCCAAATGGCTCCTCGCCCCCAGCATCCCAACACCACAGAAGCCCCCACCATGGAAGTCAGCAGAGGAAGAGAAGGGCACTTAGGGGATGTGGCCAGGGAGCTGCAAGATGAAGTTTGCAGAGAGAGACCCCCGCCGCCCTTAACCAAGTGCCCCAGTAAGGCCAGTAAGACCCAGAGGGTAGGGGAAGAGACACCCCTTGCCATGCTTGGGCCGTCTGGGGCTGCACCAGAAGCAGCAGGAAGGAAGCTGAAGGTGCTGATGAAACAGGTAAAGGGCTTGGATCTGGCGATGGCATTCCCTCCATCGTCCCCATCTGGCAGGTGGCAAGCAAAGGTGCCTCCCCTTCTCCCTTGGTTGGCAGGGGGGGAGTTGCCTGGGAGGGAAAAGCCACAGCACACAGAGTAGGTCTTGGGGCAGAACGGACTGTATCTGAAATGGGAGGAAAGCCTGGCCTGAGAGCCAGGAAGGAGCAGGTGCCCAGTGGCCATCGCTAAGGGAGTGGGTGAGAGCTGGGAAGGAGGACAGTGGTCATTGCGGGCAGAGTTGCCTGCCCAGTTTGAGGAGGGAGGCGCACAGAACAAACACAGGTCGTTCAGAGAGTCGGCAGTGCCAGGAGGGCCTTGCACAAACAAGAGTCTGCATATTTAGTGTGCATCTTGTAGGAGGAGAGGCAGCGGCGGAAGGGGGCGGGGGGGGGGGAGACCCTCTTAGGAGATGAGGCGGGCGTGGAGCTTGTGCAGCTGCTCGGGCGTGAGGACCAGTTTGTGGACCTGGCCGTGGCCCGGCTGGCAGGGGAAGGTCACTTTGCCAATGTAGACGGTGTCGTCCTTCTGCTCCTCTTTGGCCTGGAGGGGAAAGCAGAGCAGGCGGGAGAGTCAGGGGGGGGGGCCCAAGAGGACTCCCTCCCCCCGCTTCCCTGCCCAGGGCCAAGCGCTCACCTTGAGGAAGGGGGCTGAGGGGAAGGTGCCAAAGTCGGTCAGGACGTTGGCTCCGGGCTGCTGGAGGACAGTCTCCTTCAGGACTTCATCCTGCAGGACGGGAAGCGCAGTCAGGGCCGTCCAGCCCGAGCCCCCCTGTATTCCCATCCCGGCTGCTCAGGAGAGGAAGCGACACAGCCCTGGAACAGCCCACCAGGCAGCGGCCTTGGGGGGCTCTCACTTCCCCCTTCCCCTCTCTGAACAACCTCTGATGTTGCCCCTCCCTTTCTTCCAGGGAACAGGGCCCTGAGCAGCTTATTGCCAGCGAGAGAGACAGAGCCTGCTCTTGGGCACATTGCCAATGGGCAGAGTCTCTGGTTCAGGCCCCCAGTGCCACTCCCACCCCCTCCACCATGAAGGGCTCTTGCCCGGGACAGGAGATGACGGCCAGAGGCCTCGATTACCTTCAGTTTGTCGATGGTTTCGCTCAGTGACTTCAGGCGGGCCGTTTGCTCCAGGAGCTGGGCTGCTGGGCTGGTGGCTGCGGGGAGGACAGAGAGACGGAAAAGGCGTTGCTATTGCTGCCCCTCCCCACCCTGCAAGGGCACGCTCCGCAGGGACGGAGAGGCTGAGCTCTGCCGCTGCCCCCTCCCAGCCCCCGCCAGGCGCACCTGTCCTCTGCCGCGTGATGTCCACCACCTTGGTGTTGGCACTCATCTGGTGAAGGGTCTCCAGCAGCTGGCTGGTCTTGCGGTAGAGGGAGCTGGAGACCACCTCCTCCCCTTGCCTATCCTTGGCGAGAGACAGCTTGGGCACCCGCAGCGGGGTCAGCGAGGCCAGCTCCCGCCTCATCTGGGCTCCCTGGAGAGGAGGAGGAGGAATAGCAGGGCTCAAGCCAGACACTTTGACACACACACACACACACAATCAAATGAAAAGGGGCACAAGCAACCTCCAGCCACACTAGAGCACCCCCACCCAAAAAAAGCAGTTGCTCTGGGCAGCTTATTGTATTGATTATGACATGAATTTATATCCTGCCTTCTTCCCAGCCCAGGACTCAAGGGGGCTTACTCATTGAATAAAACAAGCTAAAAACATAGAAAATACATTCATTAAAAAAAGAACTAAAACACTGACAGGATTAATGTATGATTAAAAGTTCCTTTAAAAACAAAGACAATAATAAAAATCTCCTTGGATCTCCAGGAACGGTCAGGAAGAGTCTCTTCCTTTCACGTGTGGCCCCCAAACCAGCCCAGGCATTCCTCGCACTCCCTCCACGACAAAGGAGGACACAACCAGAGATGCCGCCGGTCAAATTGTGCAGGGAGGGGTCGTGAAGCAACATGGAAGAGAGGCGTGAGGAAAGGGAGCTGGGAAGGAAGGAAGGAAGGAAGGAAGGAAGGAAGGAAGGAAGGAAGGAAGGAAGGAAGTCTCCCTTTGACAGGTCTTCCTTCTTGCCTGGGATTCCTGCCTGCCGTGACATGGGGGGTGTTATGTTTTTATAATGTATTTTGTGTTTCCGTCTTGTATTTTTATGCTGTGAAGTGCCCAGAGCTCTACAGAGGAAGAGCGGTATACTAATAAATAACAACAGCAGCAGCAATAATATCAACAACAACAGCAACAATAATATAATGTCCACAAAGGTGAGGATGGCTGGGGTGCCACAGCCTGCGGAGAGCAAAGAGTGTGGGGCAATGGGGCTCCATCCCAGAGTCCATTTCAAAGCAGGCACCAGTCTTGGAGACACCCCCTCTCTGCTCCTCCCCTCCCCCCGCCTGCAGGGCTCCTTCCCTCCGGCCAGGGAAGGCTGGGCTGGAGCTGCAAGCAGGAAAGCCGCCCCCCCGCTCACCTTGAGGCGGTTGTTCTCGTTCTTGAGATGCTTGATGGACAGCTGCATAGCATCGATCTGCTGGAGGAGGAGAGGGGAGTCCTTGACCTGCACAGGGCCGGAGCCGGCCATCATCACCTGGCCAGCACCCACACCTGCAAAGAGAAGAGCAGCACGGTCAGAACAGATTTCCAGAAGATGCCTCTGCGCAGCGCATGCCTGGACTGCTCCATGGGGAGCTCACAGAAGGAGCTTCCCACCTGCATCCTGGCACAAGATGCCGAGGGTCAGGGAAAGGCAGGATGCCCCCGCATCAGGGCACCACAAGGCAGAGAAGACTTGAGCTGAGCCCAGGAGGAGACAAGAGCTGAAGGCCCAGGAAGACACACGGGAACATGCAGCCAGAGGCAGAAAACGCCCCGGGGAGCAGTTTTGTATGAATATATGCAACATGCCAAACACACTTTGGAAAGAGCCCCCACCTCATGCATGTGGGGGACCCAAGACAGGTCTCCAGCCTCACTGTGCTTCCTTAGGAAGCCGTTCAAATTGCCTGTGGCCAGACCCCTTGAGGCCCCAGCCCAGCCTTCTCAGAGCTTGGCTCATTTCCAAGCACAGCGGGGTAACGAGACATTTGCAGCAGAGGATGGGCTGGAGAAATGTTCTGTCACACACACACTTTGCACCCTGGCATGGGACCTTGCTGTATCCCCCCCCCCTTCCTTGGCGCACAAAAAAACCACCTCAGTCTGGGAATAGGGGGCAACAACTCTAGCAGCCGTCACAGATTCCCCTCTGCCCCCAAAGGCAGCCTCAGAGTCCCCCTTGTGTCCTCGGGAGATTCCTGGCCCCAGGTGACCCCAGCAGCCCCACCTGGCCCATGCCACTGTACCTCTCTGCTGTTCCTCTGCAGCGGAAGCATGGAAGAGATGAGAAGGAGCAGAAATTAGGAGAGGCGTCTGAGAGAAGGCAGGAAAGACAGCAGCAGCTCCCCTCTGGGTTTGCTTCTCTGGACTACACGACAAACCTGCTTTTGTGAGCCACGATGGGCCACCTCTTCTTAAGGGCACTGGGACACCATCTACCCAGAACCCTGGCCAAGCACGCCAGGGGGGCTCCCTTGCTCTGCAGCCCTTCAGGAAAAAACAATAGCCCTCCCCCAGGTTTGGAGGAAGCTCACACAGCCCCCCGGACATGTGGGAGGAAAAAAGACCCAGAAGCAGCTCGTGTGAATCACTGAAGGAAAAGAGAGCAGCACCAGCACAAGGGAACCCACAACCACGTGCAGAAGCTTCACTGGCTGACCCTCCCAAGCCCAGTGCAGCTTGAGCAGATCAGCCCTCTTTTAATGGGTAGAGATCTCTGAAAGGCAGTGCGGCATGTGAATGTGAGTCCGGTGGCCTCAGCTCAAAGCAAACCCCTCCCTAGAGACAGCCGCTCCAGTCTGGAACATCCCCTGCAGCAGGCTCAGAACTCTGAGATTCGCGGTCTAAAGAACCCTGTGGATCTCAGTGAGTTTGGATTTGAGATTCATCATCCAAAAGGGCAGAATTTTGCAGCTCTGGGCAAAGGTGGCGAAGTGATCCTCTGTGCATCGCCTCTGTAGTGCTCCAAGCGGGAGTCGCGGTGGGAAAGGGCTTCTGAAGCCGGTGGCTGTGAGCGCGTCAGCACTCGGCAGTGCAAGGTCTAGACCCTAGAGCCTCCCTCCCCAAATCCCTGGCTCTTTTGGATCAGCAAGGGAAGGGAAAAAGAGGAGGGTGGGGAGATTCTCGCTTGGAAATGGAGGAAGTGGAAATAAAGGGGGAGCAGGAACCAACTTGCCCCTGCAACCGGCCCTGCCCAGGGCTGCCCGCAGCAAGGAAGGAACAGGCAGGCAGGGAGTCCAGGAGGTTCGTCCAGCCCCTGCGTCAATCAGCTTCTCTGGAGTTGCTGGCCCTCCAGCACCCCAAGACTCTCGGGGCGTCTCTCCCCTGCAGTCTCCCTGCCCCAAAGCATCCACACACGCTTCCGAGGGCTCACCTCCGGTGATGCCAGAGATGACGGAAGCGACTCCCGAGGGACCGACTCCCCGGAGGCCCTCAATGGTGCGCTTGGACTGGTTGCTGAGCCGCTGCTTCAGCTCCTGCTTCTCAGACTCCAGCTGGTCAATGTCTGCTTGCAGGGCGTCCATCGTCTCCTCAAACTCCCTGCGGAGGGAGAAAGATACAGAGGAACTCAAGCGGGGGCGTCAACGGCCGGCAGCAGTCCCCTCCATTTCAAGACCCTTCTTCATCTGGGCTGCCCTCCTCCTCTGCCCACGTTCCAGCTTGACAGTGTCCTTCTTAAATTGGGGTGCCCAGAACTAATAATTTTATTATTTACATGCCGCCTATCTGACTGGGTTTCCATTCTGGGCGGCCTTCAGCAACTAGACACAGTATTCCAGGCAGGGCCTGACTAAAGCAGAGGAGAGTGGAACTCTTCCCTTGATCTGGACACTCGACTTCTCTTGATGCAGCCGAGAAGAACATTAGCTTATTTTGCTGCTGCCTCACACTGTGGACTCAGGTGAAGACCCTGAGATCCTTTTCACATGAACTGCTGTCAGGTGTTCCCCATGCATCTGATTATTCCTGCCTAAGCATAAAACCTTACATTTGTCCCTGCTGAAATTGATTTCGTTAGTTTTGGCCCAGTTCTCCAATCTGCTGTGCTCATATTGAATCCTGTTTCTGCCTTATATAATAATAATAATAATTTATTATTTCTACCCCGCCCATCTGGCTGGGTTTCCCTTCTGAGGTATTAGGTCCCCCTCCCAGTTTGGAGCCCCCGGCATCCCTTCCCTCCCTTCATCATTTCCTTTGCCATTTATAAAAACATACGAAACCTCCTTATACTGAGCCAGACCATTGGTCCAGCTGAGCATCACTACACTGACTGGCAGCTGCTCTCCGGGACTTCAGACAGAGTTCTCTCCTCCCTGCCCTGCCTGGAGATGCCACTGGGGACTGAGGCTCCACCACTGAGCTATGGGGCCCTCCCCACCCTTTGCCAGAAAACAACGCCGATCAGTCCCAAACTTCTCTGGGTGTGAGCACACAGCCATGTGTCTCTCAAGGCCAGAGCTGAGCTGCCCATTAAGTCTGTCTGGGTCATTCGTGGAAGCCAGGAGTGTCCAGAAATCAAACAGCCCCTGCTGACCTTTGGGCAAAAGAGCAGAGCGAAGGGGGCAGAGGAAGGCGGAAGAGGACAAGGAGGGGATGGGGAAGCTGTCTGAAACCAAGCTCCACCATCACAAGGGATACAGAAAGCGAAGGCCAAGGTCTCCAGGATGCCAGATGCTGTGCCAGGGAGCAGATCCAGTCCTGGTCTTGAAATCCCTGGGCACACAGAGCCCACAGAGCCCTGGCTGCGCCTGGCAAGACCCGATCTGTGTGTAGGCAAGCTCAGAGGACACAAGAGGATGTGAGTTTGGTACAGAAGATGCCAGCCAGCGTCTCCTGCATCTGTGGATCCTCAGAGGACACCCCATCTCCTCCTCCTCCACTCCCCACCCCCCGCTTACTTCTCCTTCTTCTTCAGCAGAGCCTGGGTCTCGTCCAGCTTGGTCTGGATCTTCTCCACCCGGTCATCCGCGTCCTTGGAGGAGCTGTCCAGTTTCTTCTCCAGGAGGCTCAGGCGGACGTTGGCCTCGCTCAGCTCCTCGCCCTGGGCAGCGGGAGGGAGGAAGGGCGCTTGTGGGAAGGGGGACGGGGCACCCGCAGGAGGACCCCAAGAGCTCTTCTCTGCTGATGCTCCATGTCCTCTGGAGCCAGGCAGCAGGAGCAGGGCCACCCACGGCCACCCACCTCTGGAGCAGCCCCTTGGGAGACTGGGCCCCCTCCTCGTGGCAGAGCCTTCCCAGCCCCACCTGCTCCCGGGGAGAGGCAGCTCCTTAACTCACCTTGATTTTGAGGGACTTCTTCAGCTCCTTGATGACCGTCTCTCGGTCCTCCAGCTTCAGCCCCAGACCCTCAGCATCCGTGATCTCTGCCCGCAAGGCGGCTGCCCGCAGATCCACTGGAGGAGGAGACTGCAAGAGGAGTCCATGTTGGGTTGCTCAGACATGGACCAGGTTCTGGGAAGCCTCGAGATACAGAGCATGCAATGAACCCCTCCCAAGCCCAGGGGAAGGCCCCACACCTTCGTTCCTCCCCAAAGGATTCAACTGCAAGGAAGGCAGTGCGAGGAAGAGCCCTGAAGCAGCAACCGGATCAGACCAAGGGGGTCCCAGCATGGAGGCCAGCCTCCTCCTTCCCACAGCAGCTGCCCCCTGCCTCTGAGGCTCCTGCAAGCGGCACCCTCCCCCCACCTGAAAGCCCACCCAACAATTTAAAATGGGGCTGGAAAAGGAGTGGCTTTCACTGGGGCACAGACACCCTCCCCCAACCAACAGGCTGGCCCCGGTAGCCAAGCACCAGCCAGGGGAATCTGCCCGCAAGTGCCTTGGCCCTTGCTGGTGGGTGAGGCCAGCTCCTGCCCTCTCTCTGCCCTCTCTGCCCAGGCTCACCTTGGCCTGAGGCTTGTCTGCATCGTACTCGCCCTCCTGCATGGCCGTGGCCATCTTGTTCATAGTGGCAATCAGGATGTTGCACGACTGTCGCAGGCACTCGTGGGGGTTGATGCCTTGTGTGCCGTAGATCTGGAAAAGAATTGGACAGGTCCAGAGGACGCCAATGCACGTCTCTCAGCAGTGCTGATCCCGGACTGAGGTCTGCAGAGAGCTCCCCAGCCCTAATTAGCAGGAATGGAGGAGGAAGGAGTCAGCCTCCCCAGGCCTGGGGAGACCCTGGGAGGAAGGCCAGGCCTGGCCCAGTTGGGAGAGCAGGGGAGCTTCCAAGATCTCTGAACTGAGGAGGCGGAAAGGCAGGTTCCTTAGCCCAACAGCCCCTCAGCCCCCACAGTGCTGTCCAATTATTATTGTTTTATTATTATTTATTGAATTTATACGCCATCCTATACCTGGAGGTCTCAGGGCAGTTCACAGGATAAAACCAAAATATAAAATACATAATCAAAATAAAAACAACTACTCAATAACACCCCCCCCCAATAACACCACATTTTAAAAGGCACCGGATGTCAATCAAATCAATCAAAGGCCTGGTTGAAGAGGAACTTTTTTGCCTGGCGCCTAAAGGTGTATAATGAAGGCGCCAGGCAACCTTCCCTGGGGAGAGCATTCTATAGATGGGGAGCCACTGCAGAGAAGGCCCTGTTCTCATGTTGCCACCTTCCGGGCCTCTTGAGGAGGAGGCACATGAAGAAGGGCCTCAGAAGATGATCTCAGGGTCTGGGTGGGTCCATATGGGAAGATTGAGGTATTGTGGTCCTGAGCAGTTTAAGGCTTCAGAGATCAAAACCAGCACTTTGAATTGGGCCCAGAAACTAATTGGTAGCCAGTGCAGGATCAGTGTAAGATGCTCAAACTGTCTTGCTCTGGTGAGCAACCTAGTTGCTGAATTCTGCACCAGCTGAAGTTTCTGAACCGTCTTCAAAACAGTAGTTAGGCTCTCCCTGTCCAGATAGGGGCGTAGCTGGGCCACCAGCCAAAGCTGATGGAAGGCACTCCGGGCCACAGGCCACCTGAGCCTCGAGTGACAGGAAAGGATCCAGGAGGACCCCAAGCTACGAACCTGCTCCTTCAGAGGAAGTGTAACCCCATCAAGCGCAAGTGACCTCTCAGCCATCCGGTCTAGGGAACCCCCCACTAGGAGTGCCTCCATCTTATCTGGATTGAGCTTCAGCTTGTTGGTTCTCATCCAGTCCACTACTGAGGCAACGGCTCAAGGAAGCCAAGCAGCAATACTTTAGAGCTCTTAAAAGAGGCAGTGGAGGTGTAGTGGTTAGAGCATCCGCCTAGGACCTGGGAGGCCAGCCAGCAAACCCCTGCTCAGCGAGGAAACTCCCTGGGTGACTTCAGACCAGTCACACACTCACAGGATCCTTGTGGGGATAAAATGGGGAGGGGGGAGAATCATGGACACCCCCTTGAGCTCTTTGGAGGAAAAAGGCAGATACAAGTGCAATAATCAATCAATCAATCAATCAATCAATCAATCAGTAGCTGTGTGTGAGCCAGGATTTAACCCTGCCAGCCCGCAGCAACCGCACACCCCCCCCCCGGTGATTCTGGAAGGGATCCTGCTCTGCCCACTGACAGACGCAGCCAAACGCAGCGGAGGCCCCTTACCTGCTCGCTGGCCTTGAAGGCCAGGTCTTCCAGCTTCACGGCCTGGAGACCCTCGTTCTCCGTCAGAGGGGCAATCATCTGAGCCCCCGCAGCCGCCACCTCCTGCAGCACCGCCACCACCCACGTCAGGTGCTTGCGGCAATCCAGCAGCGTGTCTGCGACCTGGGAGATCAGAGCAGGGTCAAGAGGCAGCCACGCGCTCAGCTTCGGGGAAAGGGGCACGTCACTCCCGCAAGGGGGCTGGAAGCCCAGCTCTCTGTCCCGGGCCGGGCGACCCACCTGCTGCCCAAAGCCGAGTGCTGCAGGGATGCCGGGGGCGTCGGTGCCAGGCATGCGGCGCCGGATCTTCTTGCAGAACTGCCGGATGTCGCTGCAGGAGGTCTCCAGGTCCTTCAGGAGGATGGCAAAGTCGGACACCTCCTGCCCGGTCTGAAAGCGGGAAGAAGGGCAACGTCAGGGGCTGGGGCAAGCAGCCTTGCCAAGGAGACCCCCACCTGCTGCCTCCTGGGGGTGGGGGATGGATGGGCTTACCTGCAGGAAGGACCGCAGCCTGCCCACCTCCACACTCATGCAGTCCAAGGCACTCTGGGTGAACTGCAAGCAAGCAAAGGCACCGTTACCTGGGCCTGCGCAGGGCAGCCTGTTCCTGCCGCAGCCAAGGGCTGGGAAGATGTGGCTTGGGATGTGGCCGATGATGTCAAGCTCCCTGGGGAGGGGAGACTGATTTTGCGGGGTTGTGAATACAGCATGGTTTCACTCCATATTTTTTGTGTGTGTTTGTTCTGAAACACACACAGAGGGAGGGAGAGTACTTTTTTTCTGGGGAGATGCAAGGGGACGCATACCCCTAAACATTTTGTGAATTTAAGTTTGGCCTCATTGAGGAGAAGTTTTTCAATGTGAGTAGGAAAATGAGAGTATCCCTAAACATTTTTTAAGAAAAAAGCACTCTGTGTGTGTGTGTGTGTGTGTGAGAGAGAGAGAGAGAGAGAGAGAGAGAGAGAGAGAGAGCTGGGAGAGACCAGGGTTCGAATCCCCCCACAGCCACAAAGCTCATTGGCGACCTTGGGGGCCAGTCTCTGCCTCTTTCAGCCTATGAGGAGACGGGGAGAGCCACAAACACCACCTGCTCACCTTGATGTGGTCAGCCAGCTGCATAGTGCAGTCCTCCGCCTGGTCAGCCAGATGGATGCTGTACAGGTGCTGGAAGGGAGAGAAGGAGGAACAGTGAGGGGGGGCACCTCTGCTGCTGAGCTCCAGCTGGCTTCCAATCCACCTCAGCCAAAGCAGTGCCAGAGGGCCTTCCCCCCCCCCAACATGCCAGCCTTGCCCTCTGTTGATCTTGCCACCACCAGGAGAGCTGCAGCAAACACAAGGGCACCCACCCTCTTTCAAACAGGCACAGCAGCATGGCAGGACTGGACTCTGCAGGCAGCCCTCCTGGGAACCAGGCCTGGCGGCCCTGGGCTCATAAAAGAGCCCCAGCCGCTCCACACTCTCAGTCTTTTCCTGGCACTGGGGGGAGACGCAGCCAGGGCTTGAATTATGGGGATGGGGGAACAGTCCCTTTACCTTTTGGGGGGAGGAGTGCCAAAATTGAGAGAGGGCAGCCAGGAGGTGGGGCTAGAGGATTTCATGAAATGCCCACCCCCTTTCCCAGCATAAATCAGTGTGACGCGGGCTCTCCTTGGTGTGGTCCTGGGGGGGCAGGGCCCCCTCACCTGATAGTACTTGATGGCTTTGGTCAAGGGCTCGACGTTGACGGTCTCATCCAGCTGGTCCTTGTGCAGCAGCTCAATCAGGAAGTCCAGGGACCTCTCGTGCACGCTCATCTCGGGGTACAGGGTCCCCACTTTCTTGTAGATCTCCACGCTGCACTTGTTCAAGGCCCTGAGCAAGAAGGTGGGGGGGGCGAGAGAGGTTGGGGCCATCAGGCTCAGCCAGGAAGGGGCACAGAAGCCACCCTCTCAGGGGGACCCCAGGGACCCCCGGGCGGGAGGACTTACTGCTCATATTTGTGCAGAGTGGCTTGCAGGAGGCTGAGGGAATACACCAGCCCAGCAGCAAAGCTCAGCTGCTCCCCTGGCGCCCCCCGGAGGCCAGCACGCTCAGCACAGTTCTCGTTCAGCTCGAACTTCTCCTGGGCCTGCTTGCTGATCAGCTCAGCCTGTTCCAGAGAGAGAGGGAGGGAGGGAGGGAGATGTCAGAGGTTCAGCGTGCCCCACCCCACGGCATCTCTCCAGTATTATCTCAGATAAAGGAAAGGCCCTTTTCACACAGTGCAGACCTAAAACTGCAGAGCTCCCTCTCGCAGGAGGCAACAACTGAGATGCCTTTAAACGAGGATTCAAGCAATTCCTGGAAGAGAGGGCTTTTGGTTTTTTTTAATTAATATTTATTAAAGTTTCAAAAATAATAATATCACATTAATAAACATGAAATTTTTTTAACAAAAACAAAGAAAAATACACCATACAAAATACAAAATAGAAAAAAGTAGAAAAAAAAGAGGAAAAAAAGAAAAAAAAAACAACAGCTACGCGGCTTCACTCCACAGAAGAAGCAGACGACTCACAGCACAGCGCCACTTCCCCGCTCTGTTCCGGAGCCCGTTGCCGGGTTCCTTTGCAGATTGGGGGGGCGCAGACAGTCCCCGCCGAGTCCCAGGGTCACAGGCTTCCCCCGCCTGTGGTTTAAGGGGTCCCCGCTGCGCCAAAGCGGTATCAGACCCTATTTCTGTGGAGCGGGTTCCCTCCGGATCAGAGGGAATCCGCCATTACCGTTGGCGCCACCTCCGGAAGTGGAAGAGAGGGCTTTTGGTGCCTACTAGTACTAGACAGCATCTTAAAAAGCAGACATCACCTTGCCAACAAAGGTCCGTATAGTGAAAGCTATGGTGTTCCCAGGAGTGATGTATGGAAGTGAGAGCTGGACCATAAAGAAGGCTGATCGCCGAAGAATTGATGCTTTTGAATTCTGGTGCTGGAGGAGACTCTTGAGAGTCCCATGGACTGCAAGAAGATCATACCTCTCCATTCTGAAGGAAATCAGCCCTGAGTGTTCACTGGAAGGACAGATCCTGAAGCTGAGGCTCCAAGACTCTGGCCACCTCATGAGAAGAGAAGACTCCCTGGAAAAGACCCTGATGTTGGGAAAGATGGAGGGCCCAAGGAGAAGGGGACGACGAGATGGTGGGACAGTGTTCTCAAAGCTACAAACATGAGTTTGACCAAACTGCGGGAGGCAGTGGAAGACAGGAGGGCCTGGCGTGCTCTGGTCCAGGGGGTCACGGAGAGTCAGACACGACCAAACGACTAAACAACAACAAGTCTCTGCTCTGCCTCCACAGAGATTCAAAATGCTGCTGAATAATACCAGTTGCAGGAAACCACAGGAGAGGAGACCAAGCCTATTTGATGTTAGAAGATGTGTTAGTATTATTTTGCTTTGTAAAATCTATTGGGGTTGGGGGGGTAGGAATAGAAATCCTAATTTATCTTTTCCTGCAGTTAGTAAAGCCCTGAGTTGTAACTGGGGGGAAAAGTGAGTGCCTGGTTGCTGAGAATTTGGGATGCGGTATGTATGGTAAAATTAATTCACCTGTAAAGGAAGGAGGAGAGTTAAATAATATAAATATATATAGAGAGAGAGTAAAACTGGTGCTGAAGTAAGTTTTATTCTGAACAGAGTCCCTTGTCCTAACTTAGTCAACAGGTCCATTCTGAGTAAAACTTAGTTTGACTATCACTTGATATATTTTTGTAATCTATTGTAATGTGAACGTTAAAGGTTTTCTTCAACCATATATGCCACTGGGTAGTGTTTGAGGAATTAAAAAAGCATAGAGTGGTACCTCTGGATGCGAACGGGATCCGTTCCGGAGCCCCGTTCGCATCCTGAGCAGAATGCAACCCGCGTCTGTGCGTCTGTGCATGCAAGGGTCGCAACTCACCACTTATGCACATGCATGTGACATCATTTTTAGCGTCTGTGCATGCACGAGGGGCGAAACCCAGAAGTAACCCATTCCGTTACTTCCGGGTCACCGCGGAGGGCAACCTGAAAACGTTCACCCTGAAGCAACTTTAACCCGAGGTATGACTGAAATAATGTTTCAGGTTCAGGTCAGAAATTTCAGACAACGTAATTTTTTCTGGAGGAAACAGACTAGCAAAAACTTGATTATTTACTGACCTAAATCATTTGTGGTTGGCGTGTTTCTGTTGGAAAGGCAGACGTGGCGACACCGCCCCCCCCCCCAGTCGCTCTCAGCCTACCTTGCAGATGAGCCGTGGGATGAGCAGCAGCACCAGGAGGCAGTCGTGGTCCCCGCCATGACGCAGGAAGCTGTCCGGCATGAAGGAGGTGAGGAGGGAGACGTGGCGGTTGGCCTGCTGAACCTCCATCTGGCGCAGCTCCATCTCGATGGCCTGGAGGGGGACGGGGAGAAGCCCATTGGACACCCCCGTTCTCTGCAAGCTGCAAGCGACACCCGGGGGCGGCACCAGGAACACCTCCAGGCCCCACGTGTGAGCGCGGCACAGGAGAGCGGGAACCCCACTGCAGTGATCAGGTGGGATTGCCATGAGGAATTAGAAAAAATATGGAGCCAGCCATTTGTGTCAGCAATGGAAGCCTTGCGTTGACTGGGTTTGAGACATTTTGATACGATTTCTGATCAATCCACGCCTCTGCATCCCTGTCCTATTTCTCTTGCTTGACACGTACACAGCCCAGCTGCCAGTTGCTTCCTCAGGCATCCTCAGTACATAAAGATAGTCGGTTACCTTGATGTAGTTTAATCTTTAGACAGATCTTAGGGGCCAGGAAGAGAGGGGATGGTGAATACTCTTTCCTTGCCATCCTTCCGCCCTCTCCTGTTTACTCCTGTTTATGACCTTCCTAAAAGCATTCCTCTTCGCTTCCTCTTTTATTTACTCTGAATTGCATATGCATGCTCAAGTAGGAAATAAGCTCTTTGTAGTTTTAACTTTAACTTTGTCCCCATGTGGGTTTTTTTGAAATGCTCAGAGGAAATCTGATTGGTTCTTATGAACACTTTACACAGTGTTCGTAAGAACCAATCAGATTTTGTGAATAAAACGACCTTGGCCGGAGGGTGGACAGGAATTATTATTATAGGCACTCCTCCCAGAGTCTTGCTGATTTAAGCCTCCATGTGTATTTTATTATCAGAGTCCAATCCTTCCTTTACTTTGGGAAGGCCTCACCCCACAAAACCCCACGACTCTCCAAGATGACTCCTGCCGCTGCTACTCCACCATTTGTGCCAGTGGGGTTTGCTCTTGACTCCACAAGCGCGTCTGAGGTGAGCCTGAAGGCGTCCCAGGAGCCCTGGCAGACTACCCTGAACCTGTATTTATTTGTTTTACTGATATCCTGCTGCAACCTAGTAAGCTATTCTTGAAAATACAAGCCTCATTCAAGGTTCCTATTCTAATCAGAACTAGTTTCTGAAAAATCAAGCCTGAAGTTTCAGGTTCACGGACTTCAGAAAACAGGTCGTCTGTCAGAACTGAAAGTATCTGTAACATTATTCTGAAGCACTGCTTTAAGACTAGCTCAAGAGTGTCTTCCTGGCCCCAGCTCTTCACTTTCTAACATGGGTTTGGGATGGGAAACGGGGTTCTCCCCCTTCTCTGCCCTCCCCCCGCCTATCCCTGCTGGTCTCCAGCTGAGCATACCTTGGCGTGAGCTTTGGTCTCCGCAAATTTAATCTTGAAGTCAAACATTTCAGGCGGAGGCTGCTGCTGCCTCTCCACAGAGGCCTCTTGCTGGTTCATCAGCTCCTGGTTAACATCCTGGAACATGGAGAGCAGGAGTGAGGCATGCTGGGAAGACAGTGCCGAAGGAGGAGGAGGAGGAGTGCATGGCTCAAGGGGGAACCAGGAGAAGCCCCGGAAACCCAAAAGGCACCTGAGGGGGCTAAACGGGAACCGGAGAGGGAGAGCACATATAGGTGCACAGAGATTTTGTGGCGCCTCCTGGCCCCAGTGCAGGAGATGTTGGGCCTGAGGGGTAGCCTGGAAAGACCCACATGTGGCCTCTCCAGTTCCTGTTCCACACAAGGCTCCTTGCGCTGATGCTCGCCTGTCCCTCTCATGCGCTTGGAAGCAAAGTCTTGCCCTTGCACAGACATTTTCACTGGGGGAGGAGGCCAGGTGACCTCCAAACGGGCCAGGAGTCCGTCATTCTTCCCGCAAGGCTGTCCTCCATCACCCGAGCCTGGCCTGCTCTGCGCCCCGCCTTCCTCCCCCCACAGCAAGCACCTGCAAGTGCGCAGTCAGCTCCCGATACTTCTTGATGGTCTGCTGGTAGTCGGCCACCGTCTCCTGAGCCGCCTCCACGCGCTTCTCCGCCTCTCGCACCCGGGCAGTCGCCATGTCCAGCTGCTCTCGCAGCTCCAGCTCTGTCTCCCTGGCGTTCTCCTGCAGCTCATCGTTCATCTCGTTTATGGCTTCCTGGAAAGGGGGAAGGGCGTGGGGGGTGAACATGGAGGATGCAACAGCAGGAGGCCCTTGGTGGCCAAAGACTGACCGACCACCAGACAAGGATAAGGAGGGCACCCCACAGCCCGCCTGTGGGCCACGGCAGCGTCTGGGGAGAGACATGCAAGAGGCCCCCACTCCCTCTCGCCACGAGGCAGATAGAACAAAAGCCAGCCTCCTCCCCTCCCCTCCCTGCTCCTCCGCCCCCTCACTCTCACCAGGTCTGAAACCGTCTCGCGAAGCTCCCGGACCTTCTCCTCCAGGTCCAGGTTCCTCTCGGTCAGCGTCTCCACCATCTCCTCAGCCCCCAGAGCAGCATCCACCTGGGGAGAAAGGAGACAGGGTTGGGCCCAGACCTGGAGCGATCCGGGCACAGCTTCCCCATCCCAGCCCCTGCCCCGGACAGCAGAGGGAGCCCAGCCCCAGAAACCAAGGCTGAGCCTCTGACCATTGTCATCGTGACTTCCTTATTATTGGTTATGCTTGTTGGTCAACTTTTCTCACAGAGTGAAGCAGGGCAGCTGGCATTTAAAAGCAACTAAGGGGTGACACTGTGGGTTAAACCACAGAGCCTAGGACTTGCCGATCAGAAGATTGGTGGTTCGAATCCCCACAACGGGGTGAGCTCCTGTTGCTCGGTCCCTGCTCCTGCCAACCTAGCAGTTCGAGAGCACGTCAAGTGCAAGTAGATAAATAGGTACCATTCCAGTGGGAAGGTAAACGGCGTTTCCGTGCACTGCTCTGGTTTGCCAGAAGTGGCTTAGTCCTGCTGGCCACATGACCCAGAAGCTGTACGCCGGCTCCCTCAGCCAATAAAGCGAGATGAGCACCGCAACCCGAGTCGTCCACGACTGGACCTAATGGTCAGGGGTCCCTTTACCTTTACCTTAAGGGCAACCAAGACCAAACAACCCACTGAAATAGATCTTAAAGAAAGCAAAGCCTCTATACTCAAACTGCTCCTCTGTGAGCATCCCTAACCTTTCAGAGCTGGCGGCTGAGGGGGCTTTTCCCAGCAAGCAAGGCAGAGAGTGTAAAAGCTGTAACTGACAGAAGCTCAACCAGTCAGCCTGCAACCGCGCATGGTTGAAACTGCAGGTGCTGAATGCTCCTGAGATGCCATAATACTCAACATGGGTTTGGGATTCTGGCCAGGGGTGGAAGCTGCCCACCAGGCCTCTGGCAAGGCACAGCCTCCAGCCCACCCTTCTCCCCAGCGACCCCCAAGCGCAGCTGAGCGCATGGCTTGGAGGAGACGTCAAGGCGGGGCTGCCTGGCCCTGGGCACACATGCCTGCTCCTTCAGCTCGTCGATGGTCCTCTCCGCCTGCTTCAGCTCCTCCTGAAGCTTCTCCTTCTGTTGCCGCAGCGTCTCCAGCTCCGTGTTCTTCTTCTCCATGTGCTTCTGGAGCTTGACGTGCTCCTGCTTCTCAGAGGCAGACAGGTCCCGCATCCTGCCGAGGCCAGAGGGGGAGAGAGAGGGCGGCTCAGAGTCAGGCACCCCCAGGATGGGAGGGCAGCAGAGCCACCCCAAGGCCCTCCCAAGCCAGACAGGGGAAGAAGGAGCAGGACACTGGCATGGAGAAAGAGGGGGAGGCACCTGATAGAAAAGGCTTCTCCCCGCCCCCAAAATATCCCCAGTTCAAAAGAGAGAAGCTTCTCTGGGAGTGGGTCACCTTCCTTGGGCAACAGAAACAGCTCACGCCACAGACTCAGGAAGGGGGGGACAGGATCCTGCCTTCAGAGGCTGCAGGAACCAGGACACCGGGGGGGGGGGCGGCGGTGTGTGCCTGACGTGGAGGTGTGTGTTGGTTGCATGCTTCTGTTCTTACCGCACCAGCGCCTCCTTCAGCCGGCCATTCTGCTCTTCCAGCTGCTTGACGTGGTAACTGGAGGCAGCGCCGTCAGATCCTAGAGAGGTGGGAAGAAGCATGTGAAAGCCCGACCGGATGCAGCTGGCGCAACTGACTCACTGGCAGGCAACATGGTGCGTGGGAAGCCGGGCCGGCCTCTGGCTCAGCAGGCAGCCACCCCACCCAGCCTATGGGAGGAGGGGCATCTCAGCTGCCTTCCTGCTAGGAGGGCACCCAGTGCCCCTGCTGCTGCTGTGGGGGATCCAGGCCCTGCTCAGGCGTGTGGAGCCTGTCCCAAGGATGCAGCCAGCCGGGTGAGGCTCTGGGAGAAATCAACCCTTCCACCACTTGGAGAGCTTTTCCTCCCTGAAAGAAAGGGCAGGGCAGGCTGGGCCCAGCCACGCACCCACCAAGTGAGATGCCAGTGTTCCTGCAACCCTCCCGGAGCCCCCGCCGCTCTCACCCTTCTCCTCGATCTCGTGCTTCAGGATCTCCAGGTCCATGGTGAGGTACTCCACCTTCTCCTTCAGGGAGTCCACCTCCTGCTGCAGGGACTCTGCCCGCTCCTCGGCCATCTCCTTGTCCAGAGTGGCCATCTCGATGGCGTCAGCCGTGTCAGCCATCTCCTCCATGTAGCGCTCTTTGGCCTCCAAGGCCTCTTTGGCTTCCTGGCAGGAGAGGAGGCAGCTGGGTCTGGCCGGTCGTGCAGCCCCCAGCCTCAAGCCACCCTGGGTGCCCGGCCCCTCGAGAGACTTCTGCCTGGCAGCCACCAGCAGCAAGCAGGACGACATCTCAGGCTAACGGGCCAAGTCTTGGGAAAGGCCCTCTGAAGAGCAGCAGGGGAAGGACCAAGCAGAGCAGCCTGGGAGGAAGCCCAAATCTGAGGGATACTTGGGCTGGGAGGAAGAGGCTTCCCCTGAAAGGAGACCCTCTGAGACAGGGCACTTCCAAGGCCTGGCATGGACCAAGCCCTGCGCTGCTGGATGCCCCTCTGCCCCCAGGCAGAGCTCCTCAGTTCCCAGCATGCTTTGCAGGCTGCCCATCTACTCTCTCACCTTTTTCGCCTCCTTCAGGCGCTTCTGGAGCTCGGCCTGCTGCTCTTGCATTTTGCTCTTCCACTCCTGGACCTGCTCCAGCTGGATCTTGTACTTCTCCAGCTCCTTCAGCTTGGCCTTGTCCTCGTTCCGCTTCATCTTGAGGGTCTCCAGCTTCTCCTCCAGGTCTCGCACCTGGCTGCGCAGGTTCTCCTCCTCCTGCAAGGCAAGGAGGGTCCCACAATGAGAAGCCACACCCTGCGCGGTCAAGCCTGGACCTCCAAGCAGGAAAGAGCCACCTGGCTGGCACCAGGGGAGACCTCCTGCCACATCACTGCTATTTAAAAAAAGAACCTGCAGTATCCATCTGCATAACATGACCTGGATAGCTCAGCTGGAAACCAGCAAGTTGCAGGTTTGATCCCCGTATGGGGCAGCTGCCTATTCCTGCACTGCAGTGGGTTGGACTAGATGATTCTCAGGGTCCCTTCCAAGTCTGTGATGCTTTGCAGTTTAGCCCTAATAAGGCAATTCTCACAGGAGGGCTGCAATGCCACCTCCTCTCCACCAGGGGCACTTCCTTCTGCCTCCAGGGTCTTGATCACAACCCCTGCTGTGACGCAGAAGCACCAGCCTCTCCTTGGAGCACGAAACACTCGCAGAGCACTAGCACAACGAATGCGCTTTCTTTTGAAAATGCCATGTTCCACCTTTCCTTTCCAGGCTTACAAATAGTTATCACTTTCAAAGTCTGTGTCAAGAACCGTAACATCCAGACGATGTCACGTGGTCCTGCAAATAAATATTGCAGAGAAGCCCCCCAGTTGTCAAAGAAGGAAGGGGAGGGGGAACTTGCAGTCTGGCCAAATCTGGGGGGCCACCACCATTATCCCCTGCTGGGAAATAGGGGTCAGCAACCTTTTTCAGCAGGGGGCCGGTCCACTGTCCCTCAGACCTTGAGGGGGGCCGAACTATATTTTGGGGAAGAAATGAATGAATTCCTATGCCCCACAAATAACCCAGAGATGCATTTTAAATAAAAGGACTCTGGAAAAACACACTGATTCCTGGACTGTTTGCAGGGCCGGATTTAGAAGGCGATTGGGCTGCATCCGGCCCCTGGGCCTCAGCTTGCCTCCTCATGGAGACTCTCCACTTAGCTCAGCCTGGTGCTGATGATGCCAAGGATGCAGGTACAACGCCCCTAGGGGCCACCTGCCTGTTCCTACATCGCAGGAGCTTGGACTAGGCGACCCTCGGTATCCAACTCTACAATTCTATGATTCTCCTTTTGAAATCTCCTTGGCTGAGGAGCAGAGTAGCCCACGAGAGAGAGAGAGAGAGAGAGAAGAATGAACACATTCACTGCTTAGTCTCAGCTGTCCATCTGTTCAATAGGAATAATATTTCTCCAAGTCAGAGGGTTGCTGTGAGAGAGCACGTCAAAACTGAACAGCAATTTCAATATCCGTAACAGCACACGAAAGCTTGGAAACTCTGAGGACAGGTTCTGGGCCCACTGGACACCTTGAAAGCCCTAAACGGCCTCGGTCCAGGATACCTGAAGGAGCATCTCCACCCCCATCGTTCTGCCCGGACACTGAAGTCCAGCTCTGAGGGTCTTCTGGTGCTTCCCTCCCTGCGAGAAGCCAAGTTACCGGGAACCAGGCAGAGGGCCTTCTCGGTGGTGGCACCCGCCCTGTGGAACACCCTCCCAGCAGATGTCAAAGAGAAGAACAACTACCAGACTTTTAGAAGACATCTGAAGGCATCTTTAGAGAAGTTTTTAATGTTTAACAGACTATTGTATTTTAATACTTTGTTGGAAGCTGCCCAGAGTGGCTGGGGAAGCCCAGCCAGATGGGCGGGGTATAAACAAACAAACAAACAAACAAAATAATAATAATAATAATAATAATAATAATAATAATAATAATATTAGTTGTTGTTGTTGTTGTAATTTCCCGCTTTCAGATTTCCATGCTACAAGGGCTGCCTCTGATGAACTTGTGCACACAAGGAGAGCTGTCAGAGGGTCTCGGCTTCGAGGCCAATGGGATCCTGAAGCTCACCCTCCCCGCTCATCCCACAAGCCCCAAGTTGTAAATGGAGGGAAAGCTCAGCAGTGCCAATGCAGCCCCCCCAGAAGCCAGCCAGAGGCCCAGGGGCCCATTTACCTTGGTGGGTGACAGGATAGATGGTGGAGCCACGGGAGAAGTCAGTGACGGCGTGGGAACCACGGGAGCAGCCAGAGGCGTCTGCGCAGGAGTGCTTGGTTCACTGCTGCTCATCTCGCCGGCCGAGGCAGAAGCTGAGCCTGAGAGCCCCGTTGTGCCGCTGGAGGCTGCTGAGCTGGCCGTCCGGGTGGGCTGCAAGGCCGCCATTGGGGTGGAGAAGGAGAAGGAGGGAAAGCATGTTAGAAGGACGATGGCTTTGCTGAGCCCGTGGGCTGCTCTCTGGGGCAATGGCATTGCACAACCGAAACGGCAGATCTCACACAGCTTCTGCAGGAAACGCACAGGGACTGATGAATCCAGGAATCGGCAGGAGTTGGAGTAGATTCTGGCACTTAAGGGCAATGCAGAGGAGAGGGTGTGTGTGTGGGTGGGTGTAAAAACCTCCCAATGGGCCATTTTTTTCTGGAAGCCTGCTTGGAAGCCCTGCTCGACTCATAGGGACTGGCTGTGGTGAAGGTAAAAGCACTCTGTACCAGCTCTGGGGCACTCTCTTAGCCATTCCTATTTGTGTCCCAAGGATGAAACTTGGCCTTAAAATGAAGACACCACCCTGGTTCAAACGGAACCCTGACACCGTCCAGGGAAGGGTCGCTCCAAGCAGCCCTTGCAGCAGAAGGCGCTGGGGTGCTCTCCCCTCAAGAGCTCTGCAGCCTGGAGTCTGGAGTCCTGCTCAGCCAGGCTCCCCGGCAGCGGGATGCTGGCTTCACAGCTTGTCTTTTATTTATTTCATTTATTTCATAAAATTGATAAATCGCTTTGTTGTAAAAAAAAAGGGGGGGGAGGGGGACCTCAAAGAGGTTTACAAAAAGATAAAATAAGAAAATCAAGAAAAATACAGTTTAAAACACAAAACACCCCGAAGTTAGAATACGTTCAACTTTTAAAATTACCCCAACTTTCTAAGCATCTGGGTCTAAACAAGAATGGTTTTAGCAGGTGGCGAAAAGGGTACTGTGAAATCACCTGCTTGAGCTCAACTGGTAGGACATTCCAAAGTGCCTGTACTGACACACTAAATAATCAAGTCTGGCAAGCGCAGAACTGGCATTATGTGGCTCCTGCAGCAGTGCCACTTCTGTCAATCGAAGCGTCCGAGGGGCAGACATGGGGCTTTGTGGGATCTGCTCCCACGCCTGCCTCCAGACAGGCCTGCTCTGCGTTTGCCCAGTTGGCTTCTCTGGGCCCAGGATGGCGATATGGGGCACATTCCTGCTCACATTTCAAGAATCTGCTGGCAGAGCACCTGAAGGCCCACATCAGAGGGAGGTGCCAAGGGGCAAGTTGAAAATTAACCAAGTCACTGTGTCCAGATAGCATACATCAGAGAGCTCTCAAAATGTGAAATTACCGTCTATCAAACTATGCCTCTTGTCACTAAAATTGGCCTCCTTGCTAGAAGATGAGAAAGACTCATGCCATGTCATATAATCATCATCATCATCATCATCATAATTTATTTATATCCCGCCCTCCCCAGCTGAAGCCGGGCTCAGAGCAGCTAACAACAATAAAAGTAACACAGCATTCTAAAATCAATTCATTCTAAAATCAATTCAGAATCAAATTCATGGCAACCATTGGGCTAGAGTTCTATGAGGATTACAGAAGGAGAGAGGGGGTCAGGCTGTGCCTTGGCCAAAGACCATGTTGATTCTATGATTCTATGACCTGGTGGAACAGCTCTGTCTTGCAGGCCCTGCGGAAAGATGTCAAGTCCCGCAGGGCCCTAGTCTCTTGGGACAGAGCATTCCACCAGATCGGGGCCACAGCCGAAAAAGCCCTGGCTGTTTCATTTGCATTATTCATTTGCATTATCCCATGTTTCTCCAGGAAGAACCCGTGGTTCTCCTGCCCATATAATCCCCACAGCAACCACGGAGGTAGGTGAGGCTGAGATATACCGAGATGCCCTCCCTACCCCACCACAGAGGAGAGAGGCTGTAGCAAGGGTCAGCTCAGAGGGGCCTCAGACCCTTCAGCAGCAGAGAGCATTCAAAAGAGCTGTGCAAAGCCCACCAGTTCTCACCTTGGGCCTCCTGGTGGTGGTCTGGAGGCCGGCAGGAGCAGAAGGCAGAGGAGGAGGAGACAGGCAGACAGACAGATGGGGAAGACAGGAACAGGGAGACACAGAGACACGGCAGCGGCAGGACAGAACAATGTGCGGAGGGAAGAAGAGAGACAGGAGAGTGGTTAGTGCGCACGCCATCAGCTCCGCGAGTCTGGCACCCCGACACCCACCCCCCCACCCGCAAGCCAAGCTGCTGCTCATGCACAGTCCAGATGGGGCTCCTCCCAGTGCTGTGAGGCTGGACGCCCCGAGGAGCCTGGTCTCCTCTTCCTGGACAAGGGACAGACCTCCCTGCCTCTGAAGTCAAGGGGGCCCTTGCCACAGCAAAAGGACGGACACTGACGAACTGGAAAAATAAAAATGCGGCTCCCTTCTATGATTGGATTGAAAACTTGTACAAACTTGCAACGTATGAACAACTTGCATATAAACGCAGACAAATTCAATGGTATTTGAATCCATTCTTACAAATACTGTAACGGGTTAAGATCTGGTGAAGTACAATAGCAACTCTGTAAAGTACAGTCATACCTTGGAAGTCAAACGGAATCCGTTCAGAAGACCGTTTGACTTCCAAAATGTTTGGAAACCAGAGCGCGGCTTCTGATTGGCTGCAGGAAGCTCCTGCAGCCAATCGGAAGCCCTGTTCGGCTTCCAAAAATAGTTTGTAAACCGGAACTCTCACTTCCAGGTTTGTGGCGTTCAGGAGCCAAAACATTCAGGAACTAAGCTGTTCAAAAACCAAGGTACGACTGTATAAAGTTTTGGGTTTCTTCCTCTGCCCCCTTTATTTCCCCTTCTCCACGGGTGCTGTTTCTCTTTTTCTTTTTCCTCTCTCGTTTGCGTCTCATCATGTTTAGTACACATATAATTATGTACTTTTTGAACTTCCAATTAAAAAGAAAAGGTGGCAGACCAAAGACCATGTCCCCCACCCTGGATATCCATTAAGCACTGCAAGCAGAGGAGGCAGCAAATTTACAGCAGCCAAGACTCGCTTCAGAGGCGGGTGAAGTCGGAGAAAGCTGGAAGGGAACCTGCAACCGGGCCAGAGCTTGGAGCTGACCCTACCCAGGGCCATCAAGGCACTTGGGAGCTCTGGGGGTCAAAGGCCATCCTGACTTCCCAGGGGATAAGAGAGAGGGGGAAAGGGGACGGATCCTGCAGAGGACTCAGCGCCTCCACTCACAGGAAGGAGCTTCCTGGCAGAGGGGAGTCCCAGCTGGAGATGCCAGGGCCGGAAGCTGGAAATCCCTGCTCTGCTATTAAGGTCTGGGCAGGCTGATGACACCCACAAGGCCCCGATCCAGGCGACGCTTCCAAGACTGAGGAGGAGGCAGCTCCCCTTCCCATCTTGCTGAAACACTGAGACAGCACATGGCAGTGCAGAACTATCCTGGGGTGCAGCTCTGAGAGGGCTAAAGGGCGGTGCCCCCCCGCCACTCTGCCACCTGCAAAACACCACTGGGGGCTGCAGCTGCCCCTCCCCTTGCTCTGCCCTCCTCTCCTGGAGCTCCAGCCCCCACCTTGCCAGCCGCCTGTGCCCAGAGGCTTTGCTGACAGCCAACGCTGGCGCCTCCGGGCAAAAGAGGAAGCCAACAAAGTCTCCATTGTCAGGGGAGGGAGGCGGCTCCAGGCATTGTCCCTTCTCCCCTGCTGCTAAGATGGAGCGTCCTGCCAAGCTTGCAAAGGCCAGTCTCTCAAGCGCCCCTTGTTCTCCCTGCAGAACAAACTTCCAAAGAACAAAGTGCTCAGCTGGAACTTGTGGCGGGGGGGGGGGAGCAGGGGGGACTGGTAGCCAACTTTCTGCCTTTGGGGTGCACAGCTCAGGCTCTTTCCATTCCCAGCTCCTGCCTGTGTGCCTGCAGAGTCAGGCCAGGTGTGGCCTGTATCTCTGAGAGTGGCAAATCTGAACTTCAAGGCTGCTTTCTCCACAGTTGCCCTCGCATATCCTTTGCCCTATGCAGTTTGCGTAGGGTCTTTGGGACCATCTAACGGATGCGGGTGGCGCTGTGGGTTAAACCACAGAACCTAGGGCTTGCCGATCAGAAGGTTGGCGGTTCGAATCTCCGCGACGGGGTGAGCTCCTGTTGCTCGGTCCCTGCTCCTGCCCACCTAGCTGTTCAAAAGCACGTCAAAGTGCAAGTAGATAAATAGGTACCGCTCCAGCGGGAAGGTAAATGGTGTTTCCGTGTGCTGCTCTGGTTCACTAGAAGCGGCTTAGTCATGCTGGCCACCTGACCCGGAAGCTGTACGCCAGCTCCCTCAGCCAGTAAAGCGAGATGAGTGCCGCAACCCCAGAGTTGGCCATGACTGGTCCCTTTACCCTTTACCTTTAACGGACAGTCACTGGGCTAAATGCCCCTCTTGATGGAGGAAGGCTTCCTAGGGGGAGAGCCTCCGCTTTAGCAGAAGGATGTGGGCGAGATCCCTGAAGTGTGGTGAGACCAGCCTAAGGAAGTGCCTTCTTGGGAGTTGGGCCACGGGTCCATCTAGATCAGCACTGTGCCCAGCACCTGGCAGAAGCTCTCCAGAGTTTCAGCCCCAGCCCTACCTGGAGAAGCAGGGCACTGAACCAGGGACATCAGGCATGCAAAGCATGTCCTCTGCCACTAAGCCACAGTCCTTCCCGGCTGGTGAACGCAGTCAGAGGGCGCTTGGCCAAGTGGGTAAGGAGAGCAGTCCATGTCTCGGAGGGGAAGATCTACTTCCACCCAACCCTAAGATGGCCATTGTGAGAACATCACTGGAATCCCACTGGGTTGTTTTTAACGGTTGCAATCTGGCCAGAATAAATGCACCAGAAGGGCAGAGCTTAAGTTTTTTCATATACGATTGGCATCCTTCTGTCTCGGGAGACAGCGGAGGAGGGAGCCTTTGGGAGTAAAGTCCAACCACAGGAGAGTTACAGCGCCTGCTGTGACTGGAGAGACATGTTTTCTGGCAGGTGAGGCAGGTGAAAGCGTCTGGTTTTGCTGCTTCAGGTGCACCACGTTAATATAAATATAAAAAAAATACAGAGCACGCCCCACCCCCCCAATGTGCCAGTGCCTTGCCCGCCTCATCGTGGCTTCGCAGCTCCTACAGGACCAGGACCAAACAGCCTAACTGTGTGCCAAGGACAAGCCAAAGGTTGCAGCCAGCAGGAATGATGTGCAATATGCAAGTGGAGCGCCAGAATCTGAATACCTGATGCTGTTGCGCAAATTTTCCTCCCCCTAAAAGCCGCTCTGCCCCAGGCTCCAAGGAGGAAATGCATCTTCGGAAGAGGAGATGTATGTCCAGCGGCCACAGCAGAGCACCAGCAACAAGGCCTTTCTCTGCCCTGTCCCAGGCTGGACAAGGCAGCCTCCCTGCCTGCCTCTCAGCCGCAGCAACACCCTCTCCAGCCCCACCCGAGGCAGGCGCTCTCCCCATCCAGAGCGGATGATTTCAGCCCACCTGTTTCTGGCTATGGAAAGGCCAGCTGCAGCCACGCTCCAACGCAAGGACAACAACGGCTTCGTGCCCTTTTCGCCCACCTCATCCTGCCCTCCACGAGGCATTCAACCCATGAACTATGAAGTCCGTGAATATCAGCGACAGCTACAGCCACCCATTAAACCCAAGATGCAATCTTAGGCTCTCATGGTCCAGGTAACAAGCTGTGGCTCACATTCCTTGCATAGTTCTTGAGTGGGAAACTTTTGGGGAGCAAAGCAGTCTTCTTCAAGACACAGTAAGGAATAAACACATTTAAAAGAGAGCAATGGATGAAGGGATGCATTTCAGTCTTATTAGGACAGAAGAAACGTTCAGCAATGGTTCTAATTGCAGATGCTGCAAGTTCAACTACGATTCCCTCCATTCAGCTTTCTTTCTTGAAGACCCAGACCATGATGAGGTGACCCAGCCTAGGCAAGCAAGCCACCGGCCCACACCTGGCCCCATCCTCTGGTGGCCTAGGAGTGACTTCCCAAGCTTGCGCTCCAGGAAGGAGCCTGCTTTTCCCAAGAAGCAGATTGGTTTGTTGTATCAGCTGACCGGCCGGCATGCCAAGGCTAAATTGGGATCTACACCAGCCATCTTGCCCTGCCTTTAAAAGCAAGAGCCCTGCCACAAAAGCAGGCAAGGTCACAAACTGGCCTTCAGTCTCATTTGAGCAGAGTCCCAACACCACTCCCCCCAAAAAAGAATTGCCCAAGGAGCAACATGTCCCTTTCGCGGAAAGGCTAATTCAGGACTGCTTTCATGCAGGCTACTTCCTGGGGGCGGGCGGAAATCCCAGCTGGGGTGCCAGGAACTCCAATTCAGTAGAGCAGACACTGAGAAGCCACGTGGGGACTCTGCCCAGCCCCTTGCGCATTTCTCTCTCTGCCCCATGCCTTTTCTGTCTGCATACAGGTCACGGGGCTGTCAAGAGAAGCCTCAGGGCAGAGATGGGTGACTGGCAGCCTGGCTCTGCCTGGTCTCCTTGTCCAAGCGCCACAGGCTGCCAGGTCCAGGTGCAAGGTGTATCCTAGCACTTGCATGCGCTGGAAGCAAAGCTGATTGTGCTTCCCCGTGCCACCTGACAATATCCTTCCTTCCTTCCTTCCTTCCTTCCTTCCTTCCTTCCTTCTTGCAATATTATTGCCTACCATGGCTCCAGGCCCACCCTCAAGTCCGCAACTGGGGACAAACCTGCTGGAATCAACTTTCTGCTGCTTTCCAACAGCTGAGCTGCATGCTTTCCCCTACAGTGACCGCTGTCCACCAAGCCTCCTGCCTAGTTCAATAACCCTCCGCCAAAGGACCACGGGAAAAAGCCGAGGGAGCCTGAGGCACGCAAGGCGAGGTCATCATACCCCAAAAGGGCATTTGCCAGGAAACAAATCCCGTCACTGCAGCCGTGCAAAGCCTCCTTATTCCAAAGCAGGAGAGGGGAGGATTAAAGAGGCCCCCGCAAATGCCAGGGGGGCATTAATTTATTGGGATCTATTTCTATACCGCCTTAAATAAATAACATCTCTCAGCAGCGCAGCACAAGATGGATGAAAACCAAAACTAGCCAAAATAGGGGCAAGGGCAGGAGCAAGGGCATCAAAGCAGCGGCATCGGTGCCCCAAGGCCTGAACATCTGAAAGCCAGCAATGTGGGTGCCAGAAGAATCCCTGGCATGACCGGGGGCACAGAGCAGGGCTTCAAGAGCTAGCCTCTGCCAAGGCTCCCCTTCTGCTGGATTTTAAAGGCACCTCTCCAAATAGCCAAGAGGCAGCAGCACCTCACCCCAGTCTGGCCAGCCCAATGGCCCAGAATCGGGCACTGGGCACATTTCCCGTCACGTAAGCCAGGCTACGCAGCATCCCTGCTGTGGCAGGAAACTTGCACATTTGCCTCTAAACTGCTCTCACGCTTAGCCTTGCATGCAGAAGACCCCAGCAATGGCATGGGCAAAGCGGAGGGGACAGACTGTGCAGCCCGAAGAGCAAAATGCCCCTCAGAGAAGGAGGAGGGCAAGCTCCTGACAGTGAAGACTGTCAAATTAGCCAGAAGTGTGAGAAGCCGAGGAAAATGGCTGATCCGGCAGAGAAGAAGACAAGAGAGAGCAGTTCACGGGCAACTTTCCCAGAGCAGGCAACCCCCTCTTCCCCAGCCCCGGGCAGCAGCGGCAGCAGCAGCAGCAGCACTGGCCCTCCAGGCTGCTTAGAGGTAAAAAATATATATGCTGCATGCAACACCAAGGAGATGAAGAGGGAGGGGAACTCAAACTCAGGAAGACGGGGAATGAAATGCAAGCACATCGCGCCTTAGATCCAAACATGTGCCGTCTCCAGCCCCTTCCAGCTCCTCCACACTCCTCCTCCCCATGGCCCGCATGAAGGAGGCAAACTCAAAATGACACCCCCCCCCAAAAAAAATCGTTTCAGCAAACAAAATGGTTTAGAATCAGCAGCAGCAGCAGCATTTGCATTTGCCTTAGACTGTACCTTCCGTGCAGTTGCGGCCTGCTTCATGGTTGCAGGAGATAAGAGGCAGAGACAGAGAAGAGGAAGGCAGAGACAGAGGGAGAGAGAAAGAGGCAGGCAGAATATTAGACCATTCAATCACAACAATGCAGCACTCCCAAGCAGCGCAGCCTGTCCAGGAGATCTTGCAAATGGCTGCAGCTCCGGCGTCTTCCCTCCGCTGTCCTCCGGCCCGGCAGTCCGGCCCCGGCGGCTCCTCTCAGACCTCGGGGCGATTACAGGGGCTTGGGAGCCCAGGAGCACCCCAGCAGCCAGCACCGTGGGCCGCACATCCTTTCGCCACTGGCCTCCAACCACCGCCCCAGCTGCTCATTACATCACCACTCCTGGATCATCCCCTCCCTCCCCCGAGTTCCTCGCAGGCAGATCTCTGATCCAGACGCGCCGCTGCTGCGACTGCAGAACCGGAGACGGAGCCTTTTCTTCGGCAAAGTGAGAAGAGGAGGGAAGAGAAAGGGATGCGCCTCTCGGGGACAGGCGAGGGGCTCCTTGTCACTTAGCAACGCCTTCGGCTCAGCTGTCTCCCCTGCTAATTAAAAGGCTTCTTGGTGTTTCCCTCCCTCTCCCTTCTCCCGGGGAAAGCAAAGGGGCTGGGCTTAGTCTCCGCACCCTCCTCCTCTCTTCCACAACTCGCTTCAGGGATCTCGCGGAGGACAGGATCCCATTCGCCAGGACTTGGGCACAACTGCACCCGCCACCCCGCCGTCATCAAAGGATTCATCAGTCAAGCCAAGTCCTTTGCTCACCATCACAGGCAGAAAAACAAAGAGGGCACACACACGCATGCAGCGCAGGAACACAGAATCCAACGTTAAGAAGGGATGGCTTTAGGAAGACACTACGTGACTTGAACCCGGAGCCATGGAGGAGTCCTGTCTGCTTGTGAGGAAGGTCCCATGCCATGGGCAAGTTGACCATCAGGGTCTCTAGGACACAGGAGAAGACGGACGCAGCACAGATGCCTCTGGAGGACTGTGGAATATGTATGAAATATCGGGTGCCAAGGAAGCCTAGCCCTGATTTCAGCAATTGTACCAACCTGAGCATCACAGAGTAGATGATCTCATGCTGAGAATTATTACGAACCAAACTAAATGACAGCTGTCACTCAGACACTTCACCACAGACAGAGGCCTGCGTTACTTGATGCTGCTCATGTCATAACAGGCTATAATGCAAACTTTAAAGGTGCTGACCTTTAAAGCCCTAAACGGCCTCAGTCCAGTATACCTGAAGGAGCATCTCCACCCCCATCGTTCTACCCGGACACTGAGGTCCAGCGCCGAGGGCCTTCTGGCGGTTCCCTCCCTGCGAGAAGTGAGGTTACAGGGAACCAGACAGAGGGCCTTCTCGGTAGTGGTGCCTGCCCTGTGGAACACCCTTCCTTCAGATGTGAAGGAAATAAGCAGCTATCTTATCTTTAAAAGACATCTGAAGGCAGCCCTGTTCAGGGATGTTTTTAATATTTAACGCTGTATTGTTTTTAACACTCGATTGGAAGCCACCCAGAGTGGCTGGGGAAACTCAGCCAGATGGGCGGGGTATAAATAATAAATTATTATTATTAATTATTATTATTATTACTTCTAGTGTTTTCCGTATGTTCCTCTCGGTTGCTCTTCTGGAAGCATCTCCAGGGCAGGCCAGAGAGAGGAGCCCAGCCCCCTCCTTCCTTTCCGCCTGCTCCATTTGTTCTCCATCTCACTAATGCTCAAGAAGCTTGTCCACAGGGATGCCTGCGCTCTGAACCTCTGAACCTCATGTCACTACGTCAAGCAGGCTGGAGGTTCTCAGGAGGCCCAGAGTCGTTAGCATTTCCTTCCAGACTTAACCACCTTTCTGCGTGATGGGAGCTGGCACCTGACACTGGGCTGGAGGCTCCCCATCCGGACTCTGGGATGTGTGAAAGGGACTGATGCTTTCCAGATCAACTATGGGATTAAAGGGGGAAAGCAGCAAAAATGAGCAGAAGCCCCAAAAATTGGGCAGAAGTGAACTTTTTCAGTGGCATTGTCACAACACTATACAGGAGAGGAAGACCCTCTTTTGGTTTCAGGGATTTCCCTTGGTTCTCTCTCTCTCTTACTTTCTCAACTGGCCTTTTGCATAAAATGGAAAGAAAATTCAGAATCTTTAATTTTGCTACCATGAATAAAAATTCTTCACAAAATTTTAAGAGGCTTTTCAGCAGCTATGAATAAAGACACCAAGCTCTTTCTTATTTGTCACTTGGTTTGCAAAGTGTCCATGTCATCTTCCCAAAAAAAGCTCAGCTTCAGGACCAACCTATCCATTCCTATCATCACCTATCAGAGCCCACAGTCACAGCGACTGGACTGAATGAGAACGGCAGCAGAAGCTTGTGAGCACTTGCCCCAAAGGTGAAATATGACAATGTGGCCAATAAGTCCAAACAATGCAAAAAGAGCGTGCACTGGGAATAAATGACATTTGGGATCTATCCTCTAAGAAGAAGAGTGCACATTTGTTGCAGTAGGGGATCTGCACTGGCTCACAGCTTGTCCTTGTGATCAGCCCAGAGGGGTTTGGGCAAGGTGGCTAGAGAAGCTGTTTCTCATTCTCCCGGAGAAAGCAGAGCCAAGCCAGGATGCTGGTCACCCACAGTGAGTTTTCACCGTTAAGAACCATGGACAGCTAAAGGCCAGCTCAGCCCCTCTGCCTTGGGGAGAGGACAGCTGCAACTGGCACAAGGGGCTGGGGAGTATTTGTGGCAAGCTGGCAGGAACTGAGCTAGATGGATCAATGGTCTGACTTGGTAAAGAGCAGCTTCCTGTGGTCCTGTCTCCTTCGTGGAAACAGGTTGTGGGGGGGAGCTTCCAAGTGGGCGTAGACAAGGCAGAGTTGTGGACTGCCTTTACTGCCAAGGCAGCTGGCTGGGGGAAAGGGCCGGGCCACAGGATCCCCACACTCTGCAGAGAGCTGGGCTTGGTGACCTGGAGCCACGAGAATGCTCAGCATCTCCCAGGTGATTGGAAAAGGCTACTGTGGCGCCACACACGGGGGACTTCTGCTGAAGCTCATAGCCTATGCCAGGAGCCCCAGGAGAAACAGGACGCCACAGAGGCTTCACTGAAGCCTTTTAAGCTGGCAGAATGTTTCACATGGAATCTATTTAAGGTCCATATATAGCAACCTTGAGGTCCCGGGCCCTAAGGAAGTTAAATTAGCCTCAACCAGAGCCAGGGCTTTTTCAACTCTGGCCCCGGCCTGGTGGAACGCTCTGTCTCTTGAGACCAGGGCCCTGCAGGATCTGATTTATTTCCGCAGGGCCTGTAAGACAGAGTTGTTCTGCCTGGCCTTTGCCTTGGAGTCAATTTGATTTCCTCCCCCTCTTTCTTGTTCCTTTCTCCTCCTGTGATGAGGCTGCATTTTAATGCTTCAATGTTTTAACGTTGTATTTTAATCTTGTTTTTAAGTTGTATTCATTCAACTTGTTTTTATTATTGCTTATTAGCCGCCCTGAGCCCAGCCTTGGCTGGGGAGGGCAGGGTATAAATAAAAATTATTATTATTTATTATTATTACTCCAGGCCAGGTATCACAATGCTGTAAGCACAACGCTAACAGAAAGACCACATTGTATTCGACGAAGCTGCTCTGTTCACAGGACTTCCACTTACACAACAGAACTTTCCTTCCTTCTTGTCTCCCTGTGCATGCCCCCCCTCCAAATATTTTCTTGGGTGTCCTCCCCACCCTCTGTAGCAGACCTGGGGAGGGGACAAGGAGAGGGAGGAGGAGAAGTTCGGTTGCTCAGAGAAAAGTCCTTGCACAAATGAGACTGCTGGATACAAGCCCCTTTCTTTGCCCACCAACTGCTGGGCAAAGCAGCTCCCTTGGCAAGCAAGATCCCGTACTCAAACGTGAGCTGCCAGCTCTGTCTCTTGCAGTGTGGCAATGAGGATGCCCTGGCAGAGCAGCCATTAAGGCGCCGGGAAGCTGCAATCAGTGCTGACCTGATAAAAGGAGCTCAGAAGAGCAGAGCTCTGCAAGATGACACCAAGTCCCAAAGGCCCTCGCAGGGCGCTGGAACAACAGCATCCCAGGGAGGCCGCTGCTGGCTGCATGGAGACAAGGCCCTTCGCTTTCAGCAGCCAACCGGGGGGGGGGGGGAGCTGGGACAAAGAGGGAAACAGTCTGTACCAGCAAACTGAGGAAACAAAGCACCATGCAGAAGAGAAGCACACAGAAGGCTGCCTGAAAACCAAGCCAGGCTACGTGTGTCCATCCAGCACAGGGCAGAAACAGCTCTCCAGGGTCTCTTGCAAAAAAAGTTTTCTTCCCTGCCTCCTGATACTTCTAACTGGGAGGGGCTGGGCACTGAGCCAGGGACCTTCTGTGTGCAGAGAACGACCCACTGCCCACTGAGTCAGGAGCCCTACACCAAAAGGGCTATATGCGTTCTGCACATCTGGCCCAACTCAATCTTACAACCTGTATAGAGTTGCCTGTTTTATTTTTTATAATTCCATCCCCGCCCCTGCTGATCTCAGGTAAGAGCAAAGAGGTACATAAGGCACCAGGGCCCCATTCTGAAGACACAACGCAGCCCCTTCTGGCTTCCGAAAATAACATCCTCCGGGTCCTGCACAAGCATCCCTGCGTCCCAGGGAACAGGCTCTCCTACCTAGGACAGCTACCACAGAGAGCTCACCGCTCACTGCCAGTCTGTTGGGGGGGGGGGGAGAGCACAAGGGCCAGGTGATCACCTGGATGCCAGAGTGCATTTCAGAGATACCCCAACGGGGGACGAGGATGGTGGAAAAGCTTTTGGGTGCATAACTGGCCTCCTGCAACGTCACCAACTTGCACCCATCATTCACTGGCCACCATCTTACCTAAGCAGTAGCTTCCCCCAGTCCAGTTTGGCGATTCCTGTCTGCCCCCCAGTGGGAAGGGGTAGCATCGGCTGCATTTTGGGAACAGACCCAGAGAATGCCACTGTGGTCAGAGACCCAGGAGGAGAGGAGCAATGTAAGGTTGCTGCTAGAAGGCCCATGAGGCCGTCCAAATGCTCTTTCTAGCATTCACTCAGCAGTCCTTTGGCAGGTCCTTCACTGCCCAGGCCCCTCAGCCTCACCTGCCGAGCACAGGGCTGGAGAGGGCCCTGCTGCGCTAGCCACTAGGCAGCCTGCCCTGGTGCTCCCTGTCACCAGGGAGAGGCCACCGTGCCTAGAAGGCAGACACCAGGAGCAGAGAGGCTCCTTCCGGGTGGGGAGACAGATGGCAGGGCTGGGGGAGGGGAGGGTGAATAGGTTGGGGCAGGGAGGGAGGGAGGGGACTCTCTGGGGGCTCTACCACTGGGACCACGGGGACCATCTGTCACTAAAAAAGCACAGCCAGAGGGAGCCAGTAACCCGATTAGCAACGCAGAGCTGTGCTCCAAAGAGCCCCCTAATCTCATCAACTGAGATTTACCTGCTGCCACCTTCGGCTGCTCTGAACCCAGCTCTGTTTTTAAGAGACCGAAAGGGGGCAGAGAGAGATTTAAGCGCTCTGAAATGTCATGAGTGTACATATATACTTGGGGGGGGGTGCCAGCTGGAGAAAGAACCTGCCCCCACCCCCCGGGCCAAGGGGCAAGCAGCTTCAGGGACAGGACACAACGCAGCCTCATCTTCTCTTCTCTTCCAGGCTGCTGAGCCGTTTCATCATGAGGAAGGGGAGCCCCGTGGGACAAGAGGAGTCCCCCGGCACTGCCTTCCGACTCACAAGCAAGCCAGGCAAGCCAAGACCTGCCGCCAGGAGCCCAAGAGAAAGGAGAGTCGCTCAGCTGGATGTCCGTTGCTCTCTGTGCGCTCTGAAGGAGGGGAGGACAGGCAGAGCTGGGACCAGGCTGGGGCCTCATGCAAAATGTTGGCAGCAAGGAGACGGTTCAGCAAGAAGAAGTAGCAAGAGCACAAGCGAGAGAGGGAGGGAGGGAGGACAGACCCATGCAGGTCAGGAAGCCTGAGGCACATGCAATAGCGGCGGCGGCGGCAATGGAAGAAGAAAGGGATCCCTGCCAGAGTTGGAAAGGGGCCCTCAAAGCCAGGCCAGGAAAGGTTCTCCCACTCGGAGGTCATTTCCACCTCACCCTCTGGAGGCCAAGGACAACCCACCTCTACTGAGAAGCCAAAAGGTAGGACTTCTCCCTCTGGGGTGCAATGCTCAGAGCGCCTGCGGGCCAAGGCACAGGGCACAGGGGACGGGGTCTTTCCATGATCAGATCTCATTCACAAACTGATAGTAGCAGGAGTACCTTAAAGCAGTCATGGGGATTCAGGTTTCGACCGCAACAGCCACTTGGGCCGGGGGCAGAGGGTGTTGACCCTCCCCTCCCCCCCTTTCATTTTCCAGATCTGACCCCCCACCACAGAAGCTGCCACTAGACTAATCATAGGAAGAATAAGCATGGAAAGCGGCAGCTTTGGGCTTTCTTGTTCTGATGTGTGTTTCTACTGCACTTTCCTTGATTCTGCCTTGGGAAAAGCTGGTGCTTGAAGGCCCAAGACCAGGGGCTGACCAAGCCCCTCCCCATGTGCCAGGAGGAGTGGGGTGGTCATTGTCCTTCTCTCCCAAAGGGGGAACGGGCCCTTCCTTGCTGCTACAAGTACCCCAGGGGTGGCTTACGTTAGGGAGAGCGAGAGGCAGGGTAAGCCAGCTCTGTGCTCTTCTCAAAGGCACAGGGCTGCTAGTTCCTGGCCAGGCCTGCTCACCCAGGATGCCAGCAGTGTGTCTTTGAGTTCCAGCTTTTCTGTGTCCTGCCAGAAACTAATAGGAGGGCAAGATGGAAAGGAAGCAATCAACAGCAGCTGTGCTAGCATGAGAACCCCCAGCCAGGCTCACCCGGGCAAAAAGCAGCGGGCAGCACCCTTTCGAAGCCCACCAAGTTTGTGACTTGGAGGTGAAGCTGGCGGGGGGCAAGGGAGCCCTGGAACAGCCTAGCTCAGAGGCCGCCAGCTGCCCAGCACCCAAGTCTTGGCTGATGTTATACTGATGCTTCTTGCTGATTTTGTTCTTGTACGTTGTATACCGCCTCAATATATTCTGATGAAAGTGTGGCTTATAAATATGTGAAATATGTAAAGCAGCGGCTCACAATTTGCTAATTACTGAGGACCCCCTATTCTTCAAAAGCCAAGCCATGGGCCCACTATTTTGGAAAATGTTGATAACTCTGCAAAGCAATTTTTTTGAACAAAATGTGGGGTAGCCCGAATAAGCAAAGGATTTCAGGTATACTAAAAAACAGATTAGGACTGCATGATATCTGGTTTTCAATACTGTGATCTATCAGTGGCTAAACATTGTGATATTCCAATATATCATAATGTCTGAATTTGGAGGTCAGGCGTGGGGATGAGGCAAGGAGCCGTCACAGAAATCAGGCAGGTGGGGGGAGAGGAAGCGGAGTCACCCCCATCGCATGGGGGGCACATTAAGTCACCATCAGCAGAGCAGCCAGCAGTGGCAGCCAGAGAAGACGCACATCCACTGTGACTGCTGCTGCTTTTCTGCTGAGAAAAGCTGCTCCGCCTCAGAGCCAGGGGAAAGTAGAGCCACGGTGCCTTGACGTGAGGGCAATCAGATGCCCTGGTCTCCCTCAGCGTGAGGGAAGGCAGCTCAGATCAGAAGCGTTATCAGCCAAGATCATCGTGCAATGTCAGCAGTGCCTTGAAATCAGCTGCCCTGCTCTCCCTTGAGTGAGGAGCAATATACAGTGGTACCTCGGGTTAAGTACTTAATTCGTTCCGGAGGTCCTGAAACTGTTCTTAACCTGAAGCACCACTTTAGCTAATGGGGCCTCCTGCTGCTGCCGAGCTGCCGGGGCACGATTTCTGTTCTCATCCTGAAGCAAAGTTCTTAACCTGAAGCACTATTTCTGGGTTAGTGGAGTCTGTAACCTGGAAGCGTATGTAACCCAAGGTATCACTGTATTGCTGGGTATTGCCGGGTCAAAATCGTTATCGCAGTGTGATTTCAGAACCAATTTTGGCCAATGTATTGAAAAACCATACAGCGCTAAAACAGACCATTAAATTTGTGATATTACCATGCAAAAATGACCTTAAAAAAGTTGGTGGGGGGAGGCAAGGGATAGAGCCACGGACCCCTAATTGGGAGCCACTGATGCAAAGCACTCAAAGCCAACTCATCAGGCGCCAGCCAAGGGAGCAGACATGCAAGGAGGGCACATGCACTTGTGCGCAACGGAGGGGGGGCACAGCAGCCCCTGCCGAAACGGTTTCATGCGTGGGTGGGACTCTGTCAAGAGAAAAAAGAGGCACCACCTTTTTAGGTTTCACTCCACGCTGCATGGAAAGAGGATAAAAGATTAGATGTTAGAGAGATACAGGCTGTTATGCACCAAAGGCAAGTGGGGACCAGACAGCAGCCTGCTTGCTGCCACAGTGGGGAAAACCTCGCTCAGGGCAAGCATCTGGCTTAGGCTCGGTTCACCAGCGCACCCAACCCTCCTCCTCCTCCTCCCAGCCTTGTTAGGCTTCAAGAGTTCAACCAAGACAGAAAAGCAAGCTTGAGAAACGAGGACGGGGCTGGCCTTCCCCTCCTCTCACCCAGGTCCTGGGACGCCTTGGGCTCCGGATGGAAGGTGGTTCACACAGCAATAGCAGAGGTGGGAGGGGAATTATATAATGCCACAACTCAGTCGTAGTGCTGATGCCTGGAAGCAGGACTTAAGGTTTCTATCCTGCCTTTCCATTAAAAGCGGGAAGGCAATAGGTGAAAAGTCTCAACAGCAGACCAAACACAGGACAGTCCGAACCACGTTGACTTTGAAGTAAGCAATATGGAATTCACCGAGGAAAGACTGATGAGCTTGCAAGCCCATTGAGGATTGCAGCCAGTTTGCTTCATGGAACAATTCTTGTACGGAAGGGCCCACCTCAAAAGGAGAACAGGTTTCTCCTCGCAGTGGGTTCCACTGGTGTCAGTTTGGAAACCCCGGAGAAAATGGTTGGGACACCCTGAACGACTGCTGAGCAAAAGACCATTCCCTTCGAAGAAAGAAACCAATTTCAAAATGGCCTCTTCTTCAGCCATGATTATCTACAAACAGAGAACTATTTGCAAGTCACTGAGATGAACATGATACCACAATGCAATACAAGCAGACAATGTAGCCTGCATAACCCTCGAAGGAGATACTCTCGCCAAAGACCGCCCTTCCGCCCATTAGACAGCCAAGGACTCTTTTGCAGCAGCAGCTCCCAAGATCTCCTGGCTCTGCTGACATCTAGTGGAGCAACAAACAACTCCTGCCCACGGCCCCCGAATTCAGCTTGGAACAAGGGATGCAGGCAGACGCCCTTCTGGAAAGGACAGAGGAAAGTGGCCCCGAGATTCAAGTTCCTCATTCTTCTTAGAAAGAAGCCACAGGCACAGCCTTAGACTCAGGACTGGGAAGCAGAAAGAAGTCAAGGGAGGAGGCGACTCTCCAAAACAGCAGAAGGTGGGCAAGTTCTATGGAAATGAGGATGGAGATGAAGGCAGTGAGGCCACAGCTGGGTGGGTGGAAGCCCAAGGTATGACCTGTTCCCTAACGAAGTTTTGAGCTGACATTATTAACATTATTGGCAGCTGATGTTATTACAGTGCCCGTACCCTTCTATAAAGTTTGGGGCTTGTGGCTAAGAAAATGTCATTTAAGGGGACAGGATGAACTCCAGGACAGGGCCATGGTCCCCAGCTTGAGTCCCTGGGAGCATCTCCTGGTATAACTGGGAAAGAGTCTTCCACGCTGGGAGATCCTGGAGAGAGTAAGTCTCCTCTTCCTCACCTTTTCTCCAAACTAAAACATGGTGGACGGATTTCATCAGGGGGCACAACCTGACCAGAGTGGTGAGCAATGTTGGGGGCAGAGTTCTGGGTGGGGCTGAGGTGGCCGAGCTGTGCTGGCAGAGGGCCAGTGAGGCAAAGGTTGCAGAAGCCAGGGGGAGAGACGGCACCAGAGTTTTCAGTGAGCGAGAGGAGGGGTTGTATTTGATGATGGACTGAATAGGCAGAATAAATGAGAAAGAAATTAAGAAATAAAGCCAGTTGCAGGTGAGATGGCAGCACTGTGAACGACAATGGAGAGTGAACAGAGAGAGAGAAATGAGAAATCCAGGACGTTAATCACATTTATTTAACTATAGAAGCCCACAAGATTTTCGGTTGCATGTGAAAAGTTAGGGAGGGGGGCAGTCAACTAAGTTTTACTCAGGGTAGACCCCCTGAAAATTAATGAGCACGACTAACTGAGGTCCTTTAATTTCAGAGGGTGTACTCCAAGTAAAGCTTAGCTGAATATCACCAAGCAAGTAAGCTGCTTGGATGTTAGGTTGGTTAACACAAGCTCTTTTTGTGACTGCGGTGGGTATGTTAATGTTGGAGGGCACATTAACAGAATTCCATAATGTTTTTTATTTGAAAAGACTGATGAGCCTCAACTGGGCAACTTAGGCCAGCCATCCAGGGGCAAATCCCGGCAGGCCATCTTCAAAATCGGAAAGGTTGGGACTGGGATGAGCACCTTACTCCCCAACCCTTCCATCTCTTCCCACCCAATGTTTTAATAACTCGGAAACCAGGAAAGTGGGCACTGGAGGAAGAGCAGCCTCTGTTGTTGCTGCTGCTGCCCAGCTGGTGCCGTGTGAGAGGCACCTGCAAAGCCCACGACCGCGAACCATCCGCTTCACGCTCCACGCTGCCGGCATCTGTTGGGGCAGGTGGTGCCTTTGGAAGCACTTTGTTCACTGGGCACAGTGGCCCCCCTTGCAAGGCCAGCAACAGGAAGAGCCACTCGTGCCCTTGCTCTAAAGAGCTGCCCAGGGGGTCTGGGGCAACCCAGAAAGGGTGGGGTCCAAATAATAAAATTACTATTATTCTTTATTTAAGAGAACCAGGGAGTTTGGAGGGCAGCAGCGCCAATTCATGAGACACCCACCCACCCACCTGCCTCCCTCCTGAGTCAGTCACTGCCCCCCCCCCGGCAGAGCTGCTCCTTCGGCATAACTCTGACCTTGCCCCTCTGCCTTCATCCTCCTCCCTTGTTCCTGGGGCTCAGCAAGGTGTGTGTGTGGGAGGGTAATCTTCCCACTGAACCGCCACATAACTTAGAAACTGAATGGGAGGGCTTGCAAAACTGAGGGTGAAGCAAATGTTTGGCAACAGACACCCTTCTGCCCCACATGAAGGGGAATCCAAGGAAAGGCACCACCAGCCAGAGGGCTGCAGCTAACTGCCTATGTCCTCTCCATCGGCCCAGAGGAGAGGCAAGCAAGGGGCAGGACTTGGGAACTCCTGATCTCCACAGAGCGCAGGATCATGAGTCAGCACTAGTTCACACCACCACAGCTCTTGGGTCCGTATCTCTGACTGCAGGCTGCTGTGCTCCACTGTGGCCATGAGAGCATCCTGGAGGAAAAGGAACCAGCCCCCCTCCCTTGCAGCTGCAAGTGCCATGTGCTCCCTGACGCATCACTCGGAACCAGCAACTCAGCAAGCAGCTTGAACCAGCCTCGGACGGAGTCATTTGATCAGCCATCGTGGCAGTTGAGAGGGGCACATGGTTCCGTGTTTAAGCCGGGACAACACCCCCACTCCCTGATCATGCAAGCCAACTCATCCCTGTGGCCTGGGCCAAGGTGTGATACTAGAGGGCGCAGCCTGGAACATCTTCCCAGCAAGGCGCCCTGGCCTGCAAACTGCACGAGCAGCTCCAAGTCCAGGGGTCAGAACTAAGAAGCACGCCTAGGCCTTTTGTGACCCAGAGTGTGAGGAAGCCAGGAAGCCCGGTGGCTGTGAGAGACCTCTCGATTCAGTGCACGTGGAACAAATAAGCAAACCTCTGGACACGCAGCATCACAAGCTTTGGCGCCCCTGGCCGACAGAGCTGGCTTGCTCCAGCAGACACCCATTCAGTCAGTCACTTTGCGCTCCCATCCCCTTCTTTTTCATTCATAAAGCAATTGCTGCCTTTGCAACGGGTGTGATGTGTGCTCTGAGTCCCCCATCCCAGCCCTGCCCTTGCGCACATTGAGAGCTAAGCCACAAAACATTCAAGCAGAGCATACATCTGTCACGTATGACCCCGGGGAGAATCCTGCGCTGGAGGGGGATGGACCAGGAGGCCCTCAAGATCCATTCCAACAACAGTTCTATAATTCTATGAAGTCTCAAGCGTCTGGGTCGAAATTCTCCCCTCCCCCCTTCAAACCAAAAGTTAGACGTGGATGGAATGAACTGTTTGCCCGTCCCAAGAACAAAGTACTCACCAGCTTGCTGGCTTTGGGACCTTCCGAAGAATCTGGAGGAGAAGAGAAAAGGAAAAGAAGCAAGGCACTCAGAAGAGACTCTGGAAAATGGATTACTCTCCCCGCACCTGTCAAGGCATCAGCAGCAAGGGAGGATCTGGATTCCTGAATTTCGCCAGGAAGGCAGCTCCCATTTTATACCCTTCAGCTCATTTGTGAGGCAGAGGGGGAAACTCAGGTTCCAAGCACGTGCAAACCAGGGTCCACTGAGGCAACGAAGTTAATAATAATAATAATAATAATAATAATAATAATAGGTAAAGGTAAAAGGAACTCCTGACCATTAGGTCCAGTTGTGGCCAACTCTGGGGTTGCGGCGCTCATCTCGCTTTATTGGCTGAGGGAGCCGGCGTACAGCTTCCGGGTCATGTGGCCAGCATGACCAAGCCGCTTCTGGCGAACCAGAGCAGCGCACGGAAATGCCGTTTACCTTCCCGCTGGAGCGGTACCTATTTATCTACTTGCACTTTGAGGTGCTTTCGAACTCCTAGGTTGGCAAGAGCTGGGACCAAACAACGGGACTCACCCCGTCGCAGGGATTCGAACCGCCGACCTTCTGATCGGAAAGCCCTGGGCTCTGTGGTTTAACCCACAGCACCACCCATGTCCCTAATAATAATAATAGCTGCTATTAAACTTAGTGAACCCCACAATAACTAATAAAGCACACCCAGTATCCTTCACATGGTTCGCAATGCCCTCTTTCTGTACAGCAATGAACCTGGCGAGTCCCCTTTCATTCCTGATACTGTCCTGTAGTTACTGCGTATCGGTCATTTGCCACTTGTCTTTACTGGATGTGTTCTGTGATACCGGTTGCCTTATTGCGAATGTTAAAAGCTACTTTGGAGACGATATGATGCTTTAATGGTGAACTCAGATGGCCCTCGCCAATCATTTTGAAGGTGAAACAGGGCCACCCACAAAGAAAACAAAAGGTTTTAGCCTAGAAGGAACCCCAAGATACAAATCAAGTACTCCAAAGAAGCAAAACAGAATGCTTAAAAAAGAAGCAGGCTGCTTACTGCAGATGCACCCAGTCAAACTGCCTCACTCTTGGTGATGTTAATGGTACTCTGGACTTGTGGAAAAGGGACACAAGCTGAAGTGCAGGGTTTCTAGCAAATCAGCCAGCCAGCCCTGGCATGCCCTCCCAGGGAGAGAGGGGTAGAGGGCGCTGCAAATCTCAGACCAATTTACCCAGCATGGGACACACCAGCCCATGTCCCTGCAGGGTTATAGGGAGCTCTGAGCTCTGCTGTAGCCTGAATGATAAGGAAGCCAGAGGCTCCTTAAAAAGAGAGAGAGCTACAGCCAAGCAGAGCCCAGCGCGTCCTTCCCATCTGTTTCACGCCTGTGAAAACTGACAAGGCCTGCACCAAACGTTGCAGCAGCCTCCAGTTTCCATGGAAACCCTCGGGCAAAAAGCCGTGGCGCTCAGAGTTCCACGGAGAAAACATTAAGGCCAAGTCCAGAAACTTTGACGCTGCTCACCTGCCGGCCTCCCTCTTGCATCCCAACCTTATAAGACTAACCCAGCCACTTCCTGCATCCTATGCCCTGGTCCTTAAACCGGGACAATCGTCACCTCCCTTCACCTCTGCCTGGTGAAGCCGGCTGCTTTCTTTTCCCCCTCTCATCTCCACCTGCTTATCTGGCTTCGCTGACCCTATGGGATCCTCTCTCCACACCCTCTTTAAGCTGCCTGCTGTTCAAATTCAGCTGCCAGAGAAAACAAGGTGCTCCAGCAGGAACCTTGAAAATCCTGCTTGTCCCTACTATATTTACATGAACAGGCTAGTCAAGGATCAGTGAAGTCCCTACCTCTCTTGGGGACCTTCGAAGCGGAAGACTCCGGCGTCTCCGGGGATGTTGTTTCTGCGCCATCATCAAAAACCTGGATCTGATCAGATTTAACATTTCATATAAATTATTTATTGAAATACTGTTAGGTCACATTTCAGGGTAAGCACCCTCAGTGAGGCAGCTTACAATATATTAAATGCAAAGTGACAAACATAAAATAAAATCAAAATGCTGATTTTAAAACATGGGTTGGAAGCAGATAAAACATATCATTACAGCTTAAAATAATTGCAACAGCAGCATCATAAATTCATTAAAAAAGGAAGTTGAATTAGATGGTTTGTCAAAAACCAGAACTGACAGGGCCTCTCACACTTCAGTAAGTGAAGAGTTTTATTGATCTTTATTTGAAGATTTATGTGCCGCCTTTAAGAGTAAATAACCTCAAGGTGGCGCCTAATATAAAAACACTAATAATACACACAAATATATTAGCACAGATCAAACAAGCAGCTAGCTGAGCGTTACATAAATACCACCGGTACTAAGAGCATCAAAGCCCAAAAAGTAAACCCCTTTGAAAGAAAGCCAGCAAGAAATATTGTTTTTGGAGATCTTTCTGAAAAGCCTACAGTGCTGCCATCACAAGGTTCTGGTCCCCAAAGAGCCTGTATGTGGTGTGTGGGTTCAAATCTAGTTATGGACTTGGTAAGTGGCCCCCTGGAACCCAGTTGCTGCTTTCTAAAACAAAACCAATATGCCTGGGTTTTATAGACATGCTCTTGGTCAGAAGATCTAAGTTCTTCATCTAAAACACACACCCCCTTTAGCACCCCAGAACTGCCTGTGGAAAAAGGCTTGAGAATAAAATAGCCACCATGCCTGATGCAATAGCGCAGCTCCCCCATCTCTCGGGGGCCCCTGTCTACTGGCAGCAGAGAGGAAACACCTCCCAATTTACACCCATTGCTTCCCTCTTCCTGGGCTGCTGAAAGATTTTACCAGTCTTCCATGCCCAGTGGCTCCCTGCCCCGCATGCTAAGTACATCAAGCATACATGACCTGTAGCCCTGTTGAGGGAAGCTTTTAATGTTTGATGTATTACTGTATTTTAATATTTGGTTGGAAGCCGCCCAGAGTGGCTGGGGAAGCCCGGCCAGATGGGCGGGGTATAAATAATAACATCATTATTATTATTATTATTATTATTATTATTACTGGCGGATTCTCTTCCCTCGGGCAACACCAGCACTACTCCAGAATTTTACAGGTATAAGAATGGGAATTGCTCCTTCTGAAATTTTTCTTCTACTGAGCCCTCAGTCTTGTAAGTAAGTTTAGGATTTCCCTTTAAGATTGTCTGGTATAGACTCTTTAGGAAGCAAACTCTTGTGGTTGGTTTTTCCATTTCTACTGCTACATATCTGACTTTCCCTTATCCCTAGTCTTAATAGTTTGGAACTTTGGGTTTGGCTATATAATTCAGGCATCGCAAAGATTCTCCCTTTGTGTGCCAGGCAGTTTTTTTTCTGTGCTGGCAACACCCTTTGAGCAAGGGGAGTGGAAGGGGAAAACTCCCTCCGTGATTACTGGGGAGTGAGCTGGCCATTTCCCCAAGTTGAATATTATTAACCCACCGCTCTTGGGAGACCCACTCATTCCGGAGCAAAGGGGCACGGAGAGGCAGAGGCAGCAATGAGGAAGGGGAAGTGTTTCAGGCTGTCCCCTCCCTTGGTTCAACCTGCTAGTGCTGACCCCCTCCTGCAAGTGCAGCAAGGGTCAAAAGGGGGGTCCTTATCCAAGGACTTGTCCTTATTCAGCCCTGCATATTGGGGCAAACTCCCTTCCGCCCCCCACACCAAAAGACACAGAGCAGGGGACACCGCAAAGGCCTGGGCCAACCGCCCCAGCCTTCCTGTTCACCCTCCCTGGTTAATTCGTGCCCAAGAGCATGTGCAGATTATGTCACACGAGGCAGCTTCCAAATAGATACCCAGCATTTGGTTCACCCTGCGCAACCTGTCAACTTGACCACTAACTGGGGCACGGAGGAATGCGAAGGAGAGAGCAGCCCAACCCGGCCAGAGCCACATCTTTCTGCATCTTCGCTTCCCATCACCAGGAAGAAGCTGGACCTGAAGCAGCAGCAGCAAGCAGCTCCAGCTGCCAACAAGATTGCCATAGCAACAGATCTGTCAAGCAGCACCAGAAAATTCAGGGAGGAAATGAGAGAGAGGAAGCCCCAGCAGCCAGGCCTCCAGAAGGAAGGCCCAACTGCTCCAGGCAGAGGGTTTGGGCACAACTAAGGGCAGGAGAGCAGGAGCCTCAAGGAGACCATCTTCTGCACAACACACACCGAAATGGGCACGAGCTGCAATGGGGGGATTGGGCCCCACATCACTTGCCATCTGGGTTTCCCAGCTCAAGCACCGAAACTATCTTGGGCTATCAGGACTGAAGTCAACCAGGACCAGACGGCACTGGGACAGAATCCTGAACACATAAGCCAAGGCCAGCAGAAGAATAGAGGAGCCAGGTTACCTCAAGCTCCCCAACTATGAACCCCCCCACAACCCCCCTATCTGACCTGTGGGGGCATCAGGACTTTGCAGCAAGTGCCATGGGGATGCCCCACTCTGCTCACTTCCTCTCCAGAGGAAGGAAGGGCGTGCGTGACAGAGCCAGCAGAATTAATTTGCGCTTGAAAAGCACATGGCGTTAAAATAGACGGGAAGAATAACATCACTCTAAGTTCTGCTCTATATAACCACCCTTAGTGCCTCAGGACCAAGGGGGCAGTGAGTGGGGTGGGAAGGGGTGGGCCTCGGAGGCTTGTGGGCACCAAGGGAAGACCTGAAGGGCACCAAGTTGGTGCCTCCTATTTTAGGAGACTCACGAGGGCACCAGAAAGGGCAAAACTGCAGCTGATGCTTGGAAACGGCTGGTGCACCTTGAAGGGGGTGGGGAGAGACACTCTCCCTATCAAGCGTGTTGAGCAGAACTTCTTTCCTGACTGACACAAGCACTGACTGATATCGGTAACACCCAGCCTTGCCGCTCAGGAGGAAGCTTACCTGCGATTGTCGCACAAAGATGCCGTGGTTCTCCTCGCAGGTGAAGTACTTTCTGCCCTGCACCATGCCATCGTTCTTGCCTTTCGCTTCGTCCAGGATGACGCCCACCCACTTCCCGGTGGCAAAGAGCGTGGCGCCCACATACGCCACCGTCCCACGGTACCCTTTCCCGATGACTTCCACCCGGGAGCCCACTTTGAGGGGCTTGCCGCTCACTTCCACGCTCATCCTGGCGCTGGCGCTCGACGCCTGGGGAAAGAAACAGGGAGAAGCCAAGGGTCAGTTGACAACCGCAACGAGGTTCTTCAAGGCAAATCTGGACCCAAAGCATTGTTCAGTGCCACAAAGGAGAAATCCTTCTCCTCTCTACACACGCGAAGACACGGCAGCGTTGAACAAAGGAGGCTAGTCACAGAGTTTCTTCATAGATTTGAAATAAATGTTGAAGAGGGCAAAGGGCTGCTTAGTGGATTCTCTTACAGTAGGACAAGAAACAAGGGAGATGAGCTGCTGGAAAACAGATCCAGGCAAATGTGGGTCTGTGGGATGTGGGATGTGCTGCAAAGGGGAGCTGCACAATCTGGCTCCTTGCTGGCTTTCAAGAGAAGACTGCATAGGACTATGACGCACGGGCGTGGACCCTCTTTCCCCCCCTATTTTTTCTTTAAAAGCCTCAAGTAGAAGGGGGCCCGCCACATGAGTCTGCTGAATGCTTCTGGTTCTATGGAAGCTGACTGACTGGAGGCCCAAAAGAAACCCAGAGGAGTTAAATGGAGGCAATTGCAAGAATCTTTTCCATGCCCCTTCAAATCGATTCCAACTTCTGCCAGAGCAAAATGAAGATGGGAAGCGGCCTCTCAGCAATGCCTGGTCCTTTCGCTGGAAATGCACAAAGTGGCAGCGTGTGGTCCGGCCCCTCTCTTTGGGAACCAGAGCATTCCAGAACTGCTGCAAGCCACCCTCTCTCTGGGCTGGAGCGCTTACATATTTCAGAAAATTGATACACCGCTTGATGGGAGAAAACCTCAAAGCAGCTTACAAAAAAGAGAAAACAATGAAATCATAAAGTAATTTAAAATCTACAATATAAGGCTTGACTAAACAAAAATGTTTTCAGCAGGTGCTGAAAAGAGAACAGCAAAGGTGCCTTCCTGATATCAACAGGCAGGGAGTTCCAAAGTGCAGGTGCTGCCACACTAAGAGATCCATTTCCTACAACTGTGGAATGGGCATTATGTGGCACCTATAACAGTGCCAGTTCCGCAGATCAAAGCAGTTGAGTTGGCATATACAGGGGGCAAGGTGATCTTGAAGATGAACTGGTCCCAAATTGTTAAGGGCTTTCTATACAAATAGAAACACCCTGAACCTGGCCCGGGAGCAAATTGGCAACCAATCTCTTGCCTTTTAAGGCTTTCTGCCACTTGAAGAACACCCTCCTCCTCCTCCTCCTCCTCCAGTAACGCTACCTGCAGAAATGGCTTCTCCAGGCAGAAAGGCTCAGTCTGGGATATGAAAGGCTGATGGTTTGAGCATCCGTAAAAAGGAAAAGCTCTGAAAATTGCTAGGCATGGGATCAGTCTTTAAGAGACCAAGTGCCTGGATCTGTGTCTTCCAGAATGTGAAAGGAGCTCTTCCTCTCCCTCCTGCTGGGAAACATCTACAGCTTTGGCTATCCATCAGTACCTTTCTGAAGTCTAGACTATGTGCAACCAACCTGTTTTGCCAGCATGGAACCCTGTTGGGGATGGTGTGTTCACAATGAAAGTACAGCGAGTCTGAAGAGGGAACTATCACCTGCGGCACCGCCCCACGGAACAGACTAACAGCACACAGCCAGGAATCCCACGGATTGACACCTGGGCGCAGATCTTGTAACAGCCTCACTCCCTTCCCAGTCCACTCCCCTTGTATATTACAGTGAACGCTCAGGTTGCAAACATGATCCATGCAGAATGCACATTTACAACCCGCAGCGTTTGCAACCCGAGTCTGCGCATGCACGGGTTGCGATTCAGTGTTTCTGCACATGCGCAAAGCGCAATTTAGCCATTCCAGTACTTCCGGGTTTCGGCGGTCCGTAACCCAAAAAAACACAATCTGAAGCGGCTGTAACCCAAGGTATGACTGTATTAAGAAAAAACACCTTTTAATTAAATCCTCCTAGATGTGATTCTTCCCAGAATCACAGGAAGGTGCTTTGTTCTAATACATGCAGTGTGTGGTTACCGCAGCTCAACAAATCCACTGGAAAAACTGCCATAGGACCAGCCCAGAATCCACACACCAGAACAACCCACAGAGATAGCTCAGCTACCGAGAACAGACCTGACCTGTCCTGGCACATCTATTCCACAACTATTGCCTCTGCAACTGCAATTCTAGTCATACCCAGTTGCTCAGCTTGCTGGCCAAGGCTCGGTGGCCCAGCGTGCCCAATTCCTGGTCAACATGACTATACCAGAGTGCCATGGTCACATTGCACTTGGAGAAGGAGCCAGAGATCCTGGGCCAACAGTTTGAAGTATTGCACCTAGGACTCTCATCTTCATGAAGCACCAAAATGCAAGCTGCAGTTTTTGCAACAGACATGGAAACGGACATGTGAAGTCTGCCAGTCAGGGCTGTGATGGGAAGCAGCGGCCCAAGTGCCCTGTTTGCCTGTTAAGGAAGGCCTCGTCGCCTTCCCAGAACAGCCGCCCCCAACACAGTTTCGCCTCCAATAGGCCACCCCTGACAAGACACAGGCTTTCTGGTTTGCCTCCCTTCCTAGGAAAACTGCTGATGGGTTAAATTCACAGTCGGCCTGAGAAATGCAGGGACAGACCTGCAAATGACTCAGTCTAAGGCGCAATGCAAGGACAGCCCCCAACCGATGGCAAACAAGACCAAGTGAAGGCCGGCTTTTTAAAAAAACCTCTTCACAGATGAGTAAGAATGTTATGCTTTTCAAGGGTGGGTTGCAGAAAAGAGAACACTACTTACAGAACGTTTTGGAAGATGATGCGTGTAAAATAACAAACTTGGTGGGGAGGGGAAACTTGTTTTAAAAATGCAGCAGTGCAGCTGCCCTGTTGAAGGCTCACTTCCAAACTCCAGGTTCGTGAGCTGAAAGCTTGAAAAAGCAAGAAATTAGTCCACTTAAAATCAATAACTACTTTCCCGAGGCAGACAGCTGCAGACACCCAGCACATGCCCCACAACAGGGTCCAAAAGGGGAGGGGCCACAGTTGTTCTCCCTCCTTAAAATAAAGGAGGGGGGGCTGGCTCTGCAGAGTGATGGGTCTGGCAGCAGCTTGGCTAAGGTGGAAGTGCAATTGCACCAGGGCAGGGAGACATGCTCTTCCCACCAGGCAGTGTGATGGAAGGCACACTTAAAGGATTAAATGCTGGGCAGGAGAAAGAAAAAGCCACCCTCTCTTTACAGGCTCAAACAAAGAGGAGAGAAGGGCCTTTTAAGTGAATTCCCACCCCTGTTCTCTGCTCACCAGGACACTTAGTTCCAAGGCACGGAGGACCACCTGTACCAAAATTGTTATCTTTTGTGCTTGCCGCTGTGGGCTCCTTAGGGAGAAGCTTGGAATATACATTTATTTATTTTATTTAACAAAGTGTATATGCCGCTTGATTGAAAGAAAACCACAAATATGAAATAAAACATTGAAATCATCTGTAAAAACAGTCTATTCCAAAGAAAATTGAAATTCATCCGTAGCTAAAAAGAGATTAAATACATGTCATAACAACAGCACCGCCAGCACCGCGGGTGTTCTAGGCAAGGAATGCCATCGTCCCTGCAGCCTAGTGAGTGAGATGCCATTGGTCCCTTTACTAAGGGCTGTGGGCAAGGCATCCTTCGCCTGAGATTCCTAAAGAAGTTAGGTATCTGGCTATGGTGACACATACATGCCTTAGTTGCCTCATCACTGCAGCGTTCTTTCTGCCTGGGGCTGCTTTGGAGAAGTGTCTGTAAACTTCAGCTTCTCCAGGATGCATCTCACTCTCTGACCAAACAGCCTCACTGGCTTCCTTCTGGTTTCCAGGCCCAATTCAACGAACCTAATCTGCTTGGAACCAGGATGCACAACAGGCTGCCTTTTCGCACTTTCACTCTTCATTATGGAGGTTCTTTGCTCTTTAAGCTCTTCCCACCAATGGCTGAGATGAGAGGCTGAAGAGGTCCTCTGCTGTGGAACTGTTCCCACGGAGGCCTGTCCTGATGCTTCTCCATCACAAGAGCAGGAATTCAGCAGGGCATCTGCTAAGTTTTAATTTCCCTGGTGTTTTAGTCTGCACTGCTTTGTCCTCCGTATTTGCCATTAATTATTACAAGAAAGAAGATTCTGACTTAACATCAGGAAGAACTTTCTGACAGTATTAGCTCTTCAGCTCTTCAGCAGTGGTACAGACTCCCTCAGAAGGTGGTATGGACTCTCCTTCCTTGGAGGCTTTTAAGCAGAGGCTGGATGGCCATCTGTCATGGATGGTTTAGTTGCTATTCCTGCATTGCAGGGGGTTGGACTACATGACCCCTGGGGTGCCTTCCAGCACTACAGTTCTATGATAACTGTATTTTATTACAAGCCCCCTTGAGGATTTTAAATTGAAAAGTGAAGTAATTAATAACAAAATGAATCATAGAATCATAGAGTTGGAAGAGACCACAAGGGCCATCGAGTCCAACCCCCTGCCAAGCAGGAAACACCATCAGAGCACTCCTGACATATGGTTCTCAAGCCTCTGCTTAAAGACCTCCAAAGAAGGAGACTCCACCACACTCCTTGGCAGCAAATTCCACTGTCAAACAGCTCTTACTGTCAGGAAGTTCTTCCTAATGTTGAGGTGGAATCTTCTTTCTTGTAGTTTGGATCCATTGCTCCGTGTCCGCTTCTCTGGAGCAGCAGAAAACAACCTTTCTCCCTCCTCTAGGTGACATCCTTTTATATATTTGAACATGGCTATCATATCACCCCTTAACCTCCTCTTCTCCAGGCTAAACATGCCCAGCTCCCTTAGCCGTTCCTCATACGGCATCGTTTCCAGGCCTTTGACCATTTTGGTTGCCCTCCTCTGAGCAATACAATAAATGAGCAATACATTTTGGCAGAATACAGCTCAGAAGACAAACAAAAGTAAAATAACCGAGCTCTGCAGAAGCAGCTGTGCCTGTGAGAAACAGGAGCGAGCCAGCAAACTATGGCTGCTGCTTCCGCCAGTGGGCTGTGGGGCTCCTGGAATAACAGGGAGCAGCTTCTGCCCAACGGGGCCAGTGGAGGATCCTGGGAACACGACTGAAGAGCAGCCTTTGCAGCTCTCTCACAAGGATGCCTTTTATTCCACCAGCCACTAGTAGCACCAGAAAACAAGCAAGTTCCAAAAGGAGGATAATCCAGAAGGAAGGAGGAAAACCAAGAGAGCTGGGCTTGCTAGAGAGAAAACCCTCAAGGCAGCCCAGCAAAGGCGAGGAGAGACGGAGGAAGCCCACTTCCACATTCAGACGGACAAAATTATTTAGACCCTCCTCGGTGAATATTATTTAGGTATCATTTTGGATGAAGTGATCCTAGCATCTGCCCAACTTGAAGAGATGTGTGGTAGGGTGAACAAGCAGACTCCATCAGCATGTCTAAAGATGCCCCAGAAATTACACAGGTGTATTAGGAGGCCAGGCACCATGAATTGCACAGGAGGTAGGGAACTCAATTCGGGAACCCACATAACGTGTCTAGAGGAAACACAAGGATGCCACAAAGCACATGGCAGTGGATACAACAAGGTGCCCTCCAGCAGTGGGAATGAGAGAGGAGCTCAACAGAACTGCCAGTCACAGGACCTGCCACCTACCACAGAATCAGAGCAGCATCCCTCAGATGAGCCAGAGAACCTGTCACTAGCCTGCCTGCTCACAGCAGGGTGGGTGGAATTTAGAAAGGAACAGCCAGGACCCCAGCTTGGGCTCTAGGTCCCCTCTACCTGGCAAGTTACACCCATGCTTTCAAGGAACAGAGTCTTCTCACTGGCTGCCCTGGTTTAAAGGAATGAGCTCCTGGAGGAGGTATGTTCAGGGCTCTACCTCCTGGGCTTTTTAGGCACCTCTCTCAGGCTCACTTGTTCACAACAGCCTTTAGGCAGAGGGCAGAAAGCTAGATATTTTTTATTTAAATCATCTCTGTGCCGCTTCAGTTTACAACCCATCATTTATAAACAGGACACTGCAAGCACTATAGTTACAAATGCAATAATAAACTATATTTAAAGCAGCACGATTAACAGAAAAACGTGATAATCTCTCAAAGAAAAACATGACAAATGAAAATCAGGTACAAAAATACAATAGAAACTTCATATATAAAGATCATTAACGAAAGAAATTCAGTATAACAGAAGTTGCACCAACAGCTCCTTTCCCCTCAAAAGTCCTCTATAACATGTTTCATGCTGCCATACTTGCTATTTAACTTTCAGAGTGATTTAAGCTTCTTGCATTTTTAATATAATGTTTAATCTCACCCTAGCCTTTTCTGTAAGTGTTCAAGGCAACTGAACCCTTGTGAAAAAGACAGAAAGTCCTTATATAAATACATAAAAATGAGTGGGACTCCAGTGTCGCTCTGTGAAACTGAAATCTGGAAGATTCTGACCTTCTCTTGGCAAAATCCTGATGCTTGACTCACCGTGAGTGCCTGTCCTTGGCTGCAGACGCTCCCTGCCTTCTCCACTTCAGAGCGGGGTTCATTCTCTTGGGCTGTCAATGCAGACACTTCCCCAAACATGCAAATCACATTAGTATTTCTGAAACACGCAGGCACGAGCCTCTGCCACTAAAGTTCATTCTCACGGAAGACTGTGAAAAATAACCATCTTCCACACCAATTGAGCATCGCCTGCTTTGCTTGAAGGTAATGTGCTGGAGCTTCAGTGTCGGTTCATTATCACAGGCTTCCTTCTTCCTCACTCCCAGAAACTGGAGTTAGTTTCTGACACCACAACAGCTCAAACACCAGAGGAGAAGTCTGAGGAAGGCCTTCAGCTCCACAGCCTGCCCTGCCACCCACCTCTCCAATAAGAAGAGCCAAGGATGCAGGATTCAAAGCATCTCCCGCCTCTAATTTAAGTCATGGACAGACTCATCTGGAAGGAGGAGGAGAAGAAGCAAAGCTCCCTTTGCACTAAGCCTCATTATCAACAGCCATGTAATACCAGAGAGCTGCCATCTTCCCTCCTCACCAAAGGAGGAGATTACTCAAGGATTAATAACTGACTTGTCACCCAGTGACAGAATGGGGGTGGCTGCTGTCTCATCAAAGGCAATCGGAGCAGCACAGATGATCTGTTGCTTTCAAAGGAAAAGGCGAACCAGCCAGAGCTGGTGTCTGTGTGGCAGGAGCCCTCACTCTGCTCAAGGACCAGGCTGCCCCTGACATGCGCTTGGCCTGGGTTTTAGAAAAGGGGAGCAAGGCAGTGTGAAAGGAAGGACAAGGTGATGGGTGCAGGGAGGCTCCAAGGAGCTCACGAGCAGAACAAAGGGTGCCCAGCCCTCAAGGGAGGAGCGCAAAACTGAAAGCCCACAGGAAAACCATTTTCCATGTCAGCCAAAGAATGCAGAAGAGCCAGAAAGTCTAAACTGCCTTGCGTCCCCAATGTCCCAAAGTGCAGCCACCAATCCTGGTACAACTTAAAACCAGAGAGCTGGTGCAGCGCTGTGGAGAAGGGAACAGCAGCTGCTGCTGCAGACCACTCGAGCCAGCAAGCCAAGCCACATTCTACAACCACTAGCAAGGCCCGTTCAATGCAGGACCAACATAGGAGACCAAGTCAGGTCATGTGTCCATTGAGTTCAGCACCATCCTCAAGGAATGACAAAAGCTCTCCAGGATCTCAGGCAGGAGTCTGGGAATGCTGGTGATTGAACCCTGGACCCCTGCACTCAAACATATGTTCTAGCACTGCACTAAGACCCTTCCCCAACCAGCCAGCATCAAGTCCCGCAGATGCTTAAGAGGGGACCACCGTGGCAAGGCATGGAACACACATGTGAAGGCCTTTCCTTTCAACAGGCCACAATGGACCTTGTCTCTGGCAAGAGACTGACCCAGTTTGGGTTTATGGGGGCAGGAGAGGATTCCAAACCCGGAAGACTATAAAAATCACAGCCCAGGCAGCTGATACATCCCCCAGAGGCTGTGCTGGAAAGGACACAACAGCACCCTCAGTGCATCAGACCCAGAGGCCTCCTGACCGACTGCCCTGCTCAAGAGGCAGCCAACGTGAAACTTCAGTCACTGCCAACCCCTTTCAGAGATGGAAGAGGAAGGACAGGGGAAGGCAAGGAACAAACCCCTGCAGAACCACAAGCTCACTTCTCAGACACCAGAGCCTGGAGGGGAAACATTTTGCACTCCCGACTGTCAGCTGAGAGCCAAAGACAACGCCTTTCACCCGTTCTGGGGCCTCCACGGAAACTAGCCAGGGTAACTGCAGAGGAGCCGAGGGACAAAGTGGCCTGGCCACCAGTGAAGGGAGAGCGTCTGCCTTGCATGAAGAAGGTCCAAGGATCAATCGCCAAAAGCTGGAAAGGCTCCCTGCCTGAAACCCTGGAGAGCCCCTGCTGCCAGTCAGTGCTGGGGCTGACGGACCAGTGGTCAGACTTGGTATAAGGCAGTTTCCTATGTTCCAACGAAGAACCAACGAGAAGCAGCGGCAAGAAAGGCCTCCCTGGGAATTGCACATGCTTCCTTCCAGGGGAGCCACAGACAACGGCCTCCTCTCCTTCCAGGGCTTGCAGAGGTGAAGGAAGACACAAAGGTGGCCACTCAGCACTCCCAAAGTACCTTAAGCAACACCAGGCTCTTGGCCCAGCAGCAAGGATGCTCAAACGCACTGCCTGACCAGCCCCACATCTTGTGTGTCACTTCAGCCCTCCCTGGGGGTCGGGCAGGGCAGGGTGGGTGCGGAAAGAGAACAAGAACAAAATGACAAAGGGAAAAAAACTCCAGAGAAAGGCCCCATTGTGAGGCTGGTTCCGAGTTCTGCTGCGGAGTCTGCAGCTGATGCCCAAACTGCAATATGGTGGAAGAGGGGGCTCTCAAAGACCATCCGGAAAGGAGGGGGGGATAAAGGAGGGGGTGCGGGTGGGAGCAAGTGGTTGTTGGGGTGGGGAGGGGGGGAGAAGGGGAAAGGAGCCCAGAAGCTTTGCATTAGAGAGCCCTGGGAAAACTCACCATCACCAGAGGCTCGGCTGACACCTCCTTACAGTATCAGCAGCAATTACCAGGAAATAACAGCGGCCCATCTCCATCGAAAGGGCATGGCTAGCAGGGAAATTCAGCCAACAACGTAGCTTTCCTTAACATACATGGCATGGAGGCACAATTCATGGCAGGGAACCGGCAAAGGAAACACTCTCTCTCTCTCTCTCTCCCCATCCAGACCATCTGCAGGCTCCCTTCGCAACAGATTGCATCTAGAGATACTGTACCTACAGGGGCACAGAGCGCAGCCCAGGCGTGGAGCGGCCAATGGCTGCCCATGTGTCACTTACCCGGCTGTACGTGTGCCTCTTGGTCTGGGCCATGCTGATGTTTTTCCTCCCAGCTTTAATTATCTCTGAAAAGGCTGCTCTCAGCTCATGGCAGGGGGCTCACCAGGGAGGATCCTGCTCCTTCCTATGTTGCAGAGGAGGCTTCCATGCCCACGCCCTGAGCCGCCCTCTCCCTCCAGCCACACGGGGAGAAAAGAGCCCTTTTGCTGACAGAGAGGCGTCTTTAAGCCTCCAACACACAAAAATCCAGCCCAGCTGATGGAGACTCACTCTGCAGTGCTGCTCCAGACTCTTGTCACAGATTCTGTCAGCCCACTGGGTCCTAATGCTAGACCGTGTTTGCTCTCAGAAAGGAAGAGCAAGGCGCCTGGTGAGGCGAAGGTCGCACAGCACACCAGAAGCACCCACCAGCCCAGAGGCAAGTCACAGGCTGAGCTCCACTTTGGTCCTCTCTGTCTGGAATAGTCTGGGGAGCAGCCCTACGTGACACAAAACGTGCCCTCAGGTATACCACTTGGAGCTCTGCCTATCCTGATCACCCAGGCACACACCCTCCCCATTGCTGGCTCCCAGAAGTGCATTTAGGCAACCTCTCCCGGGCCTTTTTTCCTGCTGCGGTGGAAAGAGAGTAAGAGGAGGGAAAGCAGAGAAGAGTAGCCAGCAGCAGCAGCAGCAGCAGCCCTGCTAGCCAAGGCTCCCCATCAGATCTCAGGCAAGATGGCAACAAAGACCCATCTCAACTGCTCCATTGCCTGACACAGCCACACAGGACGGAAGGTGAGGGGCAGGCAGCTCAAGAGTTAATCACGACTAGCTCCGAAATCAGTCAGTCTCCTTCCCCTAGACCATCTGCCTCATGACATCCAGAGCTACCTGGGAGAGGGAGGCAGCAGGCAGTAACTGGAGATTCTGGCAGGACGAGATTCCATCTGCTGCTAACATCCTAAGGAGCCAGTGTCCTCTGAAACTGGTCGTGCAAAGCGTCTCAGGGCTCCATTAGGTGAACCTAAACTGCAAACACATTCCACCAGGCCTGACTTCTGCCTTAGTGAGGGTCCCCTTTAAAATGTCCTCTTTAGAAGCAAGGGCTCGGATTCATTATTGCTGATCAGAACATCAGGAGGTGCTTCCAAAAGAAGGCAGCAGTTTCTAAAAAACACTGCTCTATACTTAGGCTGCTGCTCCTCTCTGTCTCCTTTGCTGCCGCCTCCTCTAGTTCCACCTCCAGGCCTTCTGCCACGCTGCTCCTGGTGCGTGGAAGTTTCTCGCCGCCAGCTCGGCTCCTGAACCATCCCTGAGCAGTGCTCCTCTGCTACCACCTGACTCTGACTGCTGGCCAAAAATCCATAAACCAAACCATCCATTCCCTGCTCAGCAGTGTCAGCACCACCTGAGAAACAGCTGGGGAGAGGGGGGTAGGGACAATTGCTGCCCAGTGGCAGAGCCCATGCTTTGGATGCCAGAAGGTCTCCCTTTTGATTCCTGATGTCTCCAGGAACTCAGATAGCTGCCTTATACTGTGTCAGGAAATACAGTACTATGCTGACTGGCTCTCCAGGGTTTTGAATAGGATGCCATTCCCAGCCCTACCTGGAGGTGCTCTGGGAGAAGCCTGGGACCTTCCGAACCTCAGCCACCGAGCTAAAACCCTTCAGTTGCTGGGAAAGATTCCTGCTCAAAACACTGAAGAGCTGATGCTGTGAACAAGACGGGCACCTGGCGGGTGAACTCAGCTGACTTTCAGGTTTCCTTTGCCCAGGAGTGCAGCCTATGGATTGATTAAATCTGCATATAATTATTACAAATGAATAGGCAACCGTTTTGTTTTTAAGATTATGCCCCTAAGTGTCAGCACCAGCACTACCTTAAGATGTTTCTCCCCTCTCACGTGTCAGAGCGGGAGCAAATGCCTCTTACCGGGTGGTGCCAACTTTGCCTGTTAAAAAGAACCATTGTTGTTCTTGCGGCTCCTTTCAAATCTGTTGCCCAATTGATCATGTGGAGACTTATTTATCAGTTAACCTGACTGATGACTGGACTGATCAGCATCCCTGTTCAAAACAACAAACTTCAAAGAGTTGGCAGATCCTGAAGAAACCCCAAGGCCTCAGATTCACGCAATGCCCCCTGTAAGGGGTGGGGGAAACGAGGGAAGAGGCGGAAGCGCTTCAATAATCTTTTATGACACAAGGTCATATTTTAGAACATCTTGAGCTGATAAAATCAATGTGGTAGTTTCCCCTACAGTACTTAACATAAGAATGCACCTGAGGTTACTCTGGGAGGCAACCACAATGTGTACAGAAGCTTCCATCCATCATACCTGCCCATAGAGTCTGACAATCGACTCATGTGATTTATTTCCCTCTCTGCATGAAATGATTACATAAGCACAACAAATAAGAACCGTGAGGAGGGCCGGCCCATGCAGGGGCAAGGGGAGGTGATCACCTCGGGCAGCAGGATCCACAGGGGCAGCAGATCCTGAGGTAGATCTTTATCCCCACTGCCTTGCTCCTGAAGCGGATCTTCACTCAGCCCTCCTCCCCTCACCAATGGGGAGAGCATTTTGGGGTTCACCTCAGGGGCCAAAATGTCTTGGGCTGAAGCTGACGGTGAGATCAGTGTTGCTATTATTGTTATTATTAATAATAATAATAATAAATGGCTCCCAATTCATACTTTCTCTGACACCACATTCCCCATCTCTTTACTCTCAACCCAGTCTTTGTCAAAATCTTGCAAATTCCATCCTTTCATCTACAGTGGACGCTCGGGTTGCAAACGTGATCCGTGTGGGATGCACATTCGCAAACTGCAGCGTTCGCAACCCACATCTGTGCATGCGCAGGTTGCGATTTGGCGCTTCTGAGCATGCGCAAAGCTCAATTTAGCGCTTCTGCATATGCGCGACCGCCGAAACCCGGAAGTAACCCGTTCCAGTACTTCCAGGTTTCGGCGGTCCGTAACCCAGAAAACGCAACCTGAAGCGGCTGTAACCCGAGGTATGACTGTACTGTACAGTATATTTATATAAAGTCTTGTCGTTAACATTCTGAATGCTACAGAAAGAAGAAAACACCAAAGCATGCAATGCCATCAGACCTGGTTGCAACCAAAACCCGCAAAGCACCTAAACGGTCTCCTTTGAATGTCTGCTACCTCCTCCCTCACTCCATCTCAAAATTCTCACCCGGCGGAGACAGGGATGGCTTGAACGTCAGTCTTTCTCTCCGCAGCTGCCCTTCCCCACTTATCATCTATTCTAGCTTGATGAAGAGTTCTGGGGAACACAAACGCTTGCTCACTATTTTGTGACATTTTGATAAACTTGATAAAGGTATTGCCCTGACACATACCGTATTTTTCGCTCTATAAGACGCACCAGACCATAAGACGCACCTAGTTTTTGGAGGAGGAAAAAAATAATAATTCTGAATTTCAGAAGCCAGAACAAGAGGGATTGCTGCGCAGTGAAAGCAGCGATCCCTCTTGCTGTTCTGGCTTCTGGGATAGCTGTGCAGCCTGCATTCGCTCCCTAAGACGCACACACATTTCCCCTTACTTTTTAGGAGGGAAAAAGAGAGTCTTATAGAGCAAAAAATACAGTACTTATGGGCCAACACAGTACCTTTATGACTCGGCCGTTTAAAAAATCTCTGTTGTTTTGTACAAGCCTAGAAAGCTCTGCCTTATTTGACCATCTAGCCCAATAAGGTCTCTTCAGATTGGCTGCAAGGGGGGTCTCAGGCAGAGAGGGAAAGCCTTCCCCATTACCTGCTGCTCTCTGATACTTTCTACTGGAGATGTCAAGGACTGAACCTGGGGCCCTAATAATAATATTAAATTTTATTATTGATACCTTCAGCGTGGAAAGCACCTGATCAGTCACTGAGCTTCAGTCCCTCACCCCCCACCCCCAAAAATTCACACGTGCCACCAGTAAAACATAAGGGATGTTTTGCAAGCACAAAATGATGCATGCCAAGGTAAAAAAATCTTAATTTCACATATACACTCATGGAGCCTGAACTGACATTGACTGACCAGGAACGAGACCTTGGGGGTTGTAGCAGAGGGCTGATTCAGCTTGAATCAATGGTTGCCATTGTCCGGCTCTCCCTTCTTTCCTTTGAACTGATTTGGGCGGGGGGGAATTATGGTTCTTCTTTCTGCTTTAAACAGACAGGTGGATCTTATCTTCTACAAATAAAACAATTGATTTATTATTTAGAAAAGTTATAAACTGCATAATAAATAACGCCCCAAGTAATGCTCAGATAGAATTATTGATAAAACATTGCTAAAAATCCATGAAGCAATTAAAAAACAAAGATCCATAAAATCATCATCATTGAAACAAAGATAACAATCAATAAAACTTTCAAATAAATGTAAGCAACTAAATCATGTCTTTGTTTCTGGTTTGCTGAAACAGAAGAGTTTTCAGCAGGAGGCATCTGGAACCCCAAAGGGCACCTACCTCATGTCCACAGGCAGTGAGTTCCGGAGCGCAAGTGCTGCCTCACTGACAAATGCGCAAGCAGACAGTCCTTCGCCTACAGAAAAACTAAACTCACTGCCCAACCCTCACAGAGACAAAGGCGTTAATAAATTAAGAAGAGATGGCTCAGCCCAAAGCCAGATCTGTTAGGCCAGGTTCCTCTTTCCCACAGATGCCAACCAGATGTCTGGGTGGGACGCCCACAAGCAGCACATGAGCGCACCAGCTCTCATGCTCATGTTCCTCAGCAGCTTGTATTCCCTGGCGGGCTGTCTCTGGTCCCCAAGGAAGTACACAATCCTCTGCGACCAGTAGCTACTGATAAACCTGTCCTCCATGTTGTTTTTGGCATCTGTCCATCTTGCCAGGCAATGGAGGAGTGTGCCTTTGAGAGTGAAGTCAAACTGTTGGCAGGTTGCAGCGCCTGCTGTGGCTGCAGAGACCGATATAGGAGAGACATGTTTTGTTGCAACCCGGGCAGAGAAAAGCATCCAGTTGTGCTGTTGCAGATGCACCAGGGCATTTCTTC